ACGGCTCCAAACTTCCGCCAGAACAGAGAGAAAACCAGAACGGGCGAGGGACTCCTTCGGGACCGCGGGCCCCTCTGGAGTCGCCCCGACGCATTTGCGGCAGCCCGGTCGAGGCTCATTGGTGAGCCTCCTCCAAGCTCCTCGGAAAGCCTGGGAGGCTGTGCGCGGTTTTCCTTATGCAGGGCCAGAATTTTAAACGCCGGGCAAGGGTATTCGGCAAATATTCCCAAACACTCTCCAAATATTCGCAACTATTCGCAAAGTATTCGAATTCTCTTAAATATTTACAAAAAGAAGACGAAAAAGAAGAGGACCGCTGCAGCGTCTCCGACAAAAATCGCCGCGGAGATTTCCTGGCTCTCCTTGCGAAACTCCTAAGCGAAACCGTTAAGAGGCGGCGGCACTCCTGGGCCGTTTTCGATATTTTGCCACTTTTCTTCACAGTTTGGCACGCCAGTCCCTAGACCGCGAGACCAGTCTGTCTCTCTCCTCTTCCCATTTCCTCATCGGGCAACGCGTGACCATCTCGCCCCGCGCCCCCCTTGTACAAGGTTAAGCGTTTGCGCGACTCTGGGCCTATATAGCCAGCCTGCGACGAAGAGCGCGCCCCCGGACTGTGCCCAACCGTGTACCCTTGTACAAGGGGGGGCGGGGGGTGCGGGGTACATCCGGAGACGGGGGGATGCGTCAGACAAACTGTCGCCCGTGTAACTGAAGAGCGAAGGCATGCCCCATCGTCGGCCACCAGCGGGACGGTGCGCCAGGCGGGGCGTCTTGCCGAGCTTCTGCGGCCTTACCGAAAGGCGCTCGCGATTGGAGTTATCCCCTTGGCCCTCTTCGTGTGCGTGTGCTACCGATACCGGGCGCACTTCTGAGAGCTACAGGCGCACAGGGTTAGCCTTTGCCTGTAAGGATGTCCCAGACTCTTAAAAAGGAGGGCGAGCCCATGCCCCATGGTGTCGCCTGTCGTCTCGTTCGGCTTGTATCGGTAGCCGGTGGGATTGCAGAGGAGACGGGTACGCCGAGCGAGCGGCGAAACCGATAAGAGAATGGCGGAAGCATCTGAACAGAGCCCGGAAAGACAGAGGCGAAACCGATAAGGGAATGGGAAAAGGAGAGGGACGAAGTGGCCTTGCGATCTAGGGACTGGCGTGCCAAACCGTGAAGAAAAGTGGCAAAATATCGAAAACAGCCCAGCAGTGCCACTGTCCCTTAACGGTTTCGCTTAAGAGTTTCGCGAGGATTTGGCGGGTTTCGGGCTTTATACAGCTCAGAGGGATCCGGGAAGCCGAGCGGCCCCGGGGAAAGGGACCACAAGGCAGCAAATACGGGCCCAGGCTTTGGCCCGATACTCCAAGCCGGGCAGGCGGTCTGCTGCAGCGAGATAACTTCGCCGGGCCCCCTCCGCCTTCCGCCCGCGGAGAAGTCCGGCCGCCGTCGCGTTTCGGGCAGTGTCTCAAAGAAGACGAACGAGCAAAAAGGCCGGACTTGGAGCAATAGACCCTGGGCCCACTCGCGCGGGCCCTGGTTTTGGCCTTGTCCTCCGAGCCCGGCAGCCGGTCCGCCTGGCGCGGGCTCTCGCGGCCCTTCTGCGCTCGTCTGCTGGTCTTGTCTGCCCCTGCTCGCCCCGTCTTTTCCGAGCCGGGTTCCCCCGCTTCCCCCTTCGCGGCAGCCCGACCGACCCCAAAGTGCGTCGACTCCCAACTTGAGCCCTGGCGGGTCAAAAGTCGGGACCTTCTCTCCCCCGCTTCGCCGCCTGGCAGTGGTCGTCTCTTCTTTTATGTCGGTCTTTGCAATACTGCAGCGCCCCCTTTATGTTTGACCCGCGTGGAGTTGTCACCCACTGCCCTGCAGCAGCCGAGCTCTTTTGCCGTGTCGGAGGGCTGAAAGCCAACCCCAAGCAAAAGCGGTCGGCCTTTCATCTCGGGCGCCGCGTTGGCTGGCGCGGTAGCCCCTCCCCCTCTCCTGCCGCTGGCCGGGCTTTCCGTGGCCCCCCTGCGCCTGCGCGGCGGCGGGCGCCTGCGCTTCCGCCGGTGGTTTTGCCCGCGCCCTCCGCGCTGAAGCGGGCGCTGACGCACCCCGCGCGGCGTCGGCGTGAACGCACAGGGCGAGACGGGCTCGAGCAAAAACCCGTTCCGCGGGAAACTCGCACGGCTGAAAGCAGGAAAATCTCCAATGAGGCAGGACCGGTCGGGCCCGCCCCCCTCCGAGAAGCTCGTCCACCGCCGACCAACTCCCCTCCCGCATCCTGCACCGATCCGACGCTCTACTCACCTTAACTGCGCCTACCGGCATCGCGCGGCCCTGTTCGCCCGTCCTACCTACGAAAACCCCCGGTGCCCGTCATCGGCTTACCGCTGCCCCGGCGGGCTCGCGCTATCGAACCGCGCCCAGCTGAGGCCCAGCAGACCTCCGAATTTTTCACCCAAGACGGGCAGGCACCGTCGCTTTTACCGGTTGCTACCCCGCATTCCGCCACGCCACCTCGGGCCCAAAGCGCCCGGGGGGTCGGTGCGGGGCCCGTCGTGTTGGGCTTCGCCGGTGGAAAACGCCGTCTATGAGGGTCGGGGGTGAGCTCTCCTTTTCCCTTGCTGTGCTCCAGCGTGGTGACGATACATTGGCGCCAGTACGGAATTTCGGCAACTCCGTCGTCGGCAGAAACTGCTACGGACGAAAGGGGCTCCGCGCACAGGGGGCGCCGGGGTCAAAAGACTCCTTTCAGAACGCGGCCCACATCGGGCACTGATGGACACGGCGCGGAGCGGGCCGCGCTTGCGTGGTTCCTGCCCGTTTCACGTCCCGCCATCTCGCTATGCACTCGGAATTAGTCTGCAGACCATGGCGCATGAGCTGCAAGAGAGTGAGGGTGGCCCGCTCGGGCATGGTGCTTTTGCTTTTCAACAGGTTGGAATGTCATCATTTGATGATTACTGCGCCGACCATGCCGTTATTAAGTAAACCTCTTTTTCACACGATTATATAAGCAGAATCCTGTTGATGGTAAAAGGCCGCCACTGCTCTAGAACATGACGTCGTGGTGTCGCTACGCGCGTTCTTGAATATAGGGATTTTTTTTTGCAGTTGTTGCCAGTGGGACCGCGTCGACACTTTGAGAATAGAATGGACCTCTTTTAGTGAGGCTGTTACCAGTTGTTACCAGATGCGTGCTTCTGGTCGCTGCCGTTTGCCGGTGGGCACTGGCTTTCCGGTTTCGCAGAAGTGGTCCTTCGCTCTATCCACCTTGACTTTGGGCTTACTACATCAATGGCTTTTGGCATTTTCTGCACCTTTAGCGGCTGCGGCGAAAAATAGTGACAAGTGCGCATCCTATTACGATGCCGTGGAGAAAAACATGCTCGGGAGTACGACGTTCCTCGCGATCACGTCCACGACTGGAAAAGTACTCTACACTCAAGTAGTATCGAATTGTAAGGCTATAAATCACCGATAAGGGCGTTTGATATCGCTTTAATGGTACTATCATCACGATAAGATGGATGAGCTTTCTGAACCTGGTGCATCGATAATCTATAGTAAGAGCTAACGAGGATCCGTCTAGCAAGAATTACAGCAGACCGTGAACAAGTGGCACTTTCTAAAAATTCTTTGGCAAGTGACGGGCGGGCCCTCGCCCTGGTGGATAGCGGACTCACCACACCGAAGGACATCGTTTATTTATGACGACGAACGAAATGAGAAACCCATCTTATTTAACATTTGCTTTCTTGATGAACTATACAAACTTTTTGGAGGAAGAGGATTCCTCAATCTCTATCTAATCACAATCACTTACACCAGTCAATTATTTTTACGCCTTCTGCATCCTCCAATTACATTACAAGTACTCCCCTTATTCGGAAAATTATAAATTTCATCTGCTTCGAGTTCTACAGCTGACTATTTATGCTGAGAAGTAAAGATGGGCTCTAATTTTCGATCCAAAAGCAGCACGCATATTCGTTTCGGACTTCGAAGGAAAGCGAATTATCAGCTACAAGATTTTCGTCCATGTCGACGAAAGTACTATGATATTTTAGGATCGATATTAGTCGAGACTAAACTTAAAAATGCTGGTGACTCATGTTTATTAGTAATTACTATCGCGAAGCGAGTATCAGCTTTTCTTTTTTCTTTGATCCTTTTCTCCTCTTACTAATGAGCTGTGCCTAACTTAGCATTCTCGAGTACTACGTACTAGAGCTCTTCTTCTTATCCTTTTGATTCTTGACTCGACCTCGTAACGGTCTTTTTGTATTTTCCAACCTCGAAATTTTTTTGTATCTCCAAGTACTAAGATTTTTAAGTACTGACTAAGAACGGCGTAAAATAATTTATAGTATCACCGGGAGATCTATAATTTACCCTTTATTTCTTGGAGCTCCACCAGACTTCCCATAACAATTAAATAACTAACTAACTAACTAACTAACTAACTTTACACTTTTATTGTATCACCAACAACCAATTCGATCTTGCGTCGTGTCAGGCACATCAATCAATCAATTCAGAATTGAAGAAGCATTTGCGAATCAGAGGGGATCGCATAGTGGTCGCGGAAGACGTGAAATCGGAATACTTAGCTCTCGACCACGAAGGAAATCTCTACTTCACGACCGGCGATAGCGTGAACAAAATTAGCAACGCACTACTTTATGAACTTCATCATAATTGTTGATCTGCGCACAGATAAAGTTACCGGAAAAGTTACCTCCGCAGGAAAGAGAGTTGCTATCAATCGTATTGCCAGCGTAGCTCGTTCTGTGGGATCCACAACCTAACCTAACCTAGCCTCACCGGATGACTTTCGCTCGTCTTAGGATACTCCCTTCGGCTAACAAGGTCCGTACTTTTGCTTATGCTGTAGTTGTCGTGCGTGTACTCCTTGAGTACGATGCTGTGACTTAGAATAGCAACCGCATCCGCATTTTCCAGCACGAATGATTTTTTATGTACTGAAGAGCCCACGAAGAACAGCAACCTGACGTGCAACAGCTAAGTTCTTTTTTACTCTATATAAAGAAATATAAGCTTTGGGTTGTTCTAGATACGCGTCATTATTGATTTCTGCACCACTTTCATTTTCCGAAGCAGTTGTATGCAGGGACGCTGAGAGCCAAGGACCTGAAAACGCAGTCAGAAGTGTCCGCTTTCTACGCCGCGCAAGAGGAGTTGCAAAAAAATAGCGGGGTTCCTTTGCCTCCTGCAGTTGCACCACCGCAAATCGTTGAAGTAGCGACGGGATTGTCGCAAGCGACGGGATTGATCAGTATTAACTGAGAAATTTGTTACAACGCCTCTTTCTGTTACAATGTCCCTATCTTCATGATCGAATTCTTTGGTGCTGATGTTGTCAATAATACAAGCCCACGATCTGATTTCACAACGCTGCTGTCCCTGATTGAATCATGATCCATTTGTTTCATAGAACAGGCGGATCTCTATCAGTATCCGCGTAGACAGTGGTTAGCTGACATGCCCCAAGAGTGGTTACATTGATTCACTCATTCGTTCATTCATTTATCTCGAGTATGATCTATATTCTTCTACGCAGCAAATGGTGAGCAAATTTACTGGGGCCAGAGCAATCCAGTGAATAACAGTGCAGAAGTGGTTGCGGTCCCTGTCATCGCGGACGCGCCCAATCCGACAAAGACGAAGGTCGCTTACACAGTCAATCCGAAGATCGAAGGGGTTGCGATGAACTATTAAGGCGTTGTATTCTGTTGCTATTCTTTTCTATTGCTATTCTATTGCTATTCTATTACTTTTCTATTGCTATTCTATTGCTATTCTATTGCTTTTCTATTGCCATTCTATTGCTATTCTATTGCCATTCTATTGCCATTCTATTGCTATTGTATTGCCAGTCTATTGCTATTCTATTGATTTTTTATTGCTTTTCTATTGCCATTCTATTGCTATTCTATTGCCATTCTATTGCCATTCTATTGCTATTGTATTGCCATTCTATTGCTATTCTATTGCTATTCTATTGCTATTCTATTGCTATTCTATTGCTATTCTATTGCTATTCTATTGCTATTCTATTGCTATTCCATTGCTGTTCTATTGCTGTTCTATTGCTGTTCTATTGCTATTCTATTGCTTTTCTATTGCTATTCTATTGCTCTTCTATTGCTATTCTATTGCTATTCTATTGTTATTCGATTGCTATTCTATTGCGATTCTATTGCTATTCTTTTGCTATTCTATTGCTATTCTATTGCTATTCTATTTTTGGAAGTAGTAGTAGACGTGGGCTTTCTTACAGTTTTGGCTGGTATATGCTTTCCGTTTAACCCCTACCACCACAATGCAGTACGTCTGGGAAATCTTAGGCAGCTCGCCGAATACATTCAAAGCATCACGCTTTCCGTTTACTTGGAAGTAGAAGTAGCTAGACTAGTCTGTTCATTATTGTGAGGAAAACTTAGATGGACACCCATAGAAATTTTAGAAGACTACAAGACCAAGCACAAAGCTTTTCTAAGACTACAATAGTATTTTTTTCGCTGCTGCTGGAACCGTCCTGCGCGTGCCGCAGAGTAACAATATGAACCTTCCACCAAGTAGTGCGGCCGCGACGACCCTAGCCACAGGTCTGGTGAGCCCACGGGGCCTCGCTTGGGATCACGATGGGACTCTTTACATCGCGGACGGCGGCGCCAGTCAATCGTCAGCGACAGGAGCCATGTTTATGTTGAACAGGTTGATGTGACGAAGATACGGCAGTGCAGATTTGATGCTCACTTGATCATCTGATCTTAGTTAATGTTAATCCAGTGGAACGAGGGATCATTTTGAGTTTTTTCTATACCAGTAATAGGCTCAAGTGAAAAATAAAAACTCGTTTTGAGCTACACTGCGTGCAATTCGGGCTCGTGATAAGGGCGGTGAATACGATAGTCATCATCTCAACCTGTTTCATATCCTTAAGCGGCTTGGTTTACTCGGTTCCATCTGGAGCACCTGGCCTTGCTGACGTGCAGGAAGTAGTGGCGGCAGACGGGGCTTTCGGTGTTGCTGTTGTTAAGGGGACGGTGTTACCAGTCACTAGTAAGTAACCAATCTACAACTACAAATATTACTGATGCAGTCACAAAGAATATATGGCCGTTGCTCGTCAATTTTTCAAGATCTCTAACGCCCTCTCGTGCTCCGACGAAGGCATTGAGGTGATACAAGAAACAACAGAGACCGCGACCTCGACAAGTCGAATGTTTTTCTGGACACTGTGCGGCGTATCAGGTGTCCTTCTCACTATCGGGCTGGTGGTGCTCAGATTCTAACCATGCTTGATCACAGGCTAATACTTAGTAAGCACTTGAGAAAGACTAGTATTTTTCTGGAAGATTACTGCAGATGATCATGAACATGTGAATAGAAATTTTTTAGGTTACCACTTGTAGAAGACATCAAAGTTATACGACGAGAAATGGCGGGACTGCAGATGAACATAAAATAGATTTATGTCGTGTATCACCAGTGAAGATAAAATGTCGTAACGCACCAGATGCGAGCAGTAGAAATTAAATTTTAGTTCAAACAATTATCCCTTAAATTTCAAAGTTACTTAACATGTGCTTCAGAAAAAGATGAAACGCACTGACAGAAATTGAATAGAAGCTTGTTTGAAAATTAGTTGTTTTGCGAATAGATAATCTCGACAGCCTTCAACTCTTTGATTAGATAGCCTTGACATCAAAAGTAAAGGTACACTCATGACTCCTTTGTAAAAAACTTCTAGCCTTCAACACGTCTGCTCCGCATCTGTTGTACAGCATCACGTAGATTGGGTATTCGGCATCGCAACAAAGCTACTTTTGGACAGAACCCGGTCGTGAACCACTCGCTTTCGAATCTGACATATTTCGCCTCTTTCGATCCGTCCCTATAGACGGAAAAGAGATAATAGTCCTACAGGGCTCGTCGTCGTCGCTCGTATGCATCCGAGACTGCTCGGATGAATAGACCCAGCTCGCGCATGTGAAAGAGAGAGTAGTCGACGACCAAATCTGGACAAAAGGACAGACTAGAGAAAGACTAGATGGGGTAGCGGAAAGCACTAGATATGTAGTTAGACATCGAAAATGCAACTCAAAAATCGCTTTCCGTACTTCATGAGACCGAATCGCTCTTATGATGTGATATCGAAAATGGCCAAATCGCTCTCGCAAATCGCTTTTCGTATATCAGTCAACCATCCCAGCCACATCTTATTTCATTCTCTTTCGCGACCGACCTCTGAAACATGCATCTTCATAGTGGATTCCGGGTTCATGATCTTCTCACTTTGATAAAAACTTAATCGGTATTGAATCGAATTTAGGGAACAAGAATTGTCCAGAAAATTTGCTGGCAGAGCAAAGTAACAGATTTTAGAGTGTTAGGAGGTGGCTCTGGCCGAGTGCGCCAAGATGTTGGAAATATCGTTCAAGAGGGTGTACCAGATGCTCTACGCGAGCTACTTCGTCTTGTCAGCAAACACGATCCTAAAGTTCAGCGATGCCCCGCTCGTCGTGTCATGTATTGAAACTTATTGTTACTTAATCTTATTTTTGTGGCCTGTGTCTTGGTTTACAAGTCAAAAATACTACTCAGCTACCCCTTTTGTTGTTGTAGCTTCGGGTTTGGATTATGGTGATTGTGATTTGCAAACCTCACAAGGACAGATAGTAACTCTGACTTTCAACACTGGTAATGGAAATGGTCATCATGAGAAAAAGTAAAATTTTGTTTTTTCAGCAAAAGTTGTCGAACATCAAATCGTCGATTTGTTTCATCATGTCTCCTCTCACGTACAGGTCATTACCATTATCGTGACATCACAACATCTCACGAAGATTCTTGCAATTCAGGTAACGACGCACTTGCTTCAAGAATCCAGTGTCTGCTGTACTTTGCTATGGGCTGCTTCATGGTGGGCTGCGCACGACTCAAGTCAATAATCGCTCAAAGAAAAGTCATGCAATATTTGGTACATCAAATATATCACCTGTGGAACAATGTAGATCAACTCCTATCCTATCCTAATAAATTTTATCATTAGAATCAAGACTCACTTATACTTCTTCATAATTATGTCAACTGCTGCTGCGACTCGTTTTAGGTAGATACCTCTACGTGAACATACTCATTCAATCCTATCCAGCAACAGCAACATCAAGCATTTTTATTCATTACTAGTGATTAGAAGTAGTATTAGTAGTACCACTCACTCTCCCATCTTGCAGTCCTGTCTCGTCCCTCTCTCAGATGGTGATGCCACTAGCAAAATTAGCGGTTATCTACTCGAACGTGGGCGGATGGGATATCGTTATGGTTCCGCCAATCGCCGACTTGCTTCTAAAGACAGTCGTTGTACTCTTTTCTACTACGTCGATAACACGAACTTTGATGACTTGTTTCGACGTCCTGGTGAAGCCGATAATGATTATCGCAGAGAAATAAGCCAAGGTCTTCTTCGTAGTACTTGAGGCAGCATGTTGAAGGAGGAGAAGCAACTTTGATTTAATACGATGTCAGGTATACTGCTTCACTCCGAAAGCAGACAAGAGCACCGAGACGCCGCCAAAGAATATGCTCAATTTATTGCGATTTCTCTACGTTTCATCACTCGCTTACGCAGTGTACATCATCTTCATCGATCCAGTTCGAAGTGGTATTCTTAGGTTTTTAATTCAAACTCCTTAATAGGCGGATTCTAATAGTAATCTAGTATTAGAAGTAGTGTCTTCGTCGCTTTGATTTTCGAATTTGTCATCGGGTCCTCTCCCTAGTTGTAAGACTACCGGGTAGCGACTTGAGTGACTACTACGTCACCAATGACTGGCTATGCGGTGGGGGCCACCATCTAAGCGAACCTTCGCGAATCTACTGAGGGACGAAGCGGCTGCGTGGTGGCCCTCACCAAATACGCAACACTTCGAGAAACACTTAGCGAAGCACCTAGCAAAGCACCTAGCGAAGCACTTAGAGAAGCCCTTAGCGAAGCACTAGGCGCAGCACTGGGCAGATGCTTCGCTGTGGTGATGACAGGCACTACCTAAGCGACGCTTTGCGAGGCACATAAGGGACGCGTCGCTTAAGTGGTGACAGGCACTACTTAAGCGAAGTTTGGCGAGGTACGTAAGGGACGCCTCGCTGAAGAGGTAGCAGGCACTACCTAAGCGATGCTTGGCGAAGGACATAGGGAACGCGTCGCTTAAGTGGTGACAGGCACTACTTAAGCGAAGTTTGGCGAGGCACTTCGCGGACGCGTGGCTTAGGTGTCTGAAGTAGGTAATTTTGAAGCGAGAGGATGAAGAATCAGGATTTCTTCATGAAACCCCAGATGTGTACGGCAGTTCTGGCGCGTCTATCTCGTACTGTCTTCAATCCGCATACGTAGTTATCATCGGAATGTCTTGCGGACTGATGGCTGTTGCACAATGCGACGAGCCTAGCGCTAAAGTGCTCCTCCAGTATGGTACTTTTATGTTTCAGCGAATAGATGTAAATGATCTCGTCGGAGTACCTAAAATGTTTTGCAATGAAAAAGATAATCTTGAAACTGATGGATGCTTTTCGATTTCGGAAATGTAACTGTAAACATCAATAATTACATTGAAGAGACTAGTAGCAGTATTCCAAGCGGGGCTAATAGATACCTTCATCTCCGCCTTCAGTACTTTTCATTGCTGCAGGTATGGTTCTTCCTTTGGTGTACCTGTTTGATCTCTTTCCGGCCACGGTGAGTGCAGTTGGCGGTGCCGCTGTTAAGGGTTCTCTACCTGATGCGTGCTTCTCATGGATCTCCATCATGCTCACGGTCTGCGTACTCTATCCTGCTCCACTGCGAACGGCAATTATCCGCGCTACTTATGTCTTCTACGCCTTTGGTGCGTACGTCCACATCCTCCACCCCCTGGCTGCAGTACTACACTTCCTTTTACCAAGAATTGTTTCACGTTCGTTGTTGTACTAAATAGTGTTAATGTTGTAAAAACAGAAAGACCGATTCTACTACTGTTTCTACTATATCTGCTTGTACTCCACTAGAATTTCTTTTGCAACGAGGATGTTACAAGATCATCAGTCGGAATAATGATAACCTTAACGCCGGTTAAGCTTAACCTGAACGTTAACCTTCTTAACTCCATCGACTACAGAGCCAAATCTTCTTGTACGCGACTCCCCTGGCCGTACCAGTGGCAAATCTTGTGGGTGCCCTGATGTTCCTCGTATCCCTGGTTTTGATGGCAGCAGCGCAGTCAGATGTGGGCCACTCACAATTGAAGCTCATCCAATACTCAATCTTCGGTGACTTGGTCTTGCTTGTATGGTGCATACTCCATTATTAATACGACTCAGTAGATAGAATGAGCAGTAATTAGGCTTGTTATCCATATTTGCGTTACAAAATTATAGTTCTTGTAAACTCTTTTGTTGTAGCAGTAGCAGTAGTGTACCCAATCATGGGGTATACATCAGTAGGACACACCTACAAACTTTTAGTTCGTGGAAAATCAAGTTTTCCATGAGCCATGCCCTTCATCTTCTCCACCAAAAATGATATCACAATGCCACTTCTTCTTCTTCTTCCCTTTTTTCTTCATACTGTGTTAGCGCAGCAGTAGGAGGATCGGACTTTGGCCTATTACTGGAGATTGCCGCCACCAAGTCACTGGTTGTGAAAGCGGTCGATATCTACTTCGAGCAGCATGATATGGTGAGCCCAACCTTCGGCGGCCTCTTCGCTTCGGACTTCGGAATCGTAGTGGAAAGCGCGCCAAAGGTTAAGGCTATTATTATACAACAAGTCGTTGTGCATGTGCAGATAACGTAAATCATTTGTACCTAGAGGAGGTTACATTTGTGGAGCATCGTTAACATTGGTTGCACCATGTGCAGGAGAGTACGCATTTGAAATGTAAAATTTGAACTTGAGTATCTACTAGAAATCCATGAAGATGTACAAGAAGGAGGACCAAACTCTTCTAGAAGATTCTCGTGAAAAATAGGACATCTATGTAGTACACTCTAACAAAATTGACGAAAAGAAAGCCTTCGCGAAGCTGGTGGCTGCCGACAAGAAGCGCGCATCGTCTGTGATGAAGAAAAAAAAATAAGCAAATATTGATGAGATGATTTGTGAAAACACGACCAAATATTTCTTCTATTCGGGTGTCTACTTTTCAAGATGTAGAATCTCTACTTTTGACACCTTTCTTTTCTTTACTCGTAAGATAACCGCAAACGCAAAAAACGAGCTATGACCACTATCGAAAACCAAGAGATCGACACCGTTAAAAACAAGACCACGAGAAACAAAAACCAGAGTATTGCGACAAACAAAAACCAGAGCTAAGATTTCCTTTGACAAGAAACTTCGTTAGACTTGTGTTTGTTCCCTTTTTAAGAATCTTCCGTTAAGTTTGATAGATTGCTCAAGCACCTGACAAGAACGAAAGTTAGCGACTCACTTCAGCTACACATTGCTTAGTAAATGCAATGGTAAACATCGGTTGGGCCGTTCGCGAGACGGTACCTGCACAGAGCACGACACGAAATTTCTATCATGTCATATCTCATTTTTGGAAAAAAAGGCTTGCAACTTTTGCAACGCTGTCATGCAAATGCAGGTTAACATGAGGATTATACATGGGGATTTTACACGAGGATTCGATCTAAGTACGCAAGTAGAACAATGTGCATAAGCTGTTACAACTCATCTTCATATGCTTGGAGAAAACAGAATTCAAAAAATGAACTCGCATGTGCATGGGAATGTACTAGAAAATGAATGATATGGTCCTCGATGTTGAGTGAGAGTATTCGCCCGCCCCTTTATCTTCAGATCAAGACTCGCACTTTCTATCTGCAAATGAGTACGACAGAAGTGCATAATTCCCGCCGCCGTCCCCGTCATAATTCCCACTGCCCATGTCGCTCGTCATCTAGATTTACTTGCACGCCAGCTATCGCCGATGAGAAAGAGAGTCGAGTTGAGGTAAAAGACTGGCACTGTGTATGCCACAAAAGGGTTTACAACTGGATCGAGCGAGTCGTTTCGTCGTATCGAGCGAGTTTGCAGAAGATTGCTTTCAGCATCATCGTCTACTGAAATTATACCATGAAAATTTTAGTTTATTCATCAGAAGTCAGGGGTAGATGTCGAAATTCTGAAAAGTGGTGCTTCCATGAATTGCTCGCCATATGATACTTGTTACTATTAACAAATGTGACTCTCCATATTCATCCGCACCAATAATATTTCAGGGTTCTAGGCCGGGCGCCAGCTGGTTCTTGCCCGATGTTCTTTCGATGAGGAAGGACATTTATTTTCAGTAAATCCATCTAAGTATAGTATAATCTCAAAAACATAAGTTGTCTCTGTCTGTGACAGAGGGGACAAAGACAAGATGCAGATCTCGCTCAAGGGCATCGCCCGGATACAATGCTACACCGGTCTGGCATGGGTAGCATCATGCTTGCTTCTGCCAGACATGATGCACGGCCTCTGCGGAAGCATGGGTTCCTACACTTCATTTTTGCTGCTTTTACTTAGTAGACTTCGTGAAATGTTAAGGCTCAGTAGTTGTGTCGCTTACCTTGATCACCCTTTATTCATTATTCGTCACATGAACAAGCGCAAAGTAGATTTGTAGGGCCGTGGAGGATTTGTCTTTTTGAAACGCTTGAATAGATTGAAGAACAAATATCGAGTTTCTTGCAACACATCGATCTACTCCATCCCGTTATACCACCCTTATCCTATATCCTATCCTGCTCTCATCTTCAGCTGGCCTTGTCCCGGGAGCAGCAACGACAACAGTGTTGCTAAAAGTGCAATCGGCAATCATTTTTAGCTATGCTTCCCTTTTCGCAGCAGTAGCCCAATTCAAGGATGAAAGTTCACAAAAGAAAGCGCTCCAATACAGTATGGGGGGCGGCATCTGTGCGGTACAAATTTGTCTATGCTATAGACTGTATAAGATAACAGGGCAGTACTTGATGATGATAACAATACTATGTTTATCACAAAGTGGATCTAGTACCAAGAACTCCAATGCAACGGAAATGAATCTACCGATAAATAATAGAAATGATCTACAAAAAACAAAATCGTCTAGATTGTTGTCTACCTGTGGAAGGGAATGGGCTTTTTGCCCGATGCGGATTTATACATGGGAATTGCGATGAACCTGGTTTTGAGCATTATCCTCCCAAGTGTCGCGGTCTATTCATGGCACAAAAGCGTGCCAAAACCGGACCCCTCTGAAGAAACGCCACTCAAAAAAGCCATTCGTGTGGTCTACTGGGAGGTACTTCTGTCGTCCTAGTTGTACTATTTAAGTAGTTGACTTTGTGTACGTAGTATTTTTCGGTACCACGAACAATTCGGAGGTATGTAGTACTTAGAATTCTTGTAGCTCGAACTACTCACTTTCTTCATCCTACCTACCTTTCCCCATCCACCTCCCCCATTTGGCCACTCGCTTAAAAGTAAAACACAAACAGCTTTTTATCTGGGGATTGACATACGTTGGCTGCCCGTGGATCACGGGAGACGCACTTCTTCCTGGCTTTCCGAGCGGCGCACCGATTGAATTTTTCGTTTGCATGATGGGTTCAATTCTTGTCGGAATGGCCATGTTGCTTATGGGAGTGGCGCAGTGCGATAACCAAGCACAGGAGAAAGTTGTCTCCTACGGTACTAGTAGTTTTTGTTAGAAAGATTCTTTCTTGGCGCAGATCCAAGGGTGTACGAGGAACAATTGGAATTTATATTCATACCCTCACTCTAAGTACTAGGAAAGTCAAAGTCAATCTATCTAATCCAGATAGACATCACTCGTACGAGCATTGTGACAATGTCTAGTTTCGTCTATCTAGCTCACAATTACACACTCTACACCATGAAACACAGTGATGATTCCGTTTTTTCTGGGTTGGTTTTACCTGATGTCGCTGTTGGCGCCATACATTTTGAATTCGCCAAACGGAGCAAAGAAAGTTTACGCGGCACTCGCTTTCTTCGCCTTGAACATCTTCTATCTGGTCTACGAACGATACCCAGAAGCCAAGCGAAAAACCCTTCTGCGTGTGTCCTACCTCTTCTACGGCTATTGGGCATACGAGTTCATCTTCTTCCCGGAGCTAGCCGTAATTGCACTCTACATTCTCTGTGTAATGCTAACGAGATGAAGTACTTAAATGTGATGAAATTCATATGTGATTAAAACTCTACATATCTGGTGGAAAACATGCTTTAGGTGAATACTACTGGAAAGTGATTTTCAGTAGAACAAAGCGGTATTGGTAACAATCAACACGAACACTGATGATGTTCAATCTGATTAATTCCAGGCCGCATTGTTGCAGATTCGTGTGACTGGCGCTGAGCATCTTATCGGCTGGTTGATGAGCGTTATTGCCTTGACCTTTGCAGCCTTCTCACAGAATGACGGAGACAGTCAGGGTCGCCTCATGCACTACTCGATGTACGCCTATGGGCTAGTCCTGTACATGGTTGGATATCTCGAGCTCGACTTCGGACTCTTGGCGCACGCGAGCTTCTTCTTCTACTGCGCTAACGGATTGATGCTATACTCGGACGTCTATGATTAAGGCTCAATACTACTACTTGTACTGGTACATTGTCTCCCTCTCAGATGCTTAGTAAGGCAGCCACAACCTCCCAAGTTGTACGTAGCACGTGTGCAGCATCCGTTGATATGTGTGCACATTGCGAATGCAGATTCGAAAAATCCTCTCAGTAGATTTTTAGTGTGGACGATTGACTTCTGAAGAGAGTGTCGTACTAGACGAGCAGGATGAAATATGCTTGCTAAAAGTCTACCATGATTTTGATTCAGTATGTTGCTTGTCCTCGATGCAGTTCTCTCTAAGGTGACTCGTCGAGTTTGAGCAGCATGTTCTCGAAGTTCTGGAAATCAGGCGCAAGCAAGGCGGCGGCCGCGAAGTCAACAAGGTCTCGCTCCAAGACTCCGGGGAAGAAGATGAAGTAAGAGGATTTCGAGGAGCCAGATCCTATATTTTTAGGCTTGGGAATCATTTAGAATAACCGCATTTAGAATAACGACGTATTAGCACCCCTTTACCTCGTGAATAGGTACATCAGTCAAGTACATTCATGGGAGGAGTTGGAAGTAAAGATGATACAGTAAGGAGTTTCCTACATCTCCTGTCATGTTTCAAATCACGCGAGCCTCGAAGAAGATCAATTAGGTTCGAAAGCAGTATCTATGAGTAATTCGTTAGTGCTTTCTTGTAAAGAGAACAAAAGAAGTAGTATCAAGATGAAATTTATAGCAGTGATGAAGGCTGATAATAAACAACTACTGTGACGACCCATCAATATGTTTATCACTAGGAAGTAGCCCAACATCGCAACACAATCCAACGCAACAAGTTTATGACAACTAAGCTTTTTGAGTACGTCTTTCTACGATAAACTACACCTCAATAATAACTCCTCAATAATAACTTGGCTAGAAAATCTCGCGACTGAAACGACGACTTAGGATTGAAAGAAAACGACAGAAATTATGACGAAGCAGCGCTTGCCATTTTCCTCATTCCTCTGCAAGCGCTATTTTTGCACAAAGAAAGAAGCTTAGAAATTTCAAATTCGGTATAGAAACGCCAAAGTGCGAAAGTAAAGAACGACATTCCGCTTGCGAAAGCGAATAGTCAGCCATAATATTGCGACGGGTTGATGGAGTTTCGCAGTGTCTATTTTGTTTCGCGGTAGAACAGGTGATGTCGAGATCTCCGATAGAGAGCAATGGAAGCTAAAGATGTCCCAGAAAATACCACGGCCTAAAAATATGAAGACAACTACTTTTTAGCTTAACGTACTCGGTGTTGAGAAATCGTGCCTTGTTGTGCTAGCGGCTCGTTTTCTCGCGGGGACACTTCCTCGCATACAAAAAATTGTCTAAGAAGTAAGTACTGGTTCTGATTCGTCTTCTACTACGTGGTTACGAAACTGGCGTAGGCGTATAGAGAATTTGTGGTAAAAGTAAAGAATGGCGGATAATGACTACGCGGAGTACCTCGCGCTGTTGCAGCGCGAGGGCAAGTCAATGGAAGCCTTGCGTAGGGCATTTCGGAAATTGGCATTGAAGGCGCACCCTGATAAACCAGAGGGATCACCGCAGAAGTTTCGGGCGCTCGTGCGTGCCGCAGAGAAGGTTGAGCGCGTGTTGAATGGCGACGAGGATGAAGACGACCTTGTAAACGGAGAACCTGCTGAAAATGATGGTACACCTGTAGAAACTCAACATTCAGGAGGGAGATTTTCAAGCGGACCTGGGGTACAGAGATCGTCTCAGAAAACTTCAGGTCGTGGTGGACGAGGAAGTTCCTCTTCTTCTACGTCTTCATTTTCCATGGGGCAAGAGGAGGACTTGGGCTACACAGGCGGAGGGAAGAAGATCCGTAGGCGAGTGAACTGGACGCAACTCGGGAGCGACGTCTGGGTGCGCAGCAGTGGCGGTGCTCGGTCTACGCTTTCCGGACGTCCCACTTTCGAGGCGAACGACGCGGACAACAGCGAAGAGAGCGTCGCGGATGAAGGGGACGCGATACGACTCGCGGATCTACAATTCGTGGAGGAAAAGAAGAAATCGAATTCAGAACTATGGAAAGTAGGAGGTGCTGCTTCTACGTCAAGAACATCCGGAAACTCGTCTTTAGGGAACAAGATGCTCTCTACAAGTCTTGTTGCAGAGCAAATGAAAAGTAAGGTAGCTGGACAGAGAACAAATGCAATTCAAAAGAATTGTCAGTGTAGACTGATGTGAGAGCTGGAGATGGAGCGTTGCTGAGAGGCAACGATGGAAAACAGTGTTCACCACGAACTACTACGAGTCATCTGAACACTAGGCTTGCTTTTGTCAGTTGCTGGCCAAGGGCGCTACCAGTTTGTAGAAGACATTGCTCTGATGTTAGCAGAGTCTGGAAACAGGAACACTCTAGTAGACATGATCGAACTCAGACCACCTATTTCGTTACGAACTCAGACCACCTGTCTTGCTATCTACTTAGCATCACAGGCTCATTTTCAATTTCCCTGTCAGAAACGAGTTCCCTAAAGATCCCCGTTTTGCTCGTCCGTAGCTATACTTCTGTAAGTAGCAAAAACTATGCTGTGGTAATCCCATGCTATTTCATTTCTTGACTGTTTACATCGTCCCGTTGTATTCTTGTTTACGTGACTTGTACTGAGTTTGTTTGTTTGTTTGTTTGTTTTGATGCGCTCCGGGCGACGCGTACGATCCCGCCGGATTTCTTTGCTCATATAAGGGCTCAGGTTCTTCAACAAGTAAGTACTCAAAAATCGTAATCATTGAACTCGCCGCACATTATCAAAGATGTCCGCAGTTCGTCCTAAGTTGCTTAGTCTGCGACTCAGTGGGAGTTCAGCTTTTGCTGCGGGGGCCATGTGGAATTTCTCCGTTTCAGTGAAAAGCAACGCGTCATTGGGTCATCCTCCTAGGATGACAAGAACATTGCTGTATCCTGGTACTCCAAGTACGCCGAGCAGTTCTTCCAGTTCCTCAACGAGTCGTCGATATTTGAGTTCGTCCTCAACGCGAGCGCCTATTCGTAAGGGCAAGGTCCCGGCTGCCCTCTCCATACCGAATCATGTTGTGCAACCATTTTACGCGAGCAATCGCAACGGGCATTACGCACCACGGGAACTGGACGTGAGAGCAGATTTTGGGCAAGTGAAGGACGCCGATGAGATAGCGCGCATGCGCGTTGCGGCCGAAATTGCGGCTTCTAGCCTGGTCGAAATCGACAAGCTGATCCGGAGTGCGAAAGGGCGGTCTACACCCCTGACGACGTCCGAAATAGACCACGTTGCGCAGCAGTACGTGATGACTCGGGGTGCATATCCAGTAGGCGTCAAATTCCATGGATTTCCAAGAGCCATCTGTACATCCGTGAACGAAGTGGTGGTGCACGGAGTGCCCGATGATGAACCGCTGCAGCCGGGGGATATAGTAGACTGCTAGTAGCTTACTGCTGAGACTGACCAACGAATTTATAGGTACTGGCAACGTTCTCATTCAGGAATATTGTGACACAGACATCATTAAGAAATGACAAGAATAGTCTAAAGTTTCTGTTTTGCATGTAAAATCAGATAAACTGCGACGTCTCCACATACATTGATGGCGCTTACGGCGATACGTCGAAAATGTTTTGCGTCGGCGGACGAGAAAGCCTACGGCCAGGCACATTGGAGTTGTGCGACCACACGCGGCGGGCCGTTGAGGCAGCAATCGCGCTCTGCAAGCCAGGAACCACGGTGGCCGATCTTGGACGTTGCATCTATGAGTATGCGAAGTTGGCGGGCTGCGGCATCGTTCCTGAATTCACAGGTCACTTCATCGGACGCGAGCTTCACATGCAACCTTTCGTACAGGCAATACCGAATGACGAAAATCTACTGCTGCAACCGGGCATGACGTTCACCATCGAGCCAATCTTCACCAACACCATAATTGTACCAAGTGATGACGAAAATAGCAGCGCAAAGGAGGCACGAAAAGGTTCGATGTTGACGGAGATAGAGGGACCGTGGAACGACGGATGGACGTACGTGACCAAGGATGGCAGTTGGAGTGCGCAGTATGAACATACCGTGCTGATAACTGAGGGCGGATGCGAAGTTCTTACCCGCTCGGAGATAGATGAAAAAGAGACATTTGCATAGTGTTGAAGAATATTTGTCAATTCAAATTCCTCTGCACAGCTTCTCTGGTGCTTTAGTTCTTTTTACGCTCGGCAAAATCTAGCGAACATACAAGGGTTTTCATCAGAATAGGCTAGTAAGTTGTTCTGAATGCAAGAAGTATCATGAATATATGCTTGCGGGTTTTGAGTCGTTCCCCGACTACTAGTTTCATTATCATGCTGTGAGCTCAACAACAGTGATGAACTTCTCACGAATCAAATGCGTGAGCGGGAGGATTGGGTGTCCTCGCCTTTGCTGCAAAAATACCGCAAATGTCATAACTACAGTGTTAGCAGGAAAACAGATGCTGCAGGATGCCATCATGATGTCTTCTGGAATTGCAATGTTCATTAGCGTGGTGGGGTGTTCCCCTGAGAAGTGTGGATGTGCAATGTTCATCCATCATTGTGAACGTTATATTTATTTGTTGTGACATGAACGAATCTGAAAACTGCTGCTTCCTGGTCCTTGAACGAATCTGAAGACTCCTGCTTCCTGCTCCTTGAAGACCAATGACAGCACTCACTCCATCTGCGTCGAATGATCACGCCTATGCGTGGCATCGAAAGAAAGCAGTCTCTGAATCTGAATCATCACGCTGGCACCACTATCCTGTCAAGACTATTCTTCACATTCTTCTAGTGCCCTTGGGGCGGTGAAAATCTCAGAATGAAACCGTCCAGAGATCATGCGGACCCAATGAATTCCATTGTGTAACGAGGCATTTGCTGTTAGTTTCATGCAGATATTCTGGTATTAGGAAGAAGAAGACATAACGTCATAGCTGGCTTCAACTACGTATTCTGATATATTATATGAAGATCGGGCTTGATTTTTGGTAGTTCTGCGTTAAGCCTCGTACAAGGTTTCGTTTTACTTCATCCTTGACATGTTTTTTTGGAACCGCGAGGAAGGCTGAACCGGTAGTTTCGAATTTGATTTCGTCCATGAACAAGATTTTTTGAACTTCCATCTTTGTTCCTTTTAATAGTCTACACGTTTAGCCTCATTCTTGATTCCTCCAATCTCTCTGTTCGTTTCCTTCTTCTACTCCTCTGGTAATAGGTCTGCCCCTTTGTCCTTATCCCTCAGGAATTGTGAGTTGAGAGAACTATAAAAAATTGAATTTGCTTGTGATTTCTCCTACGAATGGTGGCTATTGGGGGTGACACATCGCCAGCGAACAAAGCAATGAAAAAATCGGCCATGAAAAGCATGAAGAGCGCTCGGGGAGTTATGAAACAAGTTAGTAGTGATATTTTGCATATCGCCAATATGTTTATGTATTGCATGAAGAGCTGAATCACAGCAGATCAACAATTTTTCATCATATGCATTTGCTTCTAGGTGCATGTTGGTGTTGACCTGCGTAATTTACTAGAACTTTTACTTTGCTCCATTGTAGTCCTTTAGACGACCTTTTCCTCTTTTTCATTTTTGCGTTTGACCCCTGCTCCGCCACTGCCGCAGACACGTTGGCTTTCTACGGCAGCAATGCTAGCAGCGGTCTTTCCGAGGGACAGGTGGAAGCCTTGCGTGCCGAGTACGGAACGAACGAGCTCGCGGAGGAAGAAGGCAAGAGCCTCTTCGAGTTGATCAAGGAACAGTTCGAGGACCAACTGGTGAAAATTCTGCTCGCCGCCGCTGGCGTTTCTTTTCTGTTGGCATACTTTGACGACGCCAGTGCGGAGGAAGGATGGGCCGCGTACGTCGAACCCTTGGTCATTCTCTTGATCCTGATCGCCAATGCCATCGTCGGCGTCGCTCAGGAGAAGAAGGCGGACAACGCGCTCGAAGCCTTGAAAAAATTGCAGCCAGATACGGCACATGTCTTGCGCAATGGAGCCTGGACGAAATTGGAAGCCTCCGAGTTGGTCCCGGGCGATGTAGTCGAGCTGCGAACGGGGGACCGCGTGCCCGCTGACATGCGCATTGTGGCCTTGAAGACCACCACTTTGCGCATAGAGCAGTCCAGTCTAACCGGAGAGTCGCAGTCGGTGGTGAAGGACGCAGACCCGGTCGTGGCTGACGATATCCAAGGCAAGCATTGCATCGTCTTCTCCTCCACCGCAGTCAGCATTATGGAAGGAACAAACTGATTTGTTGTTTTGATTACATACGTAATCGTAATGGTTGATCACGCAGTCAATAGTTGATCACATACACGATGGGACCTGTTAAATCAATCTAGGTCCACTCTCAATGCAGTCTTTACGTTGGAAAAGACACGTAGAAATGTTAGTTATATATAGTAGAACTAGATCATACTCCTGCATGTTGTTCTTCACAGAAGAAGTTTATATTCAGATGTGACTATTTTCTAAGATTTTGGGCAGTTGTATTTGCGTCGTTGTCGCTACTGGAATGAGCACTGAGATCGGTAAGGTGCAGAGCGCGGTGAAGGAGGCAGCGGAAGACGACGAGAAGACGCCGTTACAGCAGAAATTGGATGATTTCGGCGACTTGCTCGCAAAAGTGATCGCAGTGATCTGTCTCATCGTGTGGGCCATCAACTGGAGCCACTTCTTCGACCCGGTCCACGGGTCCGTGCTCCGCGGTTGCATCTACTACTTCAAGATCGCTGTTGCTCTCGCAGTGGCAGCCATTCCGGAAGGCTTGCCGGCAGTGATCACTACGTGCTTGGCCATGGGGACGCAGAAAATGGCGAGACGTATTTTCAGACTGAAGAATTATTTGCTCTTTGTATATGCATGCTTGAACAAATCGATTGCCTTAACCTCATCCACTAGAGGAATCTCCTGAAGATGACTGTTACAAAAGAAATAGAAGATCTCGTTGAAGAACACGACATGTACTAGGTTTGTTTCGGATCATGTTGAAGCCTGATGATGACCTCTCAACTGATAATGATAAGATACTTCGTCACCAAACCTCCGATCTTCTCGACTAGGTAATTGCATTGTCCGCAAGCTTCCTTCCGTCGAGACCCTTGGATGCACCACCGTTATCTGCAGTGATAAGACCGGCACGCTGACGACTAACGAGATGGTTGCGGTGCGTTTGGCCTTGCCAGTATCGAACAGCGACGTCGACCAATATGAGGTCGATGGCCACAGCTATGCGCCAATCGGCGACATCGACGGAGGAAGATTCACCGTTACTCCCGCAGCAGAGGCTTTCGCACGATGCGGTGCTCTCTGCAACGAGAGTCGGATCGATGTCAACGAAGAAGGCCGATTTATCCGAACAGGAGAGCCGACAGAAGCAGCGATCAGGGTACATTGTGACTGTACGAATTAAAGGAGACGATGACTTGTCCTGCTAGAAACAGAGAAAGCAGCTGCTGGTAATATGGCATTTTTTAAACGCGGCAAAGAGAACATTAACATTATTTATCACAACTAGGTCCTCGTGGAGAAGATGGGATGCCGCGATGCACGACTACAGAAGGCATTGTGTCAAAAGAAAAACAGGAGCCCACAGGAAGCACAGGGATTCTCCGACTTCTATGCGTCCAAAGTTCAGAAGGTTGCGACTCTGGAATTCACTCGCGATCGAAAGTCTATGAGCGTCATGTGCAGACCAGTGGTACTTACAACTTTTGTAAAGATCATCATCTTTTGTTGCTGGGCTTGCCATTGGAGTTCAACAAGATGTTGAGAGCGACGTGTACAATAAAATTAGGGAAGTTTTAGGACGAGTACGTGATTAAAGAATGTAATTTTATGAGTGGTGCATCTTCCTCGTAAGATCTTCTCAATAATCTGGATCAGAATAAGTAAGTAGCTTCTTTCAAAAAAAACACAGGGCGCATCTTCCAATGCGTTGTTCGCCAAGGGAGCCCCCGAGGGCATCTTAGAGCGATGCAATACGGTGATGCTTCCAGACGGAAGTGTAGCGAATTTGACGCAGACGATGCGTAAGAAAATTCAAAAAGCAGTAGAGCGACTGGCCGGTGACGCGCTCCGCACACTCGCAATGGCCGAAAAAACTAGTCTGCCAGCACCCTACGCAAACTACGACGGATCTACGAGCCACCCCGCCCACAAGAAAATAAACCCAGACAACTTTGTCTCAATAGAAACGGACATGTGCTTCCTTGGTAAAGATAATCGCGATGAACAATATTTGCACATCTTTCCACCGACTGAATTTTACAGAAGAAACAGACGCTGAGTTCGAAATCAAACTTCTCGTCTACTCTAGGCGAAGTTTAATGTCCTTAAATGCTTGAATGCTACACTGATTAGGTCTTGTCGGCATCCACGACCCTCCTCGACCGGAGTGCAGAGGCGCCATCGAGGAATGCCGGACGGCTGGCATTTCCGTCATTATGATTACTGGAGACAACCAATTGACGGCTGAGGCGATCGCGACGAACTTGGGCATTTTGCAACCGGAGGACGACTTGTCGCAGAAATCTTTCACCGGCGCCGATTTCGGTTCCATGTCGGAGACGCAGCGCGTGAAGGTTTTGGCGAACATGATTTCGGGCCGACGCGGGGGCGGTGTCTTCAGTCGCACGGAGCCGCGCGATAAGCAAGCGATTGTCAAGATCCTGTCTCAGTTGGGAGAAATTACAGCGATGACGGGAGATGGCGTCAACGACGCACCGGCACTGAAGCAGGCATCGATCGGGGTAGCGATGGGCATCGCAGGAACAGAGGTCGCAAAAGAAGCCAGCGACATGGTCTTGGCGGATGATAATTTCTCAACCATTGTGCACGCAGTAGAGGAGGGACGCAGCATCTACAACAACATGAAAGCGTTTATTCGGTACTTCCTATGATTATCCAGATGAAATCATTGCCGATAAAAAGATTCAATCGAATGTTGTAATTATTGGCGAGTGAGTCGACTTTGTCAAAGCTATTTAATAACTACGAAATACGCGACCGTGTCTTGGATCACTTAGAGTTCAAAGTACTTTAGAAATACAACCTCAACATTTCTTTAACCAAAGGTACTTGATTTCATCGAACATCGGAGAGGTTGCATCAATTTTCTTCACTGCGGCACTCGGAATTCCGGAGGGGCTTATTCCTGTGCAGCTCTTGTGGGTCAATCTTGTCACCGACGGTCCGCCAGCGACGGCTCTCGGATTTAACCCACCCGACGTCGATGCTATGCGAAAGCCTCCACGACGAAGGGATGACATGCTCATCTCAGGCTGGGTCTTCTTCAGGTATAATTACGTTCTCTTTGTACTACAGCAGTCGAAGAAGTTTTTTTCGTAGCTCTTGAGAGTCAATCCATTCTATCCATTATATCTAGGTACATGGTTATCCCCTTCATGCATTACATCCAGGTACATGGTGATTGGCATCTACGTGGGCTTCGCAACGGTGGGAATCTTCGTCTATTACTACACCTTGGATACTCTCGCGCCTGACCAACATACCTTGGTTACGTTTGAGCAGCTGACAAATTGGGGAAAGTGCGCCAGTGGAGAGGGCATTTGGAAAGGATTCACCGCTAAGAGCGTTGATGGCGTGGATCTTTACTCAAGTATTGCGTTTATGTTTTGGGATTGAAATGAGCTAACCATTCTTGGATTATGAGAACTAGTTTTCTGTTGTGAATTGAGATCAAATTTGCATGAGGCTGAATGCTGATAGAAATCGTGTGAAAACATTATGCCTTCATTGTCACTACCCGCTTTCCAACTGCACAGATCCTTGCGACTACTTCCAGAAGGGAAAGCTGAAAGCGTCTACGCTGAGTCTGAGCGTCCTTGTTGTTATTGAGATGTTGAACGCATTGAACGCTTTGTCGGAGGACGGCTCCTTGCTCCAGATGCCTCCATGGAAGAACCCGGTTTTGATCCTCGCTGTAATTGGCGCCACTGGTATTCACATGATTATCCTATACATCCGACAACTGAACCCGATCTTCTCTGTGGTGCCTTTGGATAAGCACGACTGGATGCTGGTGTTGGCCTTCTCGTTTCCCGTTATCCTGATCGACGAGGTGCTCAAGCTCTTCGGACGCCTGACTGCTGAAACCACGCGCAGCAAAGTTGTGGATACCAAAAAACTACAGTAAAGGAAGTAGCCTCCACCAGAATGAAGATACTTCTCTACGGACGGAGATGGAGATCGAAAGAAGACTACGCACATCTACATCAGTACTAGACAACTGATAGTATAAGAGAAGATGAACTAGTACAAGAACCAGAACAAGGAACACTTTCTTCTAAGTAGTTGGAATGATGAGTGGCGGAGGTGGCCGTCAAGATGACGAGCTTAGTAATAGAAGTACTCTCGCAGCGATGGATCGGACAAGATACGATGAATCCCTAGCAGTGAAGGATTTGCGGTCAAGCTGTGACGCCAACATCTGCGATTTTTGCTGTCTAAGGGGAACGGTTTCTTTTCATCGTATGCGATGTCGCGAAATTGGTTGTAGAAATGCTTCGACTATAACATGACAGAAAAATGCAAATGAGTCCTTTTGTTCCATGTCGTAATCAGTATACCATAAGTCCTTAGAATCTAAGATGTCATATCAGGATCTTGAAGCGCGCAGCTGGGGGCGTGTTCTTACAGGAGGTGCCGCTTCATTCATAAGATGTACGTGCTTGAGCTACAATCGTCGTAAGTTCCGTCGAAAGAAAACCCGCTCCCAATAGTACTACGAACCTCCTTATGCATTGACCTTCGTCTCAGACTTTGCACGATTCTTTTTGGTAATTTGATGGGGTCACCGCTTAAACTAGAATTACACAGGAGCCTATCGATTTACATCGCACTTCAATCCACGACAGGCACGATGAAAATGAATACTGTTACATAGTTCTTAAGTATTGGGGGTAGGTTACTTCCCGCAGGTTAATGTGGCCGCTATGATATGAGCCAAAGCATCTTGATGTTGAAGGAAAGCATGCAGAAACTGATCGACTTCTAGCCTTCCCACAAGCTCGCGGGATCTTGCCGATCCTGGGCAAAAAAACCCAAAGAAAAGACTCAATCGTGTGCCTCGTGTAAAAACTCACACCTCCTTTCATTCTCTTTTTATTGTTATATAACCGAGAAGACTTTGAATTGAGATCTGATGTAAAAAACAACCGCTACTATTACGTACGTTAGAAGACAATTCCGCTTTCCCGTAGTGGGACAGCGAGGTGTGAAGCGCTTATCCTTGTGGTAAGTGTTCTATCGCTCTGAAGGTCGGAGGAATGTTTTCGACTTCTTGACACTGACGAGAGATAGGCCCGCCAGCAGGATAAACACTGGACAGACCATTGTACACATTGACACAGTCGAATCAATAGAGCATGCCCATTCCACTCTTTTTGAGTTTCGTGGTGCGAACTGGATAAAGGTCAGGAGATTCTTTAAATCTCCCCGAGGTTACAAAAAAATGAAACTTTTGTGAAGTCTCCAAATCCAAATCCAAACAAGAGATGGAGTATTTGAGGCGATTTTTAGCACACTCGTATCATGTTGTGCAAGTGATTTATAAAGTCTCAAGTACAACAACAACAACTAGCACTACTTTTCCATTTCTTGATCTTCATCTTGACCACTAGGACTGTAATCTCCATCGTAAAATAAAGGATGAGGCTTCAACTTGCCATTTCGCTAGCCAGCGCTGTAGAGGGGTCTGTGCCAACGCCTGGGACGACTGGCGCTGCAAGCAGCGTTAGTGGTCCAGGGGGCCTGGGACTGCTTTCCCCTGCGCGGACGAGGACTACTTCAACAGAGGCAAGCACGGCATCCACCACGAAAAGCGATGAAGCTGCAGACCATGAGTTTCGTAGCAGGCAGACTGAGACGTCTTCAGGTCTTCAGTCTGACCATGCACCTGCTTCGAGTGCTGCAAGTGGATGTGCGACATCAGATGATAATCATCAAGGATTAGGAGAGTCATCTGAGTCGTCGACAAGTGGGCCAGCCAACTCGTCCGCCGGACCGTCTGATAATTCGACGTGGAGGTCGACGTTTTGGGAGGTCGTTGAGGGAATGACGTCTGATTTCCGGGCCCTAGCGTGCTGTGGGACGTGCGTGACTGGCCGCACGAAGCGTGACTCGGCGGACGCGGCCGCGCAGCGCGCTTATGCTAAGCAGTTGATTGCCCAACGAGCGGCAAAGCGGGCCTTGCTTGAACCACGTGAGGCTGCGGACGCCGCTGGCACGGCAGGCGAAGACAGCGGTTGTCTCGGCAGTTCCTTCGTAGCAGGACGCTCTTGTGGATCCGCGACTGTATCGCGTGAAGAAGTCGGACTTTGCTCACTTACGACTCCAGTTTCTTGCGGTGGTATTGCTAACACCCTAGCGTGTGTATCGACAAGGCCAAGCACAAGTGGATCCACCGCACAGCTTCGTCCGTTTCAAGGGGTTGGACGGATGCTCAAGGACCATGTATCCTCGCCCGATGCTGCGAGTGATGCTGAGGCTGCAACGGGTGAGCTACCTGCTCAAACGATGGATCAGCGTGCAAGCTCTTCAGCAGGGTCATCATTCTCAGACCGTGGAAGTCATTCTGCATCTGCTTCGTCCAGTGATACACAATGAGATGAGCACATGAGCAGAGATGACAGACGGGATTTCCGCGTGGAGGACGAAGCTGACCAACTTGCTCAAGAAGAAAGTGAAGGAACTGCTCCGGAGTTCTCTCCTGATGGCGCAGGTCTAGAAACAGCCTTGTTTCCCTCCGTAAGAATGACGCCTGAAGAGGAGGACGAAATCGACGAGAACGAAAGAGTTCAACCAAGTATGGAACGATCGGCGATGGACCGAGAAGCGCCTGCTTTGCAGCCGGGTGATTCGACGAAGAGTTCCACTGCTTCTGCTGCAATAAGCTCCGAAGAGAATACAAATGCTCGTCTGCAGCGAACGACGGCCGCTGAGCTCAATGCCTTAGCGCAGACGGGTCGTCTCGTGAGTGCGAAAGTCATAACGTCAGAGGTACCGGTGTCCAGAATCACGAATATGTTGTTGACCGAAGCAGACAGGTCCAAGCTATATCACTGGGCTCTGTTGCTTCACTTTCGTGTCAGCAAAAGTCAGCAACAGCAGCAGGCTACTTGTAAAAAAATGCGACGACAACAACAAGATTCTAAAGTAGGAGAACGTCGTTCGTCCAAGACTGCTGGATCCTCGACCACGTCACAACACTTTTCAGGAGGTAATATAGCTAAGAGACGCACGAGTCTCTTCCCCAGTCCTACATGGAGCATTGCATCAGGATCACCCGAGCTCTCTGGCTCTGCAGCTGCGACAGAGGAGAGGAGCAGTGACTCTCCGCCGGCTGCCATTGAAAAAAAGGAGAATATTCCGAGTGGCAAGTCGTGGTCGGTCGACGAAATAGTTGAAGAATTCGAGAAGTTTGCAGTAGATCCAGCCACCTCGGAGTTGGTGGCCTTAAGGCTATTTTGTTCGGGGGAACTTGGAAGGAGTCGCTATCGAGGATTCGTAAAGCGACCACCCTTCTATGATGCCCCCGGAGTAAGCTCTAATGTCCCTCAAACAGGAAGAACATCAGCTTCAGCAGCGTGCGCGCTCAGGCTCGATGTGCAGCACTGCCGTACCCGAGAGTCGCCGAGGATCTCTTACGCGAACCGACAGTCGTCGAGGCTCGTTCACGACAGGTCCAGGTAGCAGTGGACCTCTACTGCCGTCCTCGTCTTTCGTCTCTCCAGCACCAACTCCTCGCACACAGCGAGGACCTACAACAGGTTTTTTGAGCAGTCGTCCACCACTACTAGAATTCGAATTCTCGGAATACGAAAAAATCGATGAGCAGAATTATTGCGGAGCGTCGTCGGTGACTAGCAGTAGACCTCGTTCCTCCGAGCGCTCGCGGTCGCCATCACCTGGTGTGGGGCTAGAGCACTGTTCCTCGAAAGGAAGCAAACGGGGGATGGAGGCATCGCCACGCGAGCTTTCTTCACCTTTTGGCAAGCCCTACGCGGGACCGGCAGGCACGTCGGTGCAGTCGTTAAGGCTTCCCCTAAGTAGTCCATCTTCAGAGGCATCCTTGCGAGGCTTTTCAAGGGGAGAAGCAAGGCGCCTAGGATGCATCTCAGGATGGACTAGGGTGAGCGCTAAAGTCACCGGAGGGCACGGACAGCGAAGTGAGTTCGGCGTGGATGATGGTACAAGGCGAGAACGATGCTGAGGGAGCTGGAACCACGACAGGGCTCGAGTGCCCTCTGAGTCATGGGGGCTCGATCCGTACCAAAGCAGCGTCAAGCTCAGTCTTCATGAATTGCGACGAACCAGGCCGAACAAATGGAGGACCGTCTACTACTTCTTTGGAAAAAGACCCATCTACACCATCTTGTCGTTCAGAACAAACTACGTCTTTGACTATGATCGACGTGCTTGTGCGCATAGAACGACTGGCCTCGGGGAAAGTTGTGATCTTGAAACTCAAACCAGAAAACGATGACAAAACATCTTCTTCTCAGCAACAATATGATCATGATGACGATGTCCTTCAAGAAGAGTCGCAGTCGAGCACCGTCAAAGCAGAACTACGACCACCTCTGGAGGAGCACGTCCTTGTGGATGCTGATGAGGAAACTCCAATCGGGTGGGAAGCTCCAGCTCCGGAAGGGATCGCGCTAGATACGCACAAGTTCGCCCAGTGGGTGTTCGAGGAAACCGAAGTTGCGGGATTCATGGACAAGGAGGTTTTGTTACATGGGAGTGGGAGCGAACAACCAGCACAAGGTCGCGGTCAAGAACCAGGAGTACAAGCAAGTGAACAAGAAGCTCACTTTGATCCCATCGGCGCAGAAGGTTCGCCAGGACCACGAGTGAGTCGTGGACAACATGATCACCAAGGTAGTGCAGCAACAACTTCTAGTCAACCTCGGGTACCGTTTCTTCCGGATCTACCTTTTTCGGCACGCATCTGGACTGAACGCGTGAATTCTGCTCCAGGCGTGACCTCCTCTGCTATTAGGATGTCAAATTCGGAGGACACTGTCGGTGCAGAATATGGTGCGACGGATGACGAAGGCGCACTAAACAATGAAGATCATGCTAGTTGTACATCAAACCCTACTATCAATACGTCGGGCGAGTCTGACACACGCCAGACGGGGGCAGAGGGTTCTGCAGTGCAAAGACCCGCGGCTTTGGCAGAGAATCGAGAAACTGACTTCGTGCTGCCATCTTGCAATCAACAGCAGCAGTCTATTGGGGAGCGAATCGGCGACGGCGCCGTCACTGGAGGGGAGTCGCTTGCTCTGCTGGCTACGGCGTCGGCCAGATCGACTGGTGCATGTGCCTGTGGTGACAATGGTCCTCCTTTTCAGACCTCGCGTACAACTTCAGCGCAGAAGAAATACCACATTGCATTGAACTCATGCCAGCATCTCGTGTTTCGCTTTTTTCGCGATGTTCTCGAGTTACGATCTGCGGGTCGCAAACACTTCTGCACAGTGCCTGCCAGAGGTTCTTCCTTGGCGGACATGCCAGGGGCGGGTTTGCTGGAGCGATATCGCTTTCTGTCCGCTTGCGGAGGCAGCGATTGTGGGGAGGAGAGCGAAAGCGCTGTGCGCGGAGAGCCGCAAGATGAAGCAGGTGCACCGCTACAACTGCAACCTGACATGCCTTGCGCTTGTCGAGGATGTCGAGGTGGAGGCTACAAAAAGACGTATGACTTTGATGCGTCAGGAGGTGAGGCTGGCTCTTCTTTTGCGATCACGTGCTGTCGTAGTCGTACTAGGAGCGCAAAAATCGCCGTTGTTCGTCACCGCCGATCATCCGCTCCTCGTAATCCGCACCAGCGTCATCGCAGTGACAAAACGCAAATGCAGGCTGCGTCAAGTCCCACATCGCCGTCCGCAGACGAGGAGGAGGAGGCAATAGAAGAAACTTTTCTTCAGGATAGAAGCAGATCTTCGCATGAGGATGGTCGTCACTTCGATGCGCCTGCTACGGGGACCGATATTCCGGGGGCACCCGCTGGTCTTGCGATGGATGCGGATGAACAACTGCCGGATGATCCGAAGCACACTCGTGGTAGTGATGGCAGCCCGTCTACCTGCGGTGAAGAGACGACGCTGATGGTCCAATGTGAACCAGAGGTGCTGTCGTGGAATCCCCTGGCATGGTCCATGGGCGTCGCACTGCCGAACGAGTGGAGAAAGTCCGCGGATGTGGAACGAAGACAGTGCAACGTTAAGGCTCCAAACAATTTATTTCGAGGCGTTATTTTTCCTCTTCCTTTCCTAGGATTGGGGAAATGCAGTCACGAAATGAGGTGTCTTGAGCTCTAACAGCGAAGATTTCGAGCGCTTTCAATTCCTGATCTCGAATGCGATCAAGGATTTCCGAGATCCGCCGTTGTTTCACACCGATGTCGTCTTGGCGGACGGCACTCGAGCAACCGCGAAAACGCAGAAGGGGTTGCTGCTACTGTAGTACTAGGACCGGACAAAGGTTGTGAGTGTCCTAAATGATCTTTCAAAATTCAACGATTAAACCAAAATAACGATGCAGATCACATGCTGACATATGATGACTGTTCGTGCATATCAGCGATTCTTTACTGCTCCAATAGGTAGTTAAGATAGAACCCTAACACGGAGCGAACACTTGGCATACTGCTGCAGAAATATTTGTTTGAAGAAGTTACCCGGTTCTTAATCCTGCAAATCATGCAATAAATTATCTTCATATCTTGGTAGATCGCATAAAAAGAGACTCAAATAGTTGCACATAGACACACACGTTTTACTAGACTGTTCGAGGCTGTACTAGGCCCCGGTGGCCCTTCGACGTCGACTATGATTTTTGAAAATTTCTACTTGAATTTTTTGTTGCGTCATGCGATTGGAATCGCAAGTTGTACCGACATATGGCGAAAGCTTTTGTGATTTCGGAAAAATATATCACGGAAAAAAGTATCTTTTTTACGAAGATTGAAACTGATTTTTGTACGTAACTGCATATCTCAAGAAGGCTCCTTCGGTAGTTTAGCTAGAACTACAACATGGAGCATCATGACAAGAGCGTGTCTTCATGCATTTCGATGTCGTCTTCACAGTGTGGCGCTCTGTTTGTTTTAGATACTTCATGTAGGTGTCCCCATCACTTTTTGACTTTTTCTTTTTTTGAAAGATTAAAACGGGCAGTCAGCTAAACAGTCTGTTGAAATGAGCAGTCCCCTGAATAAGCCAAAATGATCGATATCACAGTCATGCTTGTTAGGACATTTTTTCCGAAGCAAAAGAGCGTCACATGTCAATTAATGCTGCCTGTTGATCGTTTTTTGCAAAGACGTTCGTGCTTGCATTGGCAACTACACTAAAAATGTGATGGCACGGTGCTACAGATTCGCCATCTGTTCGTCATGCGGATGATGCTAAACCAACATGTCTCTACACTGATGGAACGCGAGGACGCCGGTCTCCTGGGTGCGCTACCAGATTTTACTTCCTACAGCTCGGCGAATGAGTCAACATCCAAGATAAGCTCCAATCTTTCGTGCCAACGTTTTTTCCCCCAAAAGAACAAAACACAGAACGAAAAGGAGACTGACTTTCCTAGGTAGGACCTCACAAGAATTCTCTGAAGATTTATTTCAGTGCCTATGACTTTCAGTACCACTACCATCCTGAGAATAGAAAGTTTCAGGATCCTTTCAACATTTGCTTCACAATAGTGAATTACAATGCTGAGAATGGGGGACGACGTTGCACGCCGCGAAGACGCTGAGCGTGCGCAAGGCTGTTGGGACTCGGCTCGTGTCGACGACTTAGCGGCGCAAGCAGCAGTTCGACAGCAGACCGCGGGGGGGCCTTGTCGTCTGGTATTCGGCTATGGCTCTCTGATATGGAGGGTGGATTTCCCGTACACCCGAAAATTCGTGGCTCGTCTGCCTGGTAAGGCAGGTTATCTTAGGCGCATGTGGATGAAAAGCGCGGACCATCGCGGCACGCCGGCTGCACCAGGGCGTGTGTGCACGCTAGTGACGGCTTCCCGAGGAGAAGACATTATCGGCATCTGCTACGAGCTTCCTGAAGAGGAGGCCGATTCGATACTTAAGGCTACCGCTCAAGCACGTCCTTAACACCAATATTCTTGGATCTCATTTTTCTACTGGAAAAAGAAGCACGCAAGGCTATGACTCTCGAGGAAGATACGACCGCGGTGGCTCTAATATACTGAAGCAACTAGACTACCGTGAGCGGCACGGTTACACGCGTACTGTGACGCAGGTGGACCAACAGGATGGAACCACTGCGGAAACCTTCCTCTATTTTTGCATTTATGACAAGTAATTAGACTCTTGATCTACTGGTTCGAAATACTCCTGCTATTCGAAGATTCCACTTGCTCTCTCCTTTACTATTTGTTTAAAGATATGTCTTGATTTTTCTTCGAACAAGTAGGGACAAGAGTTGTAAACTTTATCATGGTTCTCCTAGTGTCGAGGATCAACATGAAGTAACTGAACAAGTATCTTCAAGCGTCGTCTACCGAGATGATCAACTCTTTCTGCAGTAGCTCACTATTTGACATCATGATAATTTATCGTGCCTCTATTTGGGGAGGATGATGAAGTTCTATTGTCCTCCAGTGTAGTTCTAACTTGAGCAGGAATTACCGACTACCGCAGGATCCGAGGCGCCCTCCGCGTTAGTTTGGAACGAACCGCTAGAAGAGACAGCGGCGATTATAGCGCGCGCAGTGGGACCTTCAGGAAAAAACCTGGAATATCTAGAAAATCTCTGCTCTGGTTTGAGCTCGATAACATTTCTTGAAGACAAAGAGGAAAAGCAAGAAGAAAATCAAAAGGATTCAGGCTTTGTAGACGCGTATCTTGAAAAGTTATTGGCAAATACAAGACTGGAACTTGAGGCGGTGACGCCAGCCGCGTGAGCAATTGCAACGGATATTCAAAGTCATGGCTAATGTCATCGAGGCATTATGACACCTTATACCAGGTAAATAAGTTGGATATGCCGTGTGCATGGATGGAGGAAACACTGAGGCATGTACTTCAAAGCGTGCGAATGGTAGTTTGAACTTGCTGTATTTGAGGAAAGGCGTAATATTCAAGTACAATTTATCGGTGAAAAGCTATCAGTCGGTGCTTGAAGAGATGACATTGTCCTTCGTCCCTTTATTCGGTGACAATCTATCCTCGCTGTGTCGGTCAAAATCTGAGACTCTGTCCTGTCGTTGGCCAAGCGCTTACGATCTTTCACGTGATCATCATCCTGCTGTTTTCCTCCTCTTGAATTGTACCAACAACATCTTCCGTAAGATCATCTTAATATGTGTCCATTAGGATCAAAAATAGTCACGATCAAAAGCTCAAGTTGGCAGTACATAGACTTACTACAATTAGATGAAGCACCCACCTATGGCTATGTATTATATATAAAATTGCTAGGATACTGGCGGCGACGAACGCTTCTACTTGGCTGATATTGTGCCTTGCATGTTGGTGAAGAAACAAAAGTAGTGAACAGCTTCTAGTCCAGATTCTACTCTACTTGTGATCTTCATGTATACGGACAACTTTTGACTTTGACGCCGGACTTCTAATAATTTTTTGTGGTACGTGTCGGCCTCGGTGTTTCGTGCTAACAATTTTTCTGTGGCACCACGCGCCGCAGGTCTTGTTGCTTCTTTCTAGATAGAAGCCGGCGGACCTACCAAACGACTGGTCGTGGTTTAGCAAGCCTTGAAATAATCAAAGTCTCGGTTGTCCTTGTCAATGGAAGAATCGGTGATGTCCTTTATCTATTCTGTACCTCTTCATACTCCCCTATGTTCTTCTTGCCCCTTTGTGATATTAATCAACACGCATTTCCTTCTTATGATTTTGATATACTTGTTACCAATACATTGATAACGATGGACAACTTACTGTAATTGTAATGTAGTTACAATTTGACAACGAAGAGGAAAATAAAGAGGTAAAAAGACAGTAAACGACGGTAGGCTTTCGATGATGAATATAGAGCATCAATACGACTATGACGAAATGTGCTCGTGTGCGGTGCTGTACGACGAAGAACTGCGGAGGCTATAGCCATAGGTGGAAGATCGTGCTGTGCAGTGGACGAGGCAGCTCAGTGCCGTGAACGAGGTCATAACCATGGAGTCGCCACCCATTGCACCTGAGAAGGGCGGGCCGCTGATTGCACCTGATAAAGGTGCGGCGCCGATGATACCTCAACCGATGATACGTGAGAAAGGTGTGGTGCCGATGATACCTTCGAGCGATGGGCGACAGCCTAGCAGTGGCGGGCCTGAGAATGGCGCTGCGCCGCAGCCGCCGCTGCCTACGCCTCAGCCGGAAGCTCCACAGAAAGGAAAGCAGCAGTGGGCGAAGCAACAGCCTCAAGTAACCGTGCTGAAGGGGCCATCGTCGATGCAGCGGAATTCACAAGTGCAGCAAGGGGCGTCGAAGTACGCGGCCCAAGATAAACAATCGACTTATATGTCAGGCTACGGCGCGGGCGCTGGACGCGCGTCTACCAAAAAGGGAGGCTACGGCGGTGGACCCCCATCTCAGCTCAAGCCCAGTAGACCGGCCTATGGTGATGGACTCCCGTCTCAACTGCAGTCTACCCATATTGCAGGCTACGGTGCCGCTCAGCCGCTGTCTACCCACATTGCAGGCCTCGGTGCCGCTCAACCGCAGTCTACCCACATTGCAGGCCTCGGTGCCGCTCAACCGCAGTCTACCCACGGAGCGGGCTACACCGCTGCTCAACCCCAGCAGTCCACAACTGGTGGAGGAGGTTACAAAGGTAGCACTACATCAGGTGCAACCTGGGACAAGGGAGCGAAAGGTCTAAATGATTCGAAGGATGGACCATCAGCAGACGCTAGGCTGGGGATGGGGGGCTTCGGCAAGGTTGGGCCACCGGGTGTCATTAAGATTCTCGATCAGAACATAGAATCAGTTCCTCGAAAATCCCCAGCGTAGTTGTCTGATTCTCCGGTCTGCTTTTTAGGATTATTTTGAGGAATTGCGCGACGTCCACGACAGACTATCTTTCTCTGACGTTTCCTGTAAATCGTAGGACTTTTTTGAGCAGATCATCTTCATGAAGCGACTTTTCATATCTGTTTCCTTGTCATAAGTTAAGCTTTTCGAGAATCAAAAAGCAAAGCATAAACTACGTACCTGGGGATGATGGATTATGGAGAATGAAGAAGTTCTATCCGGATCTCTAATGACCGTCAAAGGCAGTGGGCTCAGGCTGTAGGATCGCCAAGAAAGGGACCGGCGCCATCGACTGCGGCAAGCCAGCCTGTAGCCATGAACAGCCAGCCACAAAGTATTCGCTCAACAACGCCACAGTTATGTTGAAACCAAAATTCTGATTCTTAGACGCATAATCACGAAACTAGACTGAAAGTGTATATCATGCAAGTGTAAAATACCACGGAAGCGTAGGTGTAAGTGCTACAGGGGGGTAATAGTAATGAACGTGTAAGTGACCAATGCAGGCTGGAACAGGAAGCGATGAGAGTGTCTGGTACGTTAATTCTTGACAAGTATCATGAGTTAAAAACTTTCTTCTTTCATGACATCAGCCGGTACACACGCACTTCGAAGACGAGGAAGCGGATGTGATACACCATCTGGTAACCGGCGCGCAAACTACCACGCATGTCTTATGGGGAGGTTTTGATCCTGACCGTGTGTCAATTAGTCGTAATCTGTTGGATCCAAGCGCCGTATAGTTCTACATTCCCGGTGGTTACAGTCCGAAGTCCCCTGATGTAACACGCTAAGAGGGCCCTGTAGGCATCATTTCGATTTTCGTATGCTCCATGACAAACTACAGCCTTACGTAATACCTCTTCTAACAACGACCCAATTAGAGTGGAGCAATCATAATTCGAAGACGCCGAGCGTGGTAGTCTTTTTCTACCTCAACGTGTGCATTGGCGTTATGTCAGTGATAGAAAGTTATGAACACGAAGATTAGATATTTTGATGCTTATGCAGCTGAAGTTGATGCACCTCCGGAAAGCAATTTTTTAACGTAAAAATGCACTCTGGAAGTAGATAGATAAGGTACTGCCTGATTACAAAAATAAACGGTCTATTTTCTTTTTGCACCGGGAAAGATGGCGGCAGCCAAGAACAGACCAATCCTCTGTGTTGATCGATGCCTAAAAGCTCGAACGAAAAGAACACTCCTCTCTGAACTACCCACACACTCTCCTTTCATAAAGGCCTGTACGCTGTGATCGTCGGCATCATTGTACCTGGGGAGAGTCGGGCGCATATCCTGCAGTCGCGCCTCGGAAAAATGCCTGCGTTTATTAAGGCTACCGCTGGAGCATCCTCAACATCATCCCCGGCTCTTTTTTACTTGAAAAAAGAGCCAAGGATGCTCCCAGGGATGCCACTGCGGTAGCTCTAAGTTTATCGCTCTGGTCGTCTTTTTCGCAATAGCTCGCGGCCTCACGCACTTACTCCTTGCCTTCTTTGTAGGTATAGTTACAACAAACTTTGCAATTTGTTTCTGGGCATCCTATCCCATCCTATCCTAACGATGAATATGATGGATCCTACCTTATCCCATGTAGAAATAACACATTTTGCAATAAACTCTCAGCTCATTGGCAGAAGAGATTGGCCTTGGTGTATGGCGGAAGCGAGATTATATCTATAATCCTGAGCCTATTGGCGTTCGCGAAGCCTAAGGTCGAGATGGTACAAGATGTTAAGGATTTTCTGAATTTTCGATCCATCCAAAAAGAGCATATCTTAGTGTGAGTTCTACTATTTTGAGTAGGTCATAGATATAGTAAGTGCAGTAGTACTAGTGTAGTAGGCTTGAAAATCATTTGTATAGTTTTAGGTCTTCGGGAGGTTCGATGGGGTAGAAAATCGAGAATCTAGTCGGATAGGAACAAGAAAAAAAGAGTTGGCGACGTTGTCGTTCACTGAATCACAATGAAAGAAAAGTAGAAAGAACAGCATATTAGATATGCCAGATGGATAGGGCGAAAAACATGGAAACCACTAAAGAGGGAGTGCAGAAAGTCGCGGTTATTAGGTTCCGAGACGGCAACCTAGAATGGTCTTTCAATTACTGCAACATCTTCGGCTACTTCGATTTCTTTTTTATGGTCTGGGCTGCACTGGGGGTCATCATGTCCCTAGCAGGTACTTCTCATATGAATTTTCATAGGAAGACAGGATAGGAGAGTGTCTACACACTTGATCATTTCGAAGAACCTTTTTTACCAGATTTTCTACTTCTTGCTCGCTGACACTGCTCAGTAGAAGAAGCATAATGCATGATCTCGCTCCATTTTTTTCTCTCACAACGTCTCACTCCATTTTTTTTCTTCTACAGCGTTTTCGTTTCTTTTTTATCAGGTAAACAATTCGACGAGAGCGAGCTGGTGAAGGTGGAAACTATTCCAAACGAAATAAAAGAGCCGATTCCTGTACCTGCGGAAACTCAGTCCTCGTTTCTCTCGGAACAAGAGACGCGATTAATGCAGCTTGAGCAGGAACTTTATTTTATGGAAGAGGTTTTGTTTTCTCATCACAATCAAGGGGTCTGTTGACGGGTAGAATATCTATCAGGTGGATTATGTAATCGGTCTGTAGAAGAGGCTGTAGTCGGTCTATGTATCAAGTAGATTTTATGATCGGCCTGTCTATGATCAGGGAGATGCTTCGTTCATCTTCAGCAATTGAATTCTCTTTTATCTGCTCTGGTACAAAATCATATTTTAGTTTTTCAAGAACAAGTAGCAGGGTTACCAGTGCTGTTTTCACATATAAAAGTATGCGAAGACTGCGGCTCTCCTTTCTATTGCATCATTGTATTTCTTGAAGGTTGACAAGGATCTGTGAGGGAATTTCTCTAATTTTCATCAGCAAATGATTTCGAAACAACAGATGGCGCATCAACAGATGGTTGCGCAACAACAGATGGCTCAGCAACAGATGGCGCAGCAACGGATGGCGCAGCAGCAGATGGCGCAAAATCAAAAGCAACCAGAGATCATCGTAAACCTCGTGCAACCGGAAGCACCACCAGCGCCACCTCCCTTATGAACGGCAACGAGGACAAAAATAACAATATAATGAAGATAAAAAGAAAAGCATTTTCAATAAATTAGTCAGAATTCTCATACTAGTGACGCTATGACTCATGAACATGCTACTAGCATTTATGATGACATGAATGATACGTTGAGTCGTGGAGTAGAATTAATCATGGTCAGAGTACTTCTTCTAGTCGTGATGATTATATGCGATACTTCTACTAGAGTAGAATACTAGTCGTGATGATGATGTTGTTGTGGTAGTACTAGTAAGTCCTTCTTCATGGCAACCACCACCTCCAGAGCCGCCGAAGAAGAAGAAAGTGAAGAGGAAAGTGAAAACGGCACCAAGGAAACTCAATATTGTGCTCAGGGGTGGCGAAGAAGGGGAAGAGGGCCATATGTTAAGGAAGGACAAATTTTTGAAATGTAGTTTCTCTACCTACGAATGTTTAAGCACCTAGTTGTGAGATGTAGCTGTTATCATCCTATTGCGAGGACAAAATTGATCAGCATTTTCTCGACCACAAGTTTTTCTTTACCTGCTTTGGATATATGTTGTGAATAAGACAAACACTATGTTGTGTGAAGATAGCTTATGATTGAATAGGTGTACGAGGCAGGTATTGATTTGTCGGAACCCGCTCGCACTGCAAAAGAAAGAAGAAAAAACGACTTTAGGTAATGGCTTGAACTGAGAGTAGACACGTCTAAAAATGATAACTGTGGATGCAGACGAAGCTGCGGACAAGGACGGGAAAGTTGTTATTCAAGCGCCGGAACCAAAAAAGAATGGACTGAAAATTAAGCTGCGTGGTTTAAAAACTTCTCTTTCTCAACAAAGGCGGGCATGTATTATACGAAAGACAGAAAACACTGCCGATGCTAGCTATACAAAGATCTGAGCTGTAACACTATTTTACAACAGCCGCTTTGTCTCCAACTATATGATTAAAAACGCATAATATTCTCTTTGAATAATTACCTCCTTTCATGATGTAAAAGAAGCAGCAGGTGGAAGAGGGAGAGGGAGTACATGATGCGGTGGTGCACGAAGAGGGAGTCTCATCGGCTGAAGATGGTGGTGGAGATGACGACGGCGAAGGGAGCGATAGCGACGCTAGTGATAGCGACGCTAGTGAAGATAGCGACGCTAGTGAAGATAGCGACGATAGTGATAGCGACGCTAGTGATAGCGACGCTAGTGATAGCGACGATAGCGATAGCGACGATAGCGATGGGGAGGAAGGGGACGCGTCAGGGCTGATAGACGGCACACAGCAGCGATCTCAGAGGCCTCGGGCTGAAGGTGAAGCAACAGCAGAGGATCCTATTCTGGGCCAAAATGCTGTGAGTGCAATATCCAGTGACGGGCCAGCACAACTGAGCGGCAACGACAGTGACGAACTCGAGGACAGAGGAGAAAGTAGGAGCAGCAACAGCGTTGCCGAGCACGAGAAAAGTAGGAGTAGTCGCAGCCTTCCCGAAGGAAAGCAGGGTAGGAGGGGGCAGAGTCGTAGTAGGGGCGGAGTAGAAGAGAAGGATGGAGCGGCGCAGAGCGAAGTAAAGACCGAAGCCACACCGCCACGACCGAAGGCCTACCCGCATGGGAGAAACACCTTCCATTTTTATGGAGAAAGCCCAGCGCCATCTGGAGGTAGCCCTCAAGATGACGACCACTGTGTGGAAATCGAGGCTAGCCCTCGAAGAGACGAGGATGACCGCTATCCGAGCTCGCAATTCTTGAAGTTCTACGCTTCTGCACACAGCCAGGAACAAAAATTATCTTCGCGTTACTACAACACCTTTTCTGCTACTGATGTACACGATCATGTTGAGGGAGACGAGGAAGAGAACGCGGAGCTCGAACCCCTGTGCGAGGAAAGTCTTGGCAAGGATATCGATCTCGAGAAGGGTCTTGTGCGTTAGTATCCTGAAGATTAAAGGAGGTTGGATCCTCAAAAATTTTTCTCACCTCGTCTGATCCTCGGTTTACAACGCAACGAACACCCAGTACGGAGTACTAGCACGACTAGCAAGAATTGATAACATATATTGTTAGGTACACATACTACGTAGTATACACATACCACCGCAGCATACACATTCTATAGGACATGCATACCATAGCATACAAATGATTTATCTTAGCATCCTAGCGCGAAGACTACTGTAGTCTAGATCGCATAAATTTTCATTTTGTAGAAGAAACATAGTTCGCTTACAGTATTCCTCCTTGGCCTGATACCTAGTTTAAATTTGTGGACAGCATACACATACTCAGAAGATACACACACACATGAACATGATCACGATACTCAGAAGATACACACACACATGAACATGATCACGATTCTGTAATTGTTGTACACCCATTAATAATGACCTTACTCGCACTCTCAGGAGGCCTCCCCAATCTTGAGATCCTACCGCTGACGTTCCCATACTATGCAGGGAAAAAGATCTCACTCTTCACTTACCTTTAGGTATGTAGGCCTTATGTCCCCTGGCCCTCTACCTCTTGTACAAAAATGTGAGATACAACAACAGCTCAGTCTAGCGGCTGACGTATTCTTTCTTGGTAAATACCTCCGATGCAGTATGCATCTACGTATTTAAGTGAAGATTAGTATTTAACCCGACACCAAATTTATTTTGTACTCCAAAAATGGGACACTGATGTTTGTCTAGTGCTACGTGCATTGCAGACAGATGTGCCTGTGCTTATACCAATTCATTGTAATTTAGTTGATTCCATTTTTCGTCCGACAGTTTCGGAATACTGACCTGGGCATCCTACGATACCAATTTTCACCCGACATAATTGAAATTGAATGTTGTTACGTTAATTTTGTTTCGTGAAGAACATTCGAATCGATACAGTAATGCTAAGCAAAATTTTTGTGTTATTGATGCAGGCACTAGCCGTTGTTGCGATCACCCGTTGTTGTGAAGAAAACGCAGTTTCTCTCATGGACGCGCCACCGGAAACAAGTGTCTAAGAGCACTGTTGTGTTTAGCGCAATTTGAAGATGAACCGAGGGTGCCAGCAGTTAGGTCTGTAATATTTTCCGAAGGCTGCGCTTGACGAAGGACAAAGACGAACATGCTCATCCTCATGGGGAAGCATGTCTCATGTGAGAGTGACAAGACGCACCGAGAAGAGAGGGATCTAAGTCAGAAAAAGAGCTCAAGGAAGAGCAGCACACAGGAGAAATGAGGGAGAAGGAAACTCTGGAGCAAGATTCAATATATCTTCGTTCTCGAGCAAACAGTTTCTCTACCTTGATCAGATTTTTTCAAGAGTCGTTTCTTATGTTCTGTGGCTTAAGAGACTATTCCTCCTGTTCACTTACATTTCCTCCAATCATCGTGGAACCACGGGTGGACAGTTTACTCAACATGATCCGCGATTGTCCGTGTGCATGCGTCGCTGTCTCTCCTTTGAAAACTCAATAAGTATCATCGACGCGTCTTCCCACGTAGATGAATACCACCATCAAAGCATGCGCCATCGTTTTGACTCCCGTAACCATCCTCCTTGCAAATCCAGTGTGAAAGACATACGTGAGGATCCTCTCTGAAAGAAGTGTTGGTGTGCCGAAGCACCTAAATTCATTTCTTCTTTGCGGCTTTCGTCTACTTGCATCGTTGAAAACACGCGTGAGCATTGAACTACATGTAAATCTTGGCAGAATCACAAACGCGATTTGCAATGATGATGATGCCTCAAGTGGTCGTCTCTTGTGTCAGAGCAATATGCTAGGTGAAAATCCTTGTACAGCCAGTACTAGGTGAAATTATTCAACTCCATTGTAGATGCAGTAGATGGAAAATTCAGATGCTAGAAGTGGTTTTTGTGAGTATCAAAAATGTTTTCCTCCAACAAGATCAGTTTGAGGAATTTTGGATTCATTCGAAGGTAGAAGTGTTTTCGCAGTGAGAAGTTGTGACTAGACAGTTTGTGGGAGGTCTGCTAGTTCACTTTAAAATACTATGAGTAATTAGAAGACAGCAAAGGGTGTGTATCGTGTCTACACTAACTCTGTTCTTCAGCACGAAAAGGAAAACGATGATGGAACTTCGATTTTCAGCGTGGCGCTTCCGTTTCGGGGTGCTTGCGTTCGCTGTTGTGCATCTCATCAATGGTGTTAGCTCCGTGAGGATGTTAGCACCGCATGATGGGGAAGCGTTGGCAGTCGAGCCGCATTCAGGAGAAGGTCCTGGTGGAGGTGTGATGGAAGTTGATACGACCGCAGGAAAGGCTGACACTACGATGTTGGATACTTCCTCCACGGTGCTATCTGGAGCAGCAACGGGTGTGCCGAACGATGACACGAGCGCCGTGGATAGAGAAGCGGATAAAGGAGACAGTGCTACGGGTCAGGGTCAGGAAAACTCTCCCTCTACGAATTCTGCTGCGCCAGGTCATGCTGAGACAGCTGCTAAGCGGCTTGCAAGAGGTGACAGTGAGCCCATGAATACACCAGGCCGTACGCAAGAATTTCTGCAAGCTGAGCCCGAGACAGCGCAAATGGCGGAGGCCCCTAAGAAGATCATCAAACCCTTGCAGATCCTGTCGGTAGAAGATGATACCCGCGGGCATGGGAGTCAAAAGCGAGTGAAAGTTCACATGGACAACCTTCAAAAAATTCAGGATGCATTAAATGAAGCCGACGTTTCACGTGTCCGGTTTGTGAGCGTAACCTTAAGGCCAAAGAAGATAAGTACTTATTATTGTTTCTGAACTATTATTGTCATTCTATTCTTATGCTATCCCTTCTTGCAACTTATTATTGTTTCTGAACTACAAGATGCGTTATTTCAAAAGTTGGCATGATTCAAGAACATGTAAGTCATAAATGAAGATTAGGTGATGTATTTACTTGTACTTGAGTTCTTCCAGATGGGATGAAGCTGAGATTACGTTCGGGCTACTTACTAGTTGTACTGGAAAAGCTACCAATGAAAATGATTTCGTAATGCACAAGATATTCATGCATGTTAGTAGAAGTTGGTCATTTTTTGGGCAAACTCGATCTGCATGGTGCACAACGTAACCGAGATTAATCACATTGTAGCAGAGGAACCCTGCGTATTCGTTTACTTAGGTAGGTGCTTGGGGGACAATGAATACTTAAGTGCTTGGGGGACAATGAACAGCGAGTCGAACTGAACAGCGAGGGCGTAGGAGTTTTTTTTTAAATTTTTCGCGCTCTAATAAATGGCGCGATGCGGAGCGGGAAAAGTTTTTTGCTTGAAAACTTTCGTCGTTGGATGATTTCTTACGATGATGTGATGACCCATGGCACTGAAGAGAAAAAGTGCGCTTTTCTTCGAGTTCTGGAGCGTCCCGACGTGAAAGAACGTATCACGTTTACCAAAGACGGCAAAATCGTGTCGAACGGTGAAATTCCGGAATCTCTTCGTCAGGAAAGCAAGGAGATCGTGCAAGAGTGGGCGTCCCACGTGGGGGACACCTACGAGCAGCCCGATAACAAAGAGGGGCAAGGATTCGCATTCGACAATAAGAACACAAAAGCTTGCACGAACGGTGTGCATTTTTACTTTCACCCACAGGCGAGCATCCGCAAAATAAACGTCTGGAAAGCTCCGAAAGCAACATCCGCGTACCAGTGCTTGCCTCCGACGGAAGCCAACATGCAAAAACTAATGGAAGAGCAGAAACGATTAGAAGAAACGAACCAACAAGAAAATGTCGAAGATCAAACCAAAAAACTGGATCATCATGCGGGAGTAGCAACTGCAAGTGAGGAGATGTCTTCGAAGACACCACCTCCAAGTAGAAGTCTACTGTCGCGACTGTCTTGGTTTTTGACGTCTAGTCTGCGCCGCACAGAGGTGGAGTATTCATTGAATGATCCTCCAGATGAGCGAAAAGATAAAGAATCCTCAGCTACTAGTTCAAAATGTTGTCATCGACTACCAGATGACCATAGCAGCAATCAGGTAAAGTCTTGTGGCCAAGAAGCTGCGTGCCCTTCTGCAGATCATAGAGGAAGTCCCAGCCCGTTGTTATCGAGTGTCGAAACTGAGGCAATCATACTCGTGGATGCTGAGGGGATTGGCGATACAAAAACTGGGCAGGATATCGACTGGCAGTTTGATTCCTTTGTAACAGCGATTTCAGACACGAAGATCTACAATACGAAGGAGATAAGGCTGCCCCGAGAATTTTTCGAACGTTTGGTGGCAATCAGCAACACGGCTCAAGCTGCACTTGGAAAGATGAACAACCGAGCGTCGACTACATGCATGACAACAAATGTAGTTGTTGGAGATCATGAAGATGCCCACAACATAAATACCGATAGTAGCGCCCCGTCAATGAAGGTGGATGACATTGATGTATCGGCGGGGGATGGTTCCATGATTGCTGACACGTGTGGTTCATCGGGGACAACAGTAGTTGTCGATACATCATCGGTGCTTCCAGGAGGAGCTAACGTCGGGCCACAAAGTGCTGCGGCCACGGCGACACAGGAAGGCGTCGAGAAGTGCCGCGCACCTGGCTTGCTTGAAGCTGGCGGCCATCTTAGCTTCCTCTGCGCCTCAGCGAACTTACTCGACACTGCAGAGGAGCCTGAGGACGAGGCTTCAGGAGCATCCAGGTTGTCAGAGTTGTCAGGAGAAGCTGCTCCGCCGTGTCTCGGAGCCTGTGCGGTTTTGACGCGAGACTCCAGATGCGACGACCCATCCTACTGGGGCGACTGCGCAGACCTGCAGCTGTCGCACGATGTGAAGGCGGTTATTAACTCGGTGCAAAGTTTCGCTGCCACACCAGACGAAATGGCAGACCGGTTGCCAACATGGCCGCAAGCTTTATGCGAAGCCTATGATCGCTGTCGCACGGGGGAGTTACGCACAGAATTAGCCGATCATTGCAAACAGAACGCGGAATATTTTCTTGGAGCATTTTTATGGATCATGACATTACCCGAGGCCTCTTTGTGCTTTTATTTCGTGCTCTGGTCGTGTATAACCAGAATACATCTGTAGATCGACATCGAAAAATAACTTCTGTGGCCTGTTACTGAGGTGGCTTTTCGTCCTTCGAACAAGAACCGTCATAGGCCGCGATTTTAGTTGTGATGTGCAATTAGTTCTCAATGAGTCAGTAATGGAAAAATATTTTGACATTGTTTTTGATCTCCCAAGCTTTCATTTCCAAAGTCGATCGAGGCTCATGCGCTAGTTTCGCCTGGAGATAAGGTGAACAAGTTCATTTTCCAAAAATGCCGTAAAGTAGAGGATGTGGAAGTGGGCTTTCTCATCCAGGTCCACAACCTTGCACTGAAATTGTTTGCGCAGCATTACGAAGAACGGCAAGCGTTAGAGGATGCGAAGAAAAACCGAATTAGCGTACCAGAGGAGTCTGCACTTCCTTTCTTATGCAGGATGAGCATATGATGTGATTCATTTCGATATCCTGGAAACGATTCGAGACTTGTTTGACTCATACATTTGATTTACTTCTGATTACTTATTCCCACAAAATGCAAGTGTTTCATCGTTGTCCTCAGATTTCATGAAGGAGTTCACCTAAGACGTTCGGACTTCCTCGTATAGGAATTTTGAAAAGATGGACCTGTGTATAATGTGTGAATTTAGCAGAACTGTAGGTCCATTATCTACTTACATGAGTTTGAGGATTTTTTGAAAGGGGAGGCAGACCTCTGTGTGGTGACCTCTGTATGGTGATATGAATTAGTGTCGTCGAGATCTCTTCTAATGTTGTTCAGCTCCTCGAGCGACACTAGTTTACGGCAGGTTTCGGACCTCATTCGGCCGAGCAATTTCGCGGAGATGCTCAAGGGCCTTATCGACTCCATTCCCACCTGGGGGGAGGTTAAGGAGAAGCAAGCCTCGATGAAAATGGAGGAACTCTTCCAGGATGAACTGCGAAGGCGGCAAGTGAGCAACGTTAAGACACTCATGCATTGATTAGATCAAGAGAACATGAATACTTACGAGTGCGTTACTTGTTCATTACATGGATGTTGATTCACCCGAATAATTAGTGTACCGATACGAATTTGGAAAAGAAAAATTTTTTTGGAATTTTTTTTTGGAAGCAGTGAGACTCTTGAATGAAACAATGTCCTTTCTTCTAGGTACTAGAGGAGGTTTGCATCATGTATAAACAAGAAATCGTTACTGAAGTGAATTCTAGGTAACGTTTTGGACGAGCAAAATTGGCATACTTGCATCTTTCTCTCACTCGCTCTGGATCATTTGTAATAATGGCTTTGATGTTGTTGGGCGTTTTCTCTAATATAACGCTGGTTCAATTGCACCGCCGCCTGCTGATCTACGCTGTCCAGAAAGCCTATGTGCCAGGTGGGCAAGAAGACACCGAGGCCTCTGGAGAACTGCCTTTGGATCACGATGCTCATGTAGAAGCGGAATCGGAGACGGAGGTCAGCCTCAGTCAGGTGCATCAGCGAGCAAAGAAGTTTTACCTCGAGCGCCGATTGCCTCTTCTACGGGTATCTTCTTTCGACAGCAGCAGCTGCTCTGCCCTGATGTCAGGAGAGCACCATATGTCAGGAAGAACACAAGGGCAGTTGTTCACTGATAGTTACCGAAAAGAGCTGGCACGCAGTCTGGATGAAGAATTTGAGCTTGCGAAAAGCAGCTTGCGTTTCAGAGGAGATCCACCCGAGCCAGTTGTAGCAGCACAAGCGTGCAGTAGCGACAAAAGCGACGCTGCCTCCAAGAGTACCTCTTTACTTCAAAGATGCAGAAAACGTCGGGTACTTGAAGAGGAACCTGTGGAGCCTGAAACACCACTTCTAGATCACCAGCTGCACTACCACCTGCTCACAAAGTTCCTGAAATTATTAGGAGACGACGGAAAGGAGCAATCTACAACTTGTTGCGCAGCAAAAATCGATCAACAGCCTGCACATCATGATTTAAATGAGGCATGTCGAACAGCAAATCAAACTTCGCATGGGACGGGTCTTCATGATGGACCTATGCAAGAGGGCGCTCCAGGGCTTGCACAGGCTTCGTCTACCACCGTACAGGAATTTTGCATGGCGCGAGATGACACGGACAGCGAAATCGGTGAAGATGAAGCGGGTGAAGATATGCATTCTGACGTTCCAGCTCCCTCTAATTCATCTGACGCAGGGCGGAAGGATGTTCGTCTCTTACGTACGTCCGCGTCATCGGAGGCTGATCGTAGCAGTAATGATTTATGGCTAATAATGTAACAAATTCATCTTCATCAGAGACATCTTCTTTAGGGTTTTCTCCACTGTAGGAGGCACAGACATGATGGCGAAGATCGGATTGAGGCATCCTGGCCGACTATCCTATCCTATCCTGTCCCATCCCATCCTATCCTATCCTATCCTAAAGATGACAGTCAAGATGAATTTCGGTTGCAAGGTCTAAAGCTTACGGCGGGTTCGAAAGAAGAATACGATGAAGATTGGAACACCCAAGTGAAAATGAAAGAAATGTTGTCAGGACTCGTGAGCGCTCCAAACTTCAGCTTCCCAGTCGAAGAGGAGGACCGTAAGCAAGCTCTCGAACTCGCGAAAAAGAAGCAGGAGAAGAAACTCCTTGCCGAAGCTGCGGCGAAGCTCGTCGAGCAAAGAGAAGAAGCGGTGCCCACGGTCACCAGAGGTCGTTTACCTTGTAGTGGAAGGGTCGTGGCCCCAAAATGCGTATGCGCGTTGGCCGTTGCGCTAGTGGCGATGGGCTGCAACTACGCAGGACCAGGTACGAAATTCTGGCCAGGACTAATCGGGGAATGGGGATGCAAGGAGTGGGCGGAGCCACCATTATACGGTGGCGAGGCCGCCACGACCATCCCTCCTCCGATGCCAAATGCCAGTCTAACGAACTACTCGATTATGAACTCTACCAAGTTTTTCTTCCTAGTATTTCAATGGTGGTCGTCCCTTATTCGGGTAAATTCTACAGTCTGGGTAAAGTTTGAATACTACTTAAGTCATGCATAGATGCAATAGGTAGAAGAAGTCGTATTATTATGTCTTTTGTGCTAGTTCTAGTCTTTTGTGAAAAGAGCGTCTACTTTCTACAGTCCTGCTTGGTCTTTCTGATCAATGGGCCGACAACTTACAAGATTCATTAGGATAGAATTTTTCTAAATACGTAGTGCAACGGTAGGTACTGCATGACTGGAAGTCTGGGTTCTTGTAGCAGATAGCTCTAAAGCTTTACAGCAGCCAGGAGAGAGTTGCAGCATGTTGCTAGAGCCGTCTATATCTACGGAGCTGTCCTCGCTTCTGTCCACCTGGAGTGATGTCCTTCCATTGAGCACGGAAAGGATGGCAAATACGACAACCTGCATGGAGAATGAGGCGTGTCGTTTTCAAATCCGAAATCTCTGCCACCAACACGCCGTGCAGACCTATAAAGACAACAATAACTGTTTCCGAGCAGACGACGAAGGCGCGGAACAGCGATCACATTTGCGATCATTATGGCCAACTACACTTTGTTACTGACACAATGAATGCATGGCGGAATGAATGAAGTTGTAATTCAACATGAACGTACGTCACACTTTTGTAGAAGACTGTCAGATGTTGTAGTAATACTACGTGCAAGACCTTCTCGCGATGTGACGATCAGGTAAATGAGCGGCTAGACAAGATGTCCTTGTGAGGATAGGAAGTTGTAAGGACTTAATTGGTTTTGTGATGCTTGTACTCGTGCTCGTGGTAGGGAGAAGGTACAACTCTAAGACCCTACGAGCGCAGTTCGGATGCAGAGAGAAGCGCGCATGTACAGTATTTGTCGACGGCGCCTTCGCGCAATAAGTGGTACCGGGAGCTTGTGCTTGGGCTCGGTTTTAAGCTGCGTCAGTGTGCACAGAACATCCACTGCTTATGGGTAAAAGCCATCTTCTCAGCAGCATGCTGATCCTTCGTTTCTTCGTCCACTTATATTTCACTGAAGCTGAACGAGTTCTTGTTAGTTAGAATTGTTGTCAGCAGAGGTACGACCACCTGCTCAGTAGTTAGATAGAGGGAAACGAGGTCCAGCATCATTTGAGGGAAAGGAATGCCATTGCGGTATAGCTCTAAAGTGAAAAGATGCGGAGAAGCTGATGGCGACCCTGTGGGGTCGGCTGGAAAAGTGGGAGACGCATCTCAAGACAGAAGCCGATAAGGCCTTACAATCAGCACAAGAGGTCCAGAGCAGGAGTGAAGATGGACGAGAGGCAGATCGGGATCCGACCGGTGAAGACTGGGCGCTCCAGGATTACGGCTTTTTTTCAACTTAACTCAAATTTTCTTGTCTGTCTTATCCCAACAGTAGTTTCGTAACCCCTAAAGCTGATTCTGAGACCATGACTATGAAAGTTGTTGTCTATGATCAACTCTGAAGAGACTTAATTCTCGTTTCCACCTGATGGATCGAGGAAAACATCTTTCTAGGATTCTGATATATGGCGATGCCATTATACAATCAATAAATCTACTAATAGTAACTATTTCTTTTTTTATTTCTGTGAATACCTTTTCCTGCTCCCCCCTCTAAGATTCAGGAGAAGTCGAGGAAGATGCAATATTAGTTGACAGACAAACCGGCGCATGGAGTACGGCAGCTGTACTATTCAGCGCCATAGCTTTCCTGAATCAGAACGGTGTTACGATTACCCATCGCTAAGGAGAACAAAATCCGACATCACGGTTGTTAGAAGCGGGAGTTGGCTCGAGATGATGAAGTGAGGTGTTTGTTTGCCTTCAAAAATAGCAAACGTCACAGCATGCAGTAGAAAAACGAGCAACTTCTATCGACATCGACGATGAAGAGCGCAAGAAAATCAGGAACGCGGGAAAAACAAATCAGGAAGCAGATAGGAACTGTGGGCTGAGAATCCTCGCTCACCGATTACATGTGCTATCGCATTAGGACTCGCATCTAGATACTCGAGAACACAGCTTATGTACTTAAATGCAGGATCTTTCTACAACATCAACTTTCTCAGTCTGCCTACTTACCTGGTGGTTGCATATTGAGGATTTGCAATCGTCGTATTACATCACGCAATGGGTCCTGATTCGCAAAATGAAAGAATATCATAGAACACTCCTCTCAAAATATAAGGATAGAATATGGATATATATGATAACTTGTTCTCCCAGTATTCTAGATCTAGATATTGCCAGTCCCACATAATAGATCGAGTGTGCAAGTGCGCCACTAAGTAGCCATCAACAGGTAGTCCTCTTTTATCATACGAAGTTGAGAATAATAGGAAGGACACGCTTTTACTTTTAGCAACCACAACAGGATGATGTGCTCGAAGAACGACAGTGAATGTGGAAAATGTGAATCGAAAAAAATTCAGATGTTACATAATAAGTGGTAGCTAGTAAAAATATGAGAACTCTGTCGCTAACAGTCAGTTTCCTTCTGATAGTGAGACACATCTTCATATGTCGCTCGTCTTGGATCGTTTTTCTACCTTATGGATATTTTAGACAAGTATTGATAGTACAACACATGTCAAATTTGATAACCTTCTTTTTGTTTATAAATCAATGAATTGTATCGTGCCGCCGGTAGACTAGGAGTACTACTCGGGATCGATGACAATGAATCAATCATGAAAATATTACGGTAGTGATTTCTGTGTTTCTCATCCTCTGAGTTTAGCCTGTGTGCAGTACCTCCTCATAGTGTCATCACATGACATCGTTAGTACATACATATTCAAAGTCATTGGTAAAAGCTTTCTACTCAAGAACTTTCCATCTATTTGTTTTTTCCAGTTTCTGATTTCGTCATCCTCTATACGCTAATAGATTTGCGGTGGCGCTAGTAGTAAAAACGGCATAATCATGACTGCTGGCAAAGCATGTATTCATTGAGAGTTCTATTCTGCCTTCCTATTGTCGAATGATTTTGAAGACCACATTGATTGTCTGGAACTTTCCATAGTTTTCTTGCGGGAAGTTCACTGAAAATCAATTACCGCAAGCGCAATGAAAGATCGTGAACACGCACTTCTCACAAGTATCCGATGAAAAAAAGCTGCAGCAGTCAAATCCTGACTATGGGAGATGTTGCCTTTTCTTCACCTCGGTGGCATTGTGTTTTGAGCAGCATGCCGTGAATAGCGCGGACAGATCACCCAACAGAGTCTGAGTTGGTGTCTGCGCTGTCGGTGTAGACTTTTCTCACCTACGTGGAAAAAGGACTTCGATAGTATTCTAGATGAGTGAAGCTAGATTGCTTCATCTCTTGAAAGTAGCCTAAAGTGAGCGGTGCAGTGAGTGCATACCATAATGTAATCGATGTTGCGCATGTCCTGGGGCAAGTTGGAGTCGACAATCTGAAAGTCTACGTGTTTTGTTTGAGCCAGAGAGAAATTGAGCGAAGCGTGTTACACCCGCCCAATTCGCCTGCTTCCTTGAGCGATGGCCCAAGCGGCCTCCTTTTGAGCGACGACCCAAAAGATAAAAAACTGCATACTTATATATAAAATGTTTGTATCCATCTTTAAGTTTAATTGTAGATTTTATACCTCTAGAGAGTTTCATGAAGAAGTTGATTCATCTTAGTGCGATCAATAGAATGGCTTGAGTGAACCCGGCTTCAGCACTAGAAGCTTGAGTAGAAATTCTTAATTTTTGATTCTGTGTGCGAACAAGTACCTTTGCATTTCTATGTATTGGAATACTTCGACTCCAATGCCAGCAGGAGGTAGTTTCGAGAAGCCGAGCCCTATTTTATTTTTCACCTGTTTACGAAAACAAAAACGATAATCATTTTTTATTCATCTTCAATCGCCTTTGAATGCTTGATATTGTTTCTTTTTGAGAACAATACTTCGTAGATTCGTCTTAGGCTATTTCCTCCGTCGCTAGGAGAAGCATCTGCCATTTTTTTGGGTTTCGCTCGGCGCTGAGGTTAGAATTTATGGTCGAAGCAGTCGCTCTTAGACACTACGTGGTTTTTTTGTTGTGATATTTTTTTCTACCACTCCGTAATCTGCCCAGCACAGATCTTTCGCTTCAAAGCTTACACTCAGATGAATTATAGCTTCAGAAAGCGTACTAGATAAACCTCGTTTGTCCTAGTCAGTCAATCTTGTTTAGTAGCAATAGTCTTCCTAATACGTTTATGAGACGTCGCTTGATATAATTCCAAAAGAAGCGAGTGAAGTAGATAGACTCTGAAGGTTGTACGATTATTCATTCGATGGCAAAGGAGTCTTGAATTGAAGAATGGAGGAGTATCACGACTTTAGACAGAAATCTCTTACGAGGATAAGCATATGGTTTGGATTTAGCAGATTTCCCACGACTTAGTTAGCATCGCAAAGATCCTGCATTCATTTCGTCTCGCTGCTTGGTTTTTGTGTCTGCTAATATTTGCAGTTGCCATATGTGATTACTCGTTATACGATCAGAGAAGATGATAGTTGAAGAATAAATCAAAATTGGTAGTCCTTCTGTGGCCGCAAATGTTCGCTCGATGATGCAGGTCACACTGTGGACGGCGAACCACTTCCTATCCTATCCTATCGTCGGATTTACAAAGAGCGACTCTATCCATTTTTTTGCCGTTGGTTTCTTTTCTCCGATTTAAGTGCGCTTCTAGGCCCAACATCATAGTGATTAAGATCCTTAGACGCAGTATCGTAACATTTTACCCTGTCCTAGAAAAGAGAATAAAGTTGCTGATATTCATATCCTGTCCTACAAGCTAAAGAAATATGGGCTGTGCAGGCAGCAGCGCGGCGCAGCCGCAAGGGGGTCAAGCGGGGGGAAAGGTGATCCCGCTAAGAAGGCGCCTTAGTGTTGGGAACATCGATGATATCCAGACAGGGCAAACGCAGGAAGAAATTGTTGAAGAAGAACGCGGCCTGCTTTGGAAAATCACAGAGAAGAGTACTGATTACACTTTTTGTAATTATGATACTGGATGATCAACAGCAACTTCTTATCGACGTCGTAAAATAGATAAAAGACTACAGTATGAGTCGCGACACCATTGAGGACTGTCAGCATAATTAATGTTTTTTCTTGCGACCCGAGAAACTTCACGATCAAAACCCCATCACAGACATACTGGAAGTTGCCGATGAACTGAAAAACCTGGAAGATGGAGCACAGCCGTCACCGGCAAAAAGTGAACAGAAACGCAGGGTTAGTATAGGTACAACTAGCTTCATTTTGTTTTCCAGAAATCTAGCTGCGGTAAGAATGTAAGGTAATTAGAAATTGCGCTAGGTAATAATCTAGCTGCGGTAAGCTACTTCGCTGAGTTTTTTTCGATCAAAGTTCGTCATGCGGTACGCATATGGTATGGTGACAAGTCCCATGACCTCAAGATGCTAGGCCTTCTGCTGAAAGACCTTTACTCGTTTTTTCAATCACGAAATGAATGCAGGCTCCGAGACGGATAGGAATGCGAATAAGCGACAGAGCTTCAAAAGGAAAGACGAGTTCCAGTTAGGAGATGACTCAACGTCACTGCATATCGGCTACACCTGCAGAAAAGGATTAAAGCCAGAAAGCCCTAACCAAGACAGTTGGTTTGTCTTCGACGTACTACAACTACTACTACCTTCTTTTACGTCTGTACTAGGTTGTCTTCGACGTATTACTTTGTTCTTTCTACTGTATGAAGAATTATTTATTTCGCTTATACGACAAGAATTATGTTTCAATTCTGTGTTCTACCTTGCCAACAAACTTTTTTCACCGCATGCAAGTTACGACACTAACAAAAACATAGGTTGAAGACGACTATGCGATATATGGTGTTTTCGATGGACACGGGGCGAAGGGACACGATGTTAGCAATTTAGTGAAGGACTATTTGCCGAAAATGATTATCACAGCCGAAGGCTTTCGCGAAGACCCAGCTTCAGTAATGGTCAAGTGCTTTCTTAAGGTACTTTAAGTTTTGAAGGCTCTTCGATATTCACTTTATGAAAAATGCTAGTAAATCTTTTTTGCCTATTAACAGGCTTGTCAGGTTGCTTCCAGCTCTCAACTATCTGAACTGTATCATTTACAAGAACAACTAATACGAGAACGAGACTTATTTGTAAGCTCTTGAGCCGTCACGATTTTCATATTCTGCACCTCGACCACAGATGCAAGCTTTGCTTGTGCAGTTCGATCGGAACGAATTGGTGAACGGACAGCTTTCTGGAACAACCTGCACGATCGTGGTGCACGACCGACTTACAGAGAGACTCATTGTCGCACACGTTGGTGACTCCCGCGCGGTGCTTCTTAGAAAAGATGGGGAGACCGACAGGTAAAACCATGTAAATGAATTACACGATGCTACTCTAGTTCTTCGAAAAGTCGCGTGTTCTTGTACTGCTGGTGGCCGTGGCAGATGAACTACAGAAGTAAAGATTTACTCTCAATATTCATCACAAAGACTGAAGAAGGACAAGAAGTAGCCGACTCATTCAATCATGTAAAAAAATTTGAGGTTGTTGTTTCAAATTTGAGGTTGATGGAACGCACAAAACAGGATAGCGGCGCAAGACCTCACCACGGATCACAAACCGGAGTTGAAGGAGGAGCGAGCTTACATCGAGCGCAACGGTACTTTTTTTATGATCTAGATCGACGATTAGCCTAATATTATTAGCTGCTTGTGGAAAGAAAATAGGTCAATTCAATTTTATGACAGCAATGAAATCATAATTAGTGGAGCGCACAGTAAAAGTGATGACCGGGCGACTCGTGAAGCAGTGTCTGCGCGTTTCGCTTAAGTGATGACCGGCCGCCTCGTTTAAATAGTGACCGGACGACTCGGTTAAGCAGTGACCGTGTGCTAATTGTTTCGTTAAGTGCTTCGCTAAGTGCTGCGCGAAGCGTTTCGCTAAGTGATGCATTAACTTCTTGGCCAAGTGCTGCGCCAATGGCTTCGTAAAGTGCTGCACCAACGGCTTCGCAAAGTGTTTCGCTACATGCTTTGCGAAATGCTTCTTCTCTGAGGCACTTGAAGGAAAGGGCGCCTAAGTGCCTCTTTAACTGCCTCACGAGGCACTTAAGGATGGTGGCGCTTAGGTGCCTCTTTAACGGCCTCACGAGGCACTTGAGGATGGTGGCGCTTAAGTGGCTCTTTAACTGCCTCACGAGGCCCTTAAGGGAGGCGGCACGTAAATGCATCACCTACCAGTGAGGCGCGTTGCCCCTGTCACCTCACGGCTGCATGACTCCGCTACCCAGTATCGGCCCATACTCGCATCATGACCAATGTGAGTCTCACCACATCATCAGAGTAGAACAACCACAACTCTTCATCTACTCAAGAATGAAACTTGTCATGAATTTCTTGACATACTACAAGTATAAAATTTATCAGGTGGCCGAGTTGCATTTGATGGATTCGCGAATCACCGATTGTATGTGAAAAACGGGACTTACCCAGGATTGAACATGTCTCGTGCTCTGGGTGACATTCTCGGATCAACGAACGCTGGCGTAAACAACACACCGGAGGTTGCGATTATCAACCTACCGAAAAAAGGTAAGTAATTATTCATTGCCTCAACCATATTTGCTACTAAATTGAATGAGTCCGGCACAGATTTATGCCAGATGCAATTTTTGTGCCGAGGATGAATATCAATTCACCAAGAGAACGAAGAAAATCCTTCGCGCGATCGACTGCAATCGCCTGACGCTCCTTCTCTTTTTTCCACTTGCAAGCGACGAGTGACTCTCCGCCTACCTTTACCCATCTTCACATGTAGTACTCTATAGCTTGGACATTGCAACTACAGCTACACGTAGTGAAAAACATCGTAATTTCTTGATCAATATGTTCATCAGATGTGGACGAGTCTGAGTTGGTATCCCCAGACGGCACTCGCGCAGTGTTGGTTCTCTGCTCCGATGGGGTATGGGAGTTCATCAGCAGTCATCGAGCGCGAGATATAGTGATGCGATACGACAAAGCGAATGCCAAAGCCGCTTCGGAAGCTCTGGCCAAAGAAGCATGGGACAACTGGATCCGCGAGGAAGGAGGCTGCGTCGTCGACGACATCACAGCGTTGGTCGTCTACATCTAATAGCTGCTGATCTTAAGATCCATTTAGATGCTAGTACGAGTTAAGTACTTGATCTTAAGATCCATGATTTAGATGCTTGTTGTCATATTCAACTAGTAACATGATCTATGAATACTCCGTCGAAGGTGATGCGAGTACTAGTTAGAAGTAGAGGGGACGACCCCCCTCTAATACCTAAATTTCTAGTGATGTCAGCATGAGCATTGATTAGCATGATGAATAGAAAAAACAGACCACCTCTTCGACACTGACCTACAAAAGGTTACCAAAAGGACCAAGGAGTTCTCTTCTTGTTCTCCATCCAAGTGATTTAGGCTGAACGTGTTTTTACATAAAGGACGAACGAAAAAGTCAAACGATAAAGAATGCATAGCAGGTATAGAAGATTTGTAATGCATAGATAGATTTATTGAATAGGAATATGTGATTCACTACGTGCTGAATAGATGTTATTACTGCGAGTTGAATTCTAGTCATGTAGCAGCATGGCAATTATACCTGGATTTTCCATAGTTGCTTCATGACGAGGACGCAGCGTTCTTATTTAAGAAGGTACGAGACCACATTATAACTCACAGACTCAGTGAATGATGTCATGGCTTTTTTGACCCGCCCTGCTCGACCGATGTAGCGAGTCCTTGCCTATATGATAGAAGCAGTCGCACCAAAGAGGACCAACAACGTATCTATTCCGAAAATGAAAATCTTGATCATATTTCCCCCTTAGATTTTTTTAGCTTTACGTCGTGTCTGCATCAGGAATATCTGCCCCACTGACTGTGGTACATACTAGATATCAATCATCATAGCTTGTGTCCGTGTAGTTTCTACTATTTCCTGCATTGTTCGCCTAATATTTCTTTTTTTTTCTTGTTTTCTCTTGAAGCACCTTGATTATGTCTGCTTCCACGGCCAGCAAAGTAGTTCTTGTTGCCCGCCTGGACAACACGATGCGTGTCATATTTACAATGACCGCTGGACATCGCTGAGTTCGTAATCCCTGACACAACATATGTAACCGAAACATAAGATGAATCTAATGATACTATTACCACTCTATTATACAGGACGAAGGAATAAAATAGTCTTTTCAAGAGTGACTGATTAAGAAGTCTGGTCTCCTCGACTCTTCATCGCCCACGATTAGAAAGGGCCGACTGGCCACATCAGAAGTAGATAAACTAGGTTCATCTACTCAACTGTTTACTTGCTAACAGCTGTTTTATGTACTGTTGTTTCCGGCATTGCCTTGGCTTCTGATTTTGTAGTTAGAACGACTTGTCATATCTGATGGGAAATCGAATGAATGCCTTGTCCAGCATATGCGTTTGACTTGTTTGTTATTCTCTTGCGTTGACTATTATTCTCATATTGTCATATCACTAATGGTAGAGAACCACTGATTGAGATGCTGCAATGATGATGATTATACTGTTGTAGTCTTTGAAACTCCTGCATAGCGTCAGCGACATAGTCTCAAGTTAGCTCGGGGCTCGTTGGTCCTTTCTCAGTTTGTTACTATCCCACGCCGCTTTTGCCCAGCGTTAAACTAACTGCAAGGTAGTGGATCTACGTGCGCCATTGAATGACTGACTTTACGAGCAGAGCCTTGCGCTCTGTGTGAAATTAAAGCCGGATGATACGATCATCATAACCAGAATGAAGAACTGAGGAGGCACAGACTCTTCTTCATATGGATGTGTGGAGCGCATCACTACAACACACGTCCGCCTTTTCTTGCTACCTAGAGACTTCCCACTTACTGTGCACGCGATTGCCAAGGATGTCGTGGCATGAAAGTTCTTGTCCGCGGATCCTCCAGAGCGGATGCGACTTCAATCAAGAATTAGAATATGAAACTAATTATTCATACTTTGCGGTGTTTTACACTTTAGCTTTCCTAAGGGATATAGGTTATTTCTACGCTATAGAAAACCCAGTGTCGACACCGTGTAGAGAGCCTGTTTGATCGCGGGCGGAGAAAACAAAACCGGACCCCCGATGTCGCGTTAATTACAGCCAAGGAACAACTTTTTGCTTTTGTGGCATTTTTAACCCTCGGGTTCATAATTAATGTATGACCGTTTGAGCTGCCGTGCATATTAATATTATTCAAGTCATTAGTCCTAGTTCATATTGCGTTTTTCGCTAAGAAAAAATGTGAAGTTCGTGTGCAATGAAAAAAAAAACTTGCAAATTATTGTTTCGTTCTGTATATTGAACAGTATGATCTTTACTACCACATATTTTCAAAAGATGATCAGTTGTGCTTCTAGTCAGAATCCACAGATAGATTAATATTTAGTTCTGCTCCTCCAGGCAAAAAATGATAGGCTAATACTATTATTTCCCACGACTACATTCATACGGTCAAAAGATGGACGACAACTCAGAGCGGTTTTATCATTCCATCACATAGCATGACGCGATACTAGTATTATGTCTTCACGTTTCCTTATTTATCTGAGTGCGTGAAACAAGAAAAATGCCCGGCGAGACCAGTGCCAACCACGGTGTATACACAGCGAGAGCACCAAGCAGAAGTGCTTGTCGGACGACTCGTGTATCTTCATAGCACAAAGTAGATGTGCTCATCGAGCCCTCGCGAGGACTCTCCGATCGAGATTCACTTTTTTGTCTTTCGCTTCACAGATAGAAATTAGCATTGAGCAAAAATCCAACCGCGGTGTGGACGGGAAGTGCAGGAGACCCTTCCTTCAGTCTTTTAGTAGCATCAGAACTGAAGCGTGTGTTCTCTCGAAGGTCAAATTATCTTAGAAGGACTCGAAGTTTGCCAACGGTCATCATCTGATCTATTACTGTATCCCTAAGTAGAATTAGAAAGCACGTTTTCATGTCGTCGGTCTTTCAATAGATCCCTCCTTACGACGAAGGCACATGACACATCGAATCGATGGCGTTTGAGATGAGGTAGTAGATCAAAGCAGAAACTATTTTTCAAAGTTTTTGTATCGAATACGAGCCCAGCAGTTCTCTACCTAGTGGAGTAAAATTGATAATGAGAGAGGTGAGAACTAGAGGAGCAAGAGCCGAGTGATTTTTATCGAGGGCGTCCTAGTGGGGACAAGAGTCGTGCTCGCCATTGTTTTGGAGTATTCGGACACTGTGATCGTGTTCCGAATTTGCATGTAACTTATTGATCGCCAGTTTTTAGTCTGAGAGAGGAACGAGCAAAAGAAACAAATTTGCTTCCCGTCGCAAACCTTGCCTCCGTTCGCCAAATAAAAAACAGCCTCAATTCATAAACCACTTGTCCTATTGACATGACAACTCCTTTCTTTAGTTGATAACTCCCCCTGCTTGCCCCCAGTCCCATAGATTGGCGTTTCTTGCGTAAACATTTTTTTTGCTCGAAAAAGGTGTGTCACGAAACCCCCACTTTTCTCTCTGCTTGCAACATAAGTATTTCAGATAGATCCATGCCGTCGCAGTCAGTATATTATATAGTCGTCTTGAGAAGCTTAGTAAGTAAGTAGTCTGCATTTAGTGGAGTGCACTGGTCGTCTTCATCAAGGAGAAACAGGAGTTGGAGAGAATTAGCTCCCACTTCCACAAGTCAAGGGTCCACATTTTTCTTCATTCATCAAAAAAGCGGTAGTAACGACATTCACACAAAGTTGTTCGACTGCTTGTTCTTTATAAGTAGAGGTCGTAGTAGAAGTACTCGTAGCACTGCTTCTTGATAAGAGGTCGTAGTGGAGGAAGTACTCGCACCGTGTTCGACCTCCGCGAAATACACTTGAACTTGTTGTAGTAGGTGAGGAAAAAGACATGTTGACCGCTTTTACTCCCACGAGGAGCGTTGCGGAAACGTGCAAGACCGGGAAAGCTGTGAACGAAATCGTGTCCAGATGAGAGGGCGTTTCCGCGGCTGCGACATGCTGCCGCCACTCGCTCGGACAGCGCTCAAGCGCCTCCTGTGTAGGAGGAGGACGACGAAGATGAGCAGATCTTCTCAAGAACAGCATCTTCATGCTGTTGTTGGGCTGCTGCAAGCCAAAAGAAGATGTCGAGCGTTTTTCGTCGGATTTTTCTTCCTCCTGCAGGCCCTGCTCGTTACCTCAACCCGCAGCGATGACGATGACAGCAGGTCGGACACGAAGATATCGGGTTCAGGAGTTGTGCGAAGACCTGCGGCAGAGAAGAGTAGCAAGAGCCCGCAGGACGAGGATGTTGAGGCGTTTGCCGAGGAAGTGGAACGGTTGCTCCAGGAGAAGGAGGAAGCGGAACGGTACCTACCGAAAAGACCCGAAGTCCACCTGAAAAAGCGGCCAAAGACAGCACTAAAAGAGGGAATTGCTTACAACGAGGTTTTCCGGCAGCGCGTAGAACAAGAGCGAAGACGGCTCTCGGAAAAAGGCGAAGCCGCGGAGAACACGAAAACACTGTTGACTTCGGGTCTCGACCCAGCGAAAGTTGTAGAGTTGGTAGACCGACAAACTTCACGCCCGAGCACGGGAAACGGTGCTTCAAGTGCGTCGAAGGTAGGAGACCACGATATTACTGTAAAAGATACGCATCTCCAAGGAGGCGGTGGCCCCAAAGGAGCGGCAAAAAATTTTGGATTTGAGAAGAATCTAAGGCGTGAGCTGACCTCAAAACGGTCTTATGACGATCCCGATCTGATGACAACGTCGCGAGATCTGCAGAGGCGCCTCACGGTAGAAGAGGGTCTTCGCCTCGCAGTTGCGACTCCAGCAGCTGCGCCTCTAGCGAGGAGTACATCCGATAAAACCTCTGCGGTTGACAGTAGCGACAGCAGGGCGCAAAAGAGGAGTTCCACTCATTCTACTCCAGATGGTTTGACGCGACGGCTTTCCCAATTGACAGAGCACGAGCGGCAGAAGCACCACGCAAGTCAGTGGGCAGCGACTGCACGTGCCGCGAGTGTAGCTGAAGTAGAGCGGGAGCGGTTATCGCGCGAGCAAGAACAAGCTGCTCCTCCACTCCGCAAAAATAGTGACCATGGAAGGGCTTCATCAATCGCTTCAAGTTCAATGAGGAGGAGCAACGAACAAGATGAGGAGCAACGAAGACTCCAAGGCTCGTCTGGCGGTGTAGATGGCGTAAATCTAGCACTGAATAAGGGTGTTGCGCTGTCCTCCACGGGAACCGAAGTGCACCCGAATCCGGCCATAGGCTCACGACAAGGCAGTGCGAGCTACGCGGTCGATGGAACGAAGGGAATGTCTTTTTTCCAAGACGGGTGCGCGCAGACGTGGTCCCGCGCCACCGGGGACGGGGGCGAGGACACCGATGACTTCCCGTGGCTCCGGGTGGATTTGGGGCGTCCCGAGCACGTGGGTTTGGTGCGGCTGTGGCCTCGGAACGACGTTTTGAAGACACTGACGCACTTCGAGTTTCGTGTTGGCACGATTGGCGGAGACCGATACGACGAGAACGTCATCTGCAGTTCGGGTCCCGGGGGAGGCCTCTCCGGTGTCACCGAAATGGACGACGACGGGGTCACGCTGATTCCTGGGCAGATGAACTCCATCACGTGCGAAGCGTTCGGGCGGTACGTTTTTATCCTCATCCGAAAGCGCAGTGCAGTCTTGTCGCTCTGCGAGGTCGAGGTCATAGCGCAAGGACCAGTGGGTCGAGCGGACCTGTCCGCGGTGGCGGGGCAACCCTTCAACATCTATCTACAAGGGATAGGGATGCAATTGGCAAATCGCATCCGAATCGTCGAAGACACCATCCTGTGCGGCACATTGGAGAGCAGAACGATGTCGCACTCCGTCTTCCCTCTCACCTCGCCTGAAGGTGCGTTTTTTCCTTACTAGAAAGAGCGCAGAGCGTTCTTATGTTGTGATCAGTATACGAAGTAGATATTAGTTTATTCTATTCGCCATGATTTTAGTAGACATAGACTTTCTTTTGATGTATGCGAGGTCCATTGAGTTCTTGGAAGCTTTGCACTTTTCAACAATGACGGATAAAGACATCGTGATGTTAGAAGTAACACCTATGTTGCCTTGACCTAGGTCCTCCGGATCTGACCGGCGCCTCTTTGTGGGAGCAGTGGTCCAACGTGACGATTGCTCGTGCGGGTTACTACAAAGTGTGCTGGTGCGGTGGCAGTTGCGACGTCGGCGAGAGCGTCTTTTCGACACATGCCCTCCGTCTCGTTCTGACCGGGTCGATCGTGACGATCTCCAACGGCGTCGGACGCGCGCCGGCCAATTTGACGGACCCTGGTGTCGTGGACGGCGTCCCGATTATCCACAGCGCAATGTCAAAGCCCCTTGATGTGGCAGTGATGGAGCGAGGTATCTTCGTCGCCGAGGGACATCGGATACGCTACTTAGACCTGATTATGGGACAGGCGTACCGCATTGCGGGGAACCTCTACTCGGGGAACGGGGGTGATGGAGGACTCTCGCAGGCCGCTCTCCTGAACAAACCTGCCGGGCTGACGATTGACAAGCGCTATTACTGGGAGTTCCTGGCGACGGACGCAGCGTTCGGCACAGCCACGTTCCAAACCGCTAAAGTTAAGGACTACTAGAAACATTCAAAGTACAGATTATAGCACTTGCTTAATATTACGATAGATTTTACATCTACCTCCTAGTTCCGTAGAGCTCTTCTAAGAAGTGGGATATGTTCCAGAACACGCAGCACTTCGTGTATCGGCTGTACTTGGCGGAGCAGCACAACCATCAGGTTCGAGCGATAGAGTATAGTCCGAAGCATTTGCTAACTACGGCAATCACGGAAGCAGAACTATACACCACAACGGGGATCATTTCGCGTATTGCAGGCACGGGCTCTCCGGGTTTCTCTGGGGATGGCGGAGCAGCGCTGTTGGCAAGGTTGGACTCGCCTAGTGGGATCTACTTGGACGCGGAAAAGATGCTCTGGTTGGCAGATTCACTGAACAACCGGATTCGCATTGTCTTCCTTTTATGAACTACAAGACGGAGGTTTCGGATGAAACTATCATCTTTTATTTTTCATGATCGTTTGTTCTGTTTTCTTGTAGACATTCTTTTGGTAAAGAAGCGGTGACTTTCCCATGATTGACCTATGATTGAGCAAATCTTGGTCTAGGGTGAAAACCTTGAAGTTGCTATTTTCCCCTTGTCCCCTCCTTACTTTCTCTTGTGCCTGCCTCGTCTTTGTCTACTTAGTCATTATAGTCCCTTCGCCTTACTATTGCCACTACTTCTCCTACTAAATGTGATGTTCCTTTCTAATACTTGACCCATTGAGCTCGCGATTTGGGAAAATTTACACTGCTATCGGCGAGGGGCCCCAGGGATATGGTGGTGACGGTGGAAATTCCCTGCGTGCGCAGATCAACTTCCCCAAAGGTGTCGTCTGCACTCACGTAGACCCTCTGGAGGAGGATGATGAGGAGGGAAGGCTTCTGCGGGCTGTGGTCTACATCACAGAACACGGAAACCACATCGGGCGAGTAGTGCAGATGCACTTCGGCGAAACCTGCGGACTTCAAAACGGTCCTATTTGCGGTCTCATCGACACTTACGTCGGCACGCCGATGCAGAGTGGGTAAGGCTTCTTTTTTTTACAGTAAGACGGTTGTGCTTGTTGATGTATCTTCAGTCTAGTCAACACTGACTTTGTTCAGATTACATATACCGAATAGATCGATATCGAAACGATGCACCATCTTGATGTATGACCATATGTAACCTTTGAATATTTAACCAGTGTTGATTTGTATCTGATATTTTGACCAGGGATTTGTTGGGGAATCTGAGGAGCACTGCTTTTTTGAATGCCCCTATGGGTCTGGCGTTTAACCAGTTGACCAATATGCTGACGATGTCCGACTGGGGGAATCACCGATTAATCGGGATGCCGACAGCGCAGGTTGTTAGTATGGGTTGCTGGCGTGATTCAACTGATCCGAATGCGGTGTTACTGAAATCGCTGGAGAACCCGAATCCGCCTTCGCCTTACCTAGTGGGCGATTACTTGACGCGCAAGAACCCGGTGCACGCTTGCTTCTTAGAGTCCTTGCGTATGGGTTTCGTGCTGTTTGGCATTCGCCAAGGCGGGGAGTGCGTGTCCAACAAGAATGCGGAGAACACTTACAAGGCCTATAAGACGTCCACGACGTGCGTCGACGGGCTGGGGGCCACGTCCGACAATAACATCTACAAAATCATCGCGCCAGGGCAGGCGTTAGCGGAGCTCGGGCGCGTGTTCGCGATCGCCAATGCAGGGGGGTTGCCCGGTTACGACCAAAAAGCGCTGGCGGACTTTAGCATTGCTCTGAACGCCGTAGACACTCAACTGCACAGTCCTTCCGGGATCGACGTAGATCCAGCGAGCAACAACGTGTGGATCGCGGACGCTTTGAACAATCGTGTGCGCGTGATTTACGGGCAGGCGGGTCCGAACAGTGGCCAGACCTATCGCTGCACAAACGGCATGCGGTGCATCATAGAGATTCGCGGCAACGGCCTGATGACCACGGATCGCATTGGCATGTTTCCGCACGGAACGAAGTGCGGCGATCCGAAGTCCTTTTTTAGTAAAGGCTTTACAACGCTGGCAGGCGTGAGCACGAATCCCGCGACGCTGATTCCCTCGAACATGTTTGACGCGAAAGAATTCGACTTGGGCGTGCCGCGAGTGGAAAAAGCCGCCTTATTTCAGGTCTGTTTCTGTCCAGACCAGAGCGCACGTGGCAGTGGGACAGCGGCAACCAGTGCGACGGGTCGCGTGTGTCAGGACTCGCGCTATTTTACCACAAGTGCGGGTACTCTGACCATGAGCGGTCCAGATCGACTGCGGCTGGACGTGCGCGCTGGCGAGGCGTTTCACTTAACCGTGACCGGGTTGGATTTGCACATCCAGGATCGAGTGATGTTCACGCCAGCGGTAGACGGCGTAACCGGCGCTGCGAGAACGTGCATGGACAACTTCTTGCTAGGCTCTGTTCAGGATCAAGTATCTCATCTGCCGGACGTGGTGAACATGTTCATGTACGAGACCGCAATCACCTCTCCGTACCAAATTCCCCGTGATTTCGGCAACACAACTGTGAGTTTGTGGCAAAGGCTAGAACTGAAACGCGGTGGAGTTTATCTGGCTTGTTGGTGTGATGGCCAGCGGGAGCCGCCGGTTGGCTTCCGCTCAAGGCTGAATTCCGACTTAGTCGCGTGTCGACGCAAAGGCGACTACCAGACGCAGGCCGTGGAAGTGCACGTGCATGGTCCTTACACCATGGACGGCACCTTCTACGCGCCCGGCGAAATGAGTATCGTGTACTCGGCGCAAGTTGCGACCTTTGTGCAGCTGAAGCTCGAAGGGAGCCGCTTTCGTCGCTCGGACCGCATTCGCATTGTGAAGAAGCTCAGCGCGAACCACAAGTGCGGCACTCTCGGTTCCATGGAGTTCAGCGACACCATGTTCGGGAAGGCGCCCACAGGCCCTCCACTAATCATTTCGGAGTATAGCGCGACCTGGACCGACTTTCAGTTCAAGGACAACAAGGAAATGCTCGTCTGCTTCTGTGGACGCACCACGGGGACGATGGATCACGTGTCACAGAATTTTCCAGGGCAAATCAACACGAAGACGCATGATGGCTGTGTACGCGACGAAGACTACAACATTTTAGCGGGGGTGCTCAAAGTAAAGGGGTTGTCAGCGACGCAAACCGACGACGGAATATTCCGTGTGCCAAAAGGTATTCTTGTGATTGCCTCCTTTGAACCTGCAAGCATGGCTTTTGTTTCTGAATTTCAACGGACCAAATATCATTTGTACTTGTAAGTAGAATATTCGAAAGCTGCGCTGCATCTTGCAGGGCATGAACGTTCATCACTAGTCGATCCACATCACTTAGCTTCAATATGATGTCTATGTTTTATACGGCATGATAGGAGCCTTTGATGAATTCTTCAGCCACCGAATTCGCATTGACGCTCGTTGGCGAGGATTTCACGCGTGGAGAGAAGATCTCTCTCGTAGAGACCTACATCAATTGTGGATCGTCCTCGGCAAGTGTTTCCTCAGCTCAGCTTTTAGGGGATCAAATCGAGAATATTCCGATGCGCAACGCAGCGCGAACGGAAATCACGTGGTCGGGCCTGCGCATTGACAGCGACACAATTTTGAAGATCTGTTACTGCGGTGGCGACTGCGAGCGCGGCAGCAACTACATGCTGGAGATAGGAGCGGTGCTGGTAGGGGCGGCGGCGTCCCACTCGAAACTGCAGACGAGTCTGGTCACAGCGAATCCGACCGAGAAGGACCTGGTGGAATTCAACAAAATGCACGCGCACCCAGTACAATACTGGAAAACCAAGGCGAATGTCTTGTATGGCCATATTCTGCACGTCAAGACTCGGGACACGCCAGCGGCGCACTCGGGGTCGGCGGGTCCCTTCCACGTCTACTTCTGCCGCACCGAAACGGAGTGCATGCCGCAATACGCAGTGCTCTCGAATCTGGAAGCTCTCGGCCGACAAGCGTGCAAGGGTACGACGTGCTGCGGGAAGGGTACGATGAACAACGGTGCGTGCGTGTGCAACACTGGTTACACGGGTGACCTGTGCGAGGTACAGGTGTTCACGCGACCGCGGTACCTGATCTCACCGGTTGCGCTCGAATTTCGCAGCATCAAAATCGTCGCCGGCACCAACGATGCCTGGTTTTGCGAGTACATCGTTGCCCACTTCGGCGGCGACTTGGACGACGAGGACCGCGCCATGTACGACAAAAGCAACAAATACCTGCTGAACAGTTGGTTCTCTGCGAATCCAGAGCCGCGTAGTATCACCACCGGAAAGTACTACTTCTACGAAAACAACTGGCGCAACGCGTTGCAGCAGCCAGCCTTCACATTCCCGTTTCCGAGTAAGAAGATCAGCAACGAGTACTACTTGCAGAGTGACCCGTGTAACGGGTGTTCGCTAGGTTACGAGTGCGTACAGGTGCCCATTCAGGCAGGCGAATTGTTGTGGCGGGACTTCGAGTTTAAGAAGGCAGAGGCGACGGACACTATCGGTAGTGCGCAGGCTACGTGCCAGCCAGTGTGCGGCGACGGCCTTGTCGTGGCGGATGAACAGTGCGACGACGCGAATATTCTGCCCGATGACGGATGCTCGCCTTTTTGTACAGTGGAGCACGCGTGGCGGTGTGTCTCGAACTACGTGGAGGGCAACGCGAGGGTGGCATTGCGCAGTGTTTGCGCCCTGGAATTCTGCAACGAGCGAGCCGGCGCAAGCGTTCTTACGCAGAACTATGGCCTTTCGCACTTCCAGCGTGGGCATCAGATCGGCTACATCTGCAGTGAGTCAGCAGCCAGGACGATTGTTCCGAGAGACGATACCTTTCTCCGCTGCTACGCGTGGACTCCGCTGCTGGAACTGCCCGCCGGCGCCCCCCGCGACGACATCTGTCCTTCCACTCTGTACCAGTACCACAATTTCCAAAGTTTGAAGGGCACGGGGTTTGACACCTTTTCCTTCCGCCCGCAGCGATACACGAAAGTGGACTGTCGTGCGTTCGATATGATTGAGCGACCACCTGGCCGAACAGTGGACACGCAGTTGGTGAACCAGAAAAAAGATGCACCTTTTCGGACTCACGGCTACCGAACGAAAGAGGAGTGCCGGGATGCTTGCTTTGTTGATCCGGATTGCGTTTACTCCCAGTTCTGGATACAAAATGAGGCACCTAGCGATTGCGACCTTACCTTCGACTGCCACTCGTTCTGCAAGATCGTCGTGGCGTATTATTTAAATCTTGGACTATATAGACTTTGTGTTTTTTTTCCAGTCATCTCTCTTGTGGACGGTTGGAACCAACATTATCAGTTATGTAGAGGTACTACAGCAGGTACAAACAGTAACAGATTATGTGCATGCGATGTCGGTTGTCACACGAAGGATGAAAAGACACGCGAGTCGCTAAAAACGGATCTTCTTTCTGATCGTTTTGAGGCACTTTGCGTAATGTCCAAAAACCAACAGGTACACTGTCGAGCGGGCTGCGACGGCTTCGGAAAAGCAGCAGTTTGGACCCGGATACTCGTACCTGTACCAAAAGGCTCGTCGCGCAGGCGGAACGCAGACTGGCGACTACTACTGCGGCATCCAGAAAGCGCCGCAGCCTGTAAGCGCTTACTATACGCAGGACTTCGGAGCGGCCATTGTCCTCTTCTCTGACGCAATTCAAGGCGTCGGCCCCACGCTGTTTCAAGAGGGATTCTGCACAGACTACGTCGCGGGAGTGAGCAACGGCGTGATTGGTGGGACTGAAGCGCAGTGCATCTGGAAGTCGCCGAAGCATTTGTATGTCCAATTTGGCGGTCGAGCTATGATCGGCAACACAGAGTGGGCTCTCACGGCCAGCGTAACAGCCACCACGACTTTGGCAATTGGCGGTAGCATGGTCCCAACAACGACGGTGGCGCCACCGCGGGCATTGCAGGTGGCAGAACAAAGCTTCGGGGCAGCAGGAGAGGTTGCTCGACTTCCTCCACATGACGTCGAAGGACGTCTTCTGACGACCACGACATCTCTCACGACCCATGTTCCAGTGTACGACCACTTGCGCCAAATTCATGGTGGACCCAGCTTTGTCGTTTTCAAGTCTCCGCATCTACGACCTCGAGGACAACCCGACTTTCCAGTACCGACGTCGGATAAACACTATCCCATCCCGGTGCGCTCACCGCCCTCACTGGTAGCTAGATCGCCGCAGGTGATGCTCAAAGCCCCAGACTCCATCGGAACGTGCAGTGATGTCGAATTCGAAGCCTCGCAGAGTCACACAAGCGGTACTTTTGTCTTGGTGGTTCGAAGCAAATTTCTCGTCACAGGGTTGCTCTGCCTCTGTTGATATTCATTACTCACGGACGGTTCATAATTCCAGATACTTTCTTAGCTTAACCACGATTTGTTGCATGGATCTGACACTCAGCACCTCTTCAAGGCGTTAGAAATAACTTTGTTTCTCGATTCAGCATCGTAATTTGACAAATAAACGTAGGTATGCGTCGTTGGGCCTCCGTGAAATGGACGTGCATGGAGACGCGACCGATGGACGAGAATGATCTGATGCAGGTGGTGCGAGACATTCTGTACAACTACTGCGAGACGCACATCCAGCCTTTGCTAGATTCGAAGCCTTGGTGTGGAAGCGAGAAGAGCAACGATCCAAGTGTGATTGGTGTGCGCCCCTGCGATTTGAAAGTTGTCTTACCGTTGTCCGTGGTGTGCCAGCTGCAGAGTGTTTCCTTGAGAGTGGAAGTCGGCACGTTCAACGGAATGACCTCCATGGCAGAGGCCACAGCGACGCGAGGGAGTCGCAACCCGTTCCTGCCCATGGCGCGTGCGATTGGGCCTTCCTCCCTGACGCTGCCTATGGAGATCGACGCGACGAAGCCGATCAGGTTTGAAGTAACAACCAAGGCACCCGAATACCTCAGGAACTGCTACACAGTGTGCCCCCAAAGTTCCCCCTTCTTCCGAACGACGGCTTCGGTCTCGACAACAATTAGCCCATTGACAGATCAATCACAGGAGGAACTCGCTGGCATGGTGCAGGACTTCATCAAGGTAATGAAATACTTACTTACGTGTGATGAAGTACAACATCTACATCTACTTGAAACTGAGATTATAGCTCTTTCCTACTAAATGCATCTGGTGCAATTGCATTTATTGCAAATATTCTCCTGAAGCAGATTCGGACAGGCCTTGAATGCTAAGTAGCTCTCTGTTTCTTGTGAGTTTGATTTCTAAATGGCATTGCCTATACATAACGCCAGATTCGCTGGTATTACGGCAACTGGATGATGAGCCCTACCGGCGAGCGCACTGCGCCAAGCATGATGGAGCTGTTCTCGGTCGAAGATCAGAATGAGAGCGTGAACCAGAACGTGCTGTTGATATCTCAGTTTCGCAATCCGCACCTGTTCTACCAGCCGGGCGCAATTTGGTACTTCGCCGCTGCGGTGACCTACTCAACGCGTGCGGCAAGCGAAACCGCGTTCTCACTGGTGCCGTTCGAAGTAAAGATCGACCAAGTGCAGCAAGTTAACGTGCACTTGCGAGCGCCACTTGTGGTGCAGGGCACGACGTGCGGTTTCATTGTCGACGCGCACCAAACCTCATACACTGAATTGCGGGCTTGGTCACACTCAGCGACAGAAAGACGCCAGCTGCTCTTAGAGGGTGACGCAGCAGAAGACTCGAGCAATGTTTGGGACCCCAAGAAGAGAAAAATGACAGTACATAACTTTACATACTACAGTCTAAACACGATGCAAGCTAGAAGCAAGTAGTAAAGTTTTCAAAATCTGATGCCAATTCTTTTGATGTTCTTCTCTGGTCTTCTCTTTTATCTTCCTCAAAGTCCTCCTTTTCTATTGCTCCGATGATGGTGATATCGATATCTAATATGCTTAGCATTACTGCGAATATTTTTCAGTATCATGATCTCTTAGGCCGCTGAGCGCAAACGCATTTTGAAGAGTGCAGAGATCACGCATCCCGACAACCTAAAGCGAGTGCCTAATGCTGGGTTTAGCGAGAAGGCTTTCGAGGCGATGGAGCATGAGCGGGAGGACGATATGCCAGTTCTAGCTCGTTGGCTCGAAGCTGGCGGGACTTCCTTCGATTTTTTGCGTGCATTAGAGAAGAGACGAGACGACATTCGATCCATCTCCAGCTTCGATTCTAATCGGTACAAGCATCTAAAGCTGCCAGGAATGAGGCGCCAGAAGAACGCGGAAGTCAAAGCACTCCCAAGTAATGTTGCCCACGCTGGATTTGCGGACGAACGTGCGTTGCAGAATGGTACTTGTTGGTGCGACGTCACGTTATAATAACGTGTTGGGGATTTGTTAGTAAGAAACTACCAGTGTTGAAAAAAAAAGAATGCTTACTAGAAATGAATGTTGAATTAATTGACACAACTATTTCAGCCGGCGGCTTTTCGTCGACAACGACGACTACGACGAAGACCTTTGCAATGTCGCAGTGGGATGGACTGACGCATTTGGATGATCCCCGTTTCCTCGATTGCTTCGAGACTTTTCCGGACTTAAAGGAGATCGAAAATCCTACGCCAGCCTACAATTTGCGCAACATCTGCTTGGCTTTGAACAGTACCACATCGTATCACTGGTGTGCCGTTTCCCTTGAGTCGGCACGCGTCTCTACGCAGACGCTTTCGCCGGTTTACTGCGAGCTAGCGCGCACAAATTGTACCCGCGCAGTGAGTCCGCCGATTCCGGAGCCCTCGTGGTGCAAGATTGCACCAATTGTGGTGGACCCAGACAGCGTGACGTTCGTCGGTTCCGAGCCGACCACTCCGCATCGCATGGTCTACCGCTGGGGCTGCCGCATGCTGCCGAGTACTGCGGATGACGAGGACCCCGCAAGCCCCACACCCGAAAGCATTATGGTCGAAGTGCGGCAAAAACTCGAAGTTTGCCAAAATGCCTACGGGTTCGTGCCCGCAATGGAGATGCCGGTCGGTCTGCGAGCTGGAATCTACGAGTTCACGGTCGAAGTGTACGATCGAGCGACGCAGTACATGGTCTACAACGTGCAGCGGTCCATTCTGGTGCAAGTGCTGGGCGTGGAAGCGGAGGATATCTTTCCGGTGCACATCGCGAGCAGCAACTTTCGGTCGGTGGTCACCGACATGGGTCGCGGCCCGACGTGCATACGCGCGGACGACAAATCCGAGAAGCGATTCATGATGCGCTTCCGCGGTACGGATCCACGGGAAAACATGCGGAACATGGTCATGATTGACATGGAAAACACCGCTTCGCAGGCCTCTATAAAAGGACAATACCCCAACTTTGGCACGGCCATGGCTGAGAGCGTAACCTTTGAGAAGTATCGCCGTGACCTAGGATTCACCATCACGGAAACCACTTCACTGACGGAGTACGCGATCCACGGATACTCGAAGATGCTGTCCGCGGGGTTCACCTACGACTTCTTCGTGGTAGGTGCGGAAAAGAAAGCACCGACGAAAGTCACGGCGTTCTTCAGGTACAAATTAGAAAAAAGTGCTGAAGAAAACCACTGGTCGGCGATGTCTAGCGTTGGAGAAATATTTACCGACGCAGTATATTTAATTAATCTTTCTCATTGATCAAAATTGCAACTACAACAGGTATACCAATGAGACGAATGATCGGCTGACTCTGACGGCTCAGTTCCCAGAGTATCCGTATCGATTTCCCGAAGAAACGATCGATCCGGATGGCACAAAAAAGATGCGCGGTGTCTCGGGGCCCATGCTGGAGCCTGCAGTCGCTCCTGGCACGCCGAGTCTGATCTCTGTCCCGACTTCTGGCGTTGCGGTCAAGGACATGTTCAAGATGGATCAGATTTGGAGTAGCAATTATGCGCCTTTGGAGTACAAGTACGTGTACGCAGAAGTCCCTCCTCTCTTGCACACTGCCTTCGTGGATTGCCGAGACTTCGACAGCGACCCCGTGATCCGACGAAACGCAACGAGCTTTTTGGCCGCTACTCTGCAACCAGTGCTGAAAGAAATGCGGGAATACTCTTACCGTACGGACATGGAGACTACGTTTGCGCAGGGCAACTATTTAGTAGGCGGTATTGCACGGGATCGCTTAGGGGCTACGAGTGCAACCTACGCTTGTGTTGAGGTCACGGAGTTGCACCGGGAGGACGCGACGTTCTCTCCCATCAAGAAACTGGAAGCACTGGACGAGTTTGTGCGACGAAGTTCGGACGCGTTGTCGATTTTACGCGGCCACAACCAGCCGGGCGGCGAAATAGCGTTCATCTACGAGATTTTGACCAAGGACATGCCGAACTTCTGGGCCTACGACTGGGAGACCATGGCGTTCAACAACGACCCGACGCGTGAGTTCGTGCAGCCTCTTAACGCGGCGCCCTTCGTGAGCAAAGAGCAACGCGAACGCGGAGCAGAATTCGTGCGTCAGGTCCTGTCCTCCATGCGCCTCGCGGCGGGCCAACTGCACTCCGACAATTTCCGCAAGGAAGACGCAGAGACAAGCAGTGGCAGTAATTCGGAGCAGGGTTCGATGATGCCCAGTAGTATTGCCGGCACTTCGGAATCCTCAAGTGGAGGAAGCAACGGAACCACTCTCCGGGAACTAGGTGATGAAGAATCTGGCGAGAAAGATCCACAGGACGTCAATAGCAGGGTAAGCAAAGCCGGTCTTGCTGCTGCAAGAGCAGTGGGAGAAGAGAATTTGGCACTGTTGCAAGGCATACTACCGGATGGAAGAAGCAAGAAGGCAATGCTGCGTACGGATCTCCTGAAAGAAGTGGTTGCAAGTGCAGTCCGACAGCCTGACGAAGCGAAAGAGCAAACGAAGCGCAAGGCGTCGGAAAAGACGGGAGAGGAGCAGGCGCTGGGAGACGCATGGGAACGCGGCATAGACGTGGATGTCGATGGTTTTTTCACCAGTGGAGAGAAGAGCAGAAGAGCACTGTCAGGCCATGATGGCGGAGACCACTTGAAGCGACACGTTTTGTTGAATAGTGTGAACAAACTGTTTCACATCAACACGTTGTCGAACTCCTTGTTGCTTATGGCGAAGCAGATTGGCGTGTTCCGGAACAACACGATCGACATCATGGCTGCCGATGTGGTGAACGTAGTCATGCAACGCTTCCGCGACGCACACGGACGGCTTTCGCACTTTGACTCTGCCGCCAACGAGTTCCTGGAGGTCGAGGCCGTCTTGCTGGAGCGCGTACAGCATCTGACGTTGCCGCGCAACCAGAAGACCGTCTCCAACTTCAACTACACCGACCACCCGGACGCGAGACTCTCGAGGATTATCATCGAGGGCGTGGTCAACATCGCAGAAGCGTATGTTGTGCAAGCGCCCATCGGCATTCTGCAGACTGTGACGGCACCGTTTATTGATCCAGCGCGGGCGACGCCGCTGGCTTTGTCCATTTCCATCGCGCGGGATCGGCCGGGCCGCTACGAGACGGGGGAAAGCGACGGCGTGGGCAAGAATCTAGTGCCGAACGCAAACCTGGTCGGGCGCTGGCCATACCCGTATACACGAGTGGCACTGATGGGCTCTCCAATAACGGACGTGCTGATGAACGCTCCCTGGCACAGCGGCGGTGTTTTCCACATGAACTACGCCGATGCAACCGGCGGCCGGCCACCAGTGGTGTGGGACTCGGCAGCGATGATCGGTCGTCGTACCCAAGAAGCGGAAGAAGGTTCTCTAGAAAACAACGAGGTGGAACCATATTATCCTTCTGCTGCGATCGAAGAGTCGAACGTCTTCGACTCAGACGAAGTTCCAGTCCCACGTGAGCTAGCAACCATCACGATAACTACGACCTCCGCAAGCATCGGGAAAGTCATCACACGTACTTCTATGTATATATGTACCAGGGAGGGAGGCCCCCTCCCCCCCCCCCTGTGGATGGATCTGGTGTGGACCACGCCAGAGGGGTCCAGCCTTGCCACCTTATTGGCCAGGCCTGTCGAGGGGCTGCCGGGCGGGAATGCCTCAAAGCGCCCACTTCTGACCCCTTCCCGCTTCTTGCATGTACCCTACAGACCTGGCAAAGGCAGGGCCCCGCTGGCTTGTTGCATGTACCCGACAGACCTGGCAAAGGTGGCAAAGGCCGGGCCCCGCTGCCTTGTTGCATGTATCCACCGACCCGGCAAAGGGGGCAAAGGCAGGGCCCCGCTGCCTTGTTGCGTGTACCCTACAGACCTGGCAAAGGGGGCAAAGGCAGGGCCCCGCTGCCTTGTTGCGTGTACCCTACAGACCTGGCAAAGGTGGCCAAGGCCGGGCCCCGCTGCCTTGTTGCATGTACCCTACAGACCTGGCAAAGGGGGCAAAGGCGGGAACCCACCCCCTTGGCGTAGGGTTGGGCACACGCAACACGACAAGAGGGCCCAGCCTTTGCCACCTTTGCCAGGTCTGTAGCGTACATGCAAGAAGCGGGAAGGGGTCAGAAATGGGCGCTTTGAGGCCTTCCCCCCCGGCAGCCCCTCGAAAAGAGGGGCCGGGGCGGGGAGGCCCCCCCCCCTTCAAAAAGTTAGATCGGGGGGGGGGGCCTCCAGCCCTGAGCCCTGGAACATATATAAGTCTTGTGAATTACCCATACTGAACTGATCCGTTCTTGATCATGAGTACTACAGGCCTTAGAAGTTTTGCTGTAGTTGTCTGATGGACGAGGGTGAAATTTCTATCTTTAAGCTGGGAAGCACGGCTGCGTCTGCAGCAATTGTCTTCATCATATTTATACGGGGAAGTTGTAAGCTTTAGACAATAAATCAATAGCACCTAAAAACACAACTCACAGAATTTCCGAACCGCATCAACTGTTGGGACGAAGGAGAGACGTTTTTGACGAACGTGAACATTTACAGTATCTCCTGGCCACGCGATCCTTTCTTCTACGCATATGGGGATGTGGGGATCAGAAACAATGTCTCAATGCTGTATTCTCTGGGTTTGCGTTCGTGCAGCCAGCCCTTGCTAGTGCAGAAGATGGGAGTGCTGGAATTGGATTTCCGGCTCGAAACAGAGACGGTGCGCGAGAATCGAAACGGCTACGGCGACATGAATCCATATCGGGTAACTACTGGCTTAGATGCATGCTCAATCATAGCTTTCATCATTTTGATTTCTTGACACACATCTTTTTTCTTCATCTTCATAGCTTCTTGTGGTCCTTCCCTGAACATGTCAATCACAGATCGATCGTCTTTTCTTGATACATTACATGGATAGTTACCAGCAGAGAAACAAAAGCGCATAGACACCCTAACGCTATTCGTTTTCCAGGTTGTTTGGTGGCGTGAAGATCTGATTGACGATGGCGTTCGCGTAATGGCTGGAGGAGAGCGACGGCAGATGTATCAGACAGTTCGGGGGTGGACCGATGGTGGGTGTGAAACACGATGGAACAAGGCACAGGAGAACATGGTATACGCTCGCTGCGACCACATTATCAACCAGTTCTCCAACGGTTTTGCTGGTGGGTACCAAATCTGGGGTCTCGAGACGCTGCCCAAGCCAAGCTACACGCAACCCGAAGTGCCCTCCTTGAACAAATCAGTGCACAACAATTTGACGTACTGGATTTTCTTTACGGGGCTTTTGTTCTATTTCGTGCACAAGTTCGCGTCTCGCGCGGACAAGACCAGCTTCTGGCCGAGTGAAGCGACGCTGTCGCAAATACTCTTCCTTGTCGCGGAACAAGAGCGCCTAGAGCGGTTGAAGGAGCACGAGCGACTACAGGCTATCGCTCGAGACGAGGCCAAGGACCCGTTCTACAAAGTGCTCCGACAGCGCAAGCTGAAGCCGATCGTACTGACAGAAGGCGTGCCGGCGATGCTCGTTTCCACTTCGCAATGGACTTACGAGTTCTTCTTCAAAGTGAACCGAGCGCAAGAACGCGTAAAGCGATGGTACCGAAGACAGCAGAAGGCGCGTGCTGTTACGATTTGCATTGAATACTTTTTCAGCATCATACTTTGCACAGAACAAGAGTAGAGTGCTTGTCTAACAAACATACTTGTTTTCGCTGAAGATTGGTGACAAAAAAGCTTCGAATACATAAATCTTCTACTTGTACAAGGCACTACAGCAACATAAAGAAACCTCTAATATCAAACGCAATCAAGAATGGGTGTCCTGTGTCCAGCTTAGGGCGGAGGAGATGCTGACCAATGAAGTGCGGGAACTGCGCTCCATGCGTGAAAAAACACGTAATCGACTCTATGAGCACTTCTTTCAGCAAACGGAGTTGCACTTATGACCACAAGAATATAAGTATTTCTATCTACGTATTTCCTTTGTTCACCCATCATCCTCGGAGTCGCGCAGGTTCCGGAGCTCGATGTGCAGGATCTATAACCTAACCTAACCTAACCTATATGTTTCCTGTCAGAACTACGCGTCTCGAAGAGAACGCGGCGCCTCGCAGAAGCATCACTTAGTGTAGGAGTAGGTGTTACATAAAGAAAATAGCCGCTTGATTTTTTCTCATCATAGGCTTTCTCCTTTTAAGTGTAGGCGTTAATCAACGATAGTATAATTCGCTGCTGGATCTTTTCACCTGAGAATCACGAAGAAGAAGTGACCACATGCGTTTCTTATGAAAAGAAATTGTGCGCGTCAGCCTCTAATGCTTCCTGATGATATCCACGTGGACGGACAGACGGTGCGGGTGACGACGATCCATGATTTGTTGGAAACACGGGAGAGTAGCGAGTATGAGAGCACGGCGTCTGACCAAGTAGACGACGGCCTGCCAAAAGAACCTCCGGAGGTCCCAAAGCTCGAGGACGTGCTTTTTGACAACGAGGAGAAGAATGAATTGGAGGACTTGCTAGGTTTGGAAGACGAAGAAGAGGGGGGTGATCGTTTGCCGAAGTTGCCTCCTGGGTGGCAGCATATCGAGCGGGAGGACACAGGTGAGCGTGCGTATCGCAATTTGCTGACGGACTTCATCGCGTCGGAACTTCCCGGGGAGCCAGCGTGGGGGCCGATGACCTTGCTACCGGGATGGATGCTCTGCTATTCCCACAAGTTCGATCGCGCCTACTACTTCTATCCGTCCACAGGGATGACCCAGTGGACCTTCCCGAAGTACGGCGATGAAGTAATGCCGGAGGACCCAGAGAAGCATATGACTCTGCAGCGCATGCAATTATGACGAGGTGATCACTGATAAAAGTGCTGATGTCCCAGCATAACTCCGTGCTAGTAGAGGCGTCAGTAACTAACAAATGCGCGAGAACTCAAAGTCAAAATCAAAGTAGTTCTCCAGATCACAATACAATTACGATCGTACTATAATATTGGTTGTTCTTGTTGAGATGAATATTGGGCAAGGGAATTTCAAGTTGTCTCTAATCTTTGAGATGCGATTAGACGCTATGGATACGAGGCCAGAGATCGGACCCGACGGCAAGCCGTTGCAGGCGATCAAGGCCACAGGTGTTCAGGGCCGACTAGTCCAGAGTGGTGACGGACGCATTGATCCGAAAGCGACTAGCATTTTGAACGAAACCTTCCGGCACCAGACTATGCAGAAGTCGAGTCAAGATCCGAACTTGGCAGCGGGCCCCGCGATGAAGTTTACGAAGTCCCAAGCGCAGATTGACAAGGAGACGATGCAGCAACTGGAATCCCTCGTGGGTGAGGACAACGTGAAGGCTGCGGATGGAGAGACGCTCGACAGTCCTGCTCCGATCGACGGTGAGAACTCGAGAAGCGTGATCGACATGGCGGGCGGCGGTGCCGCAGAAGGGCAGCATCAGTACGCGCGATCCTCAACGGGCCTCTCGTCCACTTCCCTGCATCCGGGGGACACGGATTCGTCGCGCTGGGAGTTAGAGAGCGGAATAGCGTCTGCAATAGGCAGCAGCCACGGTCCGATTGCTTCGCCGCTCAGCGTGACGGGCGGACTGTCTTCTCTTCAAATGGGTGGAGCCAAAGAGGACGTCGTTTCGCTTAGCTGTGTACCAGATCCTAATATCAGCTCGTCCAGTGCTTGTACGGCCACCTCGTCTACTACCGGTCCAGCATTGTCGTCCAGCTCCTCATCGACTTCAGCGATTGATGCGGTCGAGAGAAAGCAGGAAAAGAAGTCGGGGCCATCATCTCTACTGAGGGAGCGCAAATCTTCAGGGAGAAATAAGACCGGGAGGCAGGCGCAAGAGCCTTTGCCTCTGTTTTTGGACCGCGAGCTGTCGCAGATCGGGGGGGAGGTGTACACCACGTTAGTGGAGCGTAGAAGAAGGAACCTGCAGATCGGTGGCAGTTCCTCCAGTTCTTCTCGGTGTAGAAGCCCTGGGACGCCACGTGGCCTGCCGCCAGAACCGAACCCCGCGTGGCTGCAGAATCCACCACTCCCACCTGAAAAGGCGGAGCAAGTTTTCGATGAAGAAAATGCGGTCGCACAAAATCACAGTAAAGGAGATAGTCATTTAACAGAAGACAGGCTGCGGCAGCTAGATCGGCGACGGAGAAAGAGGACAGTCGTGTTGGGCCGTGCGCCTGCCATAGCGCCGAGCGCATCGGGGAGCACCTTAGCAGTGGTGCGGTCCGGTGTGCCGCGACCCTCTGATGCAGAGCCACCAGATATTATCGAGCAATCTACTGTAGAAAACGAACGAAGACAAGCGCACCAGGACGAAGTTGTGGAAGCACAGGGAGGAAGCTCAGCTTTCGGTACAACCAAGAAGGTAGCGCCCATGGGAGAACCAGATGGGTCACCCAGCACCAGGCCCGTAGTGGACATAGAACTCGGCCCCCAGCAGGATCCAAGTCCTTTGGACGACGACGTGGCTGAAGAAGCACACGCAGCACCAGTGGCGCGATTGACATCAAGAAATGCCAATGAACATGACGACTCTCCCAGCACCCACAAAAATGCTTCAGTAGTAGAGGTGGAGCCAGGCGCACAGGTTGTCAGCAAGCATCTCGAAGGCGCTCATCGAAAGAGCCCCTTGCAGAGTCCACGCGCACAAGTTCCCATAGGACAGCATCCGCATGTGCAGGGTCGGCCGCCACCTCAGACGGGACAGACCAATCTTAGTTTGGCCTTGCCAGCTTCACAGAACACCCAGACGGCGATGCGAAACACGACCGCAGCAGCGGTGGTGCCTTATCGGCAGGGTGGCGGACAGCTCGTTGTTGCAGGCGGCAGACTCAATAGCGAAATCACTGCCTCAGCACTCCCACGAAACTGGGAAGTTCACGTCAGCTCAGATGGAAGGGTACGTGCCACTAATGTCTAGTGTGAAAGTGAGCGTCTAGGTACGTAACGAAGGAACGCATTTACTACACGTCGGGCTTCTGTCAGCCGTTTTTTCATCAGGCTAGCAAGAATTATCGCTCTCGAAAAAGAGAATCAGTAGCATTTTGAAATAGTATTCTGCGTAAGGACAGTTCTCGGGTGCTTACGCACGACAAGTACTTCTTGCGCACAACTTCAGAGATCACAGTTAAAGTTGTGAATTAATATGGAAATTCAAATTTGTTATACTTTTTCCAGCTCTACTACGTGAATGTGGTTGCGAACCTGACGCAGTGGGAGTTGCCGCAGCTGCCGTTTCCATGGAAGGAGCGGGTGTCACGAAGCGGGAAGGTGTTCTATATGAACGACCAAACAGGAGTAACCCAGTGGCAATGGCCAGAGGCAGACATGGGTGGAGGATTCGACGAACCAGGGTCCGAATACGAGTCTGACGCGGACGACCTGGAGCATTCCTTAGGGGCCACAAGTCCCTTCGAACTAGCTCTGCCAGGTCAAACCACAATCACATCCGCGTCTGATGGTGCTTATTTCTATACTATAATCGTCTTTTTGTTTTTGATTTTGTTTTTAGTTTCACAACTTCGCAGAATAATTTCTCAGAGACATGGGGATGGTGTTCTCTTTTTAGCCTTTTGCCTCATGCCATATTACACGACCAGGCGCAATCGTGCCATACGGAAAGGACGTCGCTCCAGAGGCGACGGACGTACTTGCAGTCGCTGAAGGTGCGGTGCAGGGTGTGGCTGCGGGCGACAAAGAATGGGGCGTTGACGAGAACTTCGACCGCTTCAAGAATGAAGAGCAAAGAGCCCTCGAGAAAAAGCGAGCGATCGCCAGACAACATCGCACTGCGCATCAGTTAAGTCTTCTGAGAACTACTAGATTTTCTACTTGTAGTCTCCTTCTTCAAAACAAAATATTAGAGCGTACTCAAACCTAGTATGATTAATGATCGAGGTCATCATCTTTCTCGCTCTAATCCTGGTGCGCGGAATACGTGACTTTGTGCGGCAGCATGAGCTTGGGGCGTACGAGCAAAACTGGGGCAAGTATCTCGACGCCGTGAAGGATAAGAAGGAGAAGCTAGATCGCAGTCAACAGCCAGCTCTAGGCAAGAAAATGGAGTTGGATAAAGCCGAACTGAGAGATCTCTTCCCGATCGTGCAGAGGCTACAGTGGACCAAGTGGAATCCCATCAAACTGTACTACAATCTTCCATCAAGCCACTCTCTTTAGATGAAACAAGTTATAGATTGCATGACCCGCTGCATGCATACGTTTCTGATTGCACGATGTTCTTTCACGATCTTCATTCGTCGCATCTTGCGTGGGAACGATATCGAAACATTCTTCTCCCCTATTTTAATCCCATCCATCCTATCCTATCCGTATTATAGCTCTATCCTCACCTTCCCTTCTATACTTCTATCTCAAAATGTTTGGGGAGCAATACATCTTCATGATAAAGATCGCATTAGAAGTGATTTTTCACGAGAACGACTTCTGTATATCTTCAGTATATTAAACATACCACAACTTATCCATGCTTTGTTCTCAGGTATGGGATTCTGTTCATGCAGCGCAATCACTTTGTGCGGATTTTTGAAAACTACGCACGCCCGAGCAAGGCGCATCGCGAGAACCTCTGGGAGACAAGAATATTATGGCATTTTTCAATGTGTCCCTATCATCCGTTTCCTAGCCAAAACTGATATCTGAGATCTAGGTAAAAGATGCGAGGATTAAGTTTGCACCACAAGATAATTGTCTTGCGGCGAGTTTTTTATTTTTGCAAGATTGTTTTGCTCTTCTAAGCACAACTATTGCGGCGTTTGTGATTTCGTGGAGCGTGTTTGGATCGCATGCGCAGATTGAAGATCGAGTATCTGCGGTAGACCTGTCCCATACCAGGTTATTGGCCATGCCTTTTGATTTGTCCTTCGAAGGGTATTACTTTCTTTACCTCTTCTTGGCGGACCTCTTCTCCAGCCTGTGCATCAATTTTTTGGAGGACGTTTTTTTCCTCAGCAGACTGGAACTAAAGTTAAGGTGCCGCGCTGCCCTCTACTTTCATCTTCTTGAAAAGCATCTTGAGAAGAATCTCATTTTAGAGGAAGAGAACGTACTTAATAGACCACGCTTCAACAAAAGTGCGACTAGCTTATTCAAGAAATGTGACTACTTTCAAGATGAAAGAATCTATACATTGGGTACGCTCTAAAAAAGGAGTATCAGCTGGATGAAGAACAGCGACAGGCAAAAATGAAGCACTGGCACAAAATTTCGGCGACTGGGGATGCTTTTCTACATTATCTCAAGGCCTTCCTCACCGGTCTCATGTTCATCTTCGCGGCCGTCACACCGGCACCCAGGGTACTGATTTGTAATGACTTACTTATTTTTAGTTACTTAGAGATCAGAGATTTTATATCACAGTGCTCTTTTAGTTTTAGCCTGTGCCCGAAGATGAAGTAGGTTTTTCTTTGTGGCCAATGCAACTATCCCTTACATGAAACTGCATCGAAGTGCAAGAACTAGAAGGGTTCTAGTCTCTGTTAACTATACCCCTCAACCTTGAGAGGCCTCCTCTCCTTAGTTAACTTTTTACTAGTGTGCTAGCCATCATTGCAAGCGGTTGTGTAAGCTTGGCCACATGTCGAGAAAACGTAGTTTATTTTGGCGTTCCTTTCTCAATTTCAGTCTGCAGTCGCGGTGCTGATTTTTCTTTTGTATCTTGCGTGGCTGCACGTGCTGCGGCCTCTTACCCATGCGCTTGGTGTCTTTCTACTCCTCTTCTTGGCGACTAAAACGGAAAGATTTGATGGCTACCTGTCCTGGTATACGCACACCATGGATTTCCTCTACTTATGGCCAATATTTTGATGAACAGCACTTTGACGATAGCATGTTGTTGATAAGATTGTGAATTTGTTTCATAGGACCGTTTCGCGTAAGATCAAAGTTAGAGCAGTAGACGTACATCACATCTCTCTACTGTTTTGACACTTGTTGATGCGGAACAGTTTCATCTCGCTGATGATTGAGAATGATCATTTGAGATGCACTGCTGATAGGATACCACAACATCTTCGTGCTATCTCTAAGAAGTGTGAGTGTGAGCACAGCGGAATTTCTGGCATGGCGCCTGCATCGGATGATGAAGGAGGCTGTGATAATGAAGCAAGTTCACGAATCCGAGTACGCCTTCGAATTGTGGCAGGCAGTGCTGGATGCGCGCAAACCGACGAAAAAAAAGTCACTTAAGGCTCATCATAGTTTTCCCTATGTTTACCATATTTTTCCCTATGTTTACCAAAGGTCGGCTTACTTTAAGCTTTCTTGTCTCAACTGTTGACTTCCTCCGTAGAATCAGTTATTCTGAGAAAATGAATTCAGGAATCATTCTAAAATGAACTCAAGAGCGATTCCGCGAAAATCATGACGAGACTCAATTTAGTTTAGGTACTGTATCAGCAGGTATCTGTAAGAGATTTGAAGAAGCATTGCGAATTCTTCTAAGTCGCGCTATCGTCGGAATTTGGAGAGTACGGCCGCGAAGTACAAGGAGGACGTGTAATAGCCAAGGAGGTGCGAAGGAAGAAAAGGAACGAAGTGTTTTAAGCTAACTGTTGCTGAAGATGGGTAGAATGGTTCTAGTGGCGCTGGTGATTATCAATATGAAAGGCGTCAGAGGTGACCAACCACTGTGAGCGAGCAAACGCTATCCCACTTAAGAAGCCGTTGGAGTCCGAATGTATGTTGTAGACATATCTCTGTTCTCTCTGCTGGAGACTATATCGTTCTTGATGCTGTATACTCACTCGATATGCCATGACTACTGTATAGATGAAGAAGGCGAAGACTAAATTAAGTACGACTGTTATCACCTCTGCCACTCCAAGGAAAAAGTGGATGCGATTTATATATCAGAACTAGTCGTGAAATAGTAATCTTGAAATTGATAATTTCTTGGTATAGATAGTCACTTCTTGTTCGACCGGTTCTTCCTGATGAGCAAAAGCACCCGAAGAACTCCACAAGAAACTTTCAAGACATTCCCACTGAATAACATTTTCTTCTGATTTCAAAGCTCTCATTATCGCAGTCGCAGCAAGTGAGCCGCAGGTGATTGCAGATGCTGTCCGGCAGCTGCAGCATGTGGCTTTAGAAAGCGAAAGCGCTATGGATCACGCAGTCGGCTGCGCCATTGCTCCCATACGATTTGATGGGAGCGTCTTCGAGATGGGTCTTCGAATTGATAATACTCGCGAAACATCGGCTTTGCATCGACCGCTCGGAAAACTCAGGTGCCTGTATCTGTTTTGTTTGTCAAGTTATTTCATTAAGAACTACCTGCGTATGCTATGACGTTTGATTATGGGGGCGCGTCTGACTCTAGTGGAGGAAAGCACTCAGTCGAGATCTCCTAGCAGTGTACGGCTGCAATGTATGGGATATCAAGGATGTAGATAGTGCATTGAATTTGTGGAAATCACTCGTCCGATAGAAATCATAAATCACCACCCGCTTCTTCTTATAGCTTCTTCACATCAGGTTCAGAAGCTCTTCGGGCGGGCGGAGCCAGAGCGCTACTGTTGGAATTTCGAGCATGGATCCGGATACTTCTGTCTGACACTTGCAGCCACGTTCCATGTGCTGCAGAATAGACTCACCTGACATCTTGTAGACAGTCTGACTTTTTTTCTTAATGGACATGTGGTATAAATATGCTTGACATTCAGAAAAAAGGACTTGCATTCAAAGAAATGGACTGAGCTCCCTCAGCCTTGTGGTGTCTCGCACATGGCCTTCTTCCACAAAGATCGAATCTACGATCGATGCTGTGTCTTTTTTCACCATGGTGGAATCGGTTCGAGGGATTTTCTTTGAGAGTCCTCTGCGTGCTTGTGCGACGAAGTGGTCAGATGTTGTTTTTACGTTTTGACTTTTTGGATTTTTTAGATTTGCCACTGAGTGAAACGACAAAAACAGCTAGCATGGAGAGTCTTGAAAAGGTTAATCTTCAAAGCGGCCCACTTGAGATACAGAGAAAACCGAAATGCAAAAAGTATAGACTTGTCGACCCCTCCTCCCCAAAGATTTCCTTAGTTAAAAGCTTTTACTTTTCGTTTCAGAATAGGTTTATTCAAGATCTCTGATTAAAGAATGTCTAAACTCGAGAGGAGAATGCGAGAAAGGCAGGAAGCCTCAGACCCTCAGCCGCCAAAGAGGGCAAAGACGGACGTGCAGACGGACTCGCCGGAGGCCACACTAGATCGGGATGCTCTAAGTGAGTACTTCACGAAGGGGATTGCTTTGGCGAATCCCGATAGGCGTATACACGAACGCATGTTGAAGATTACGGACTTGGTACTGCGTCACTCGATAGATCAGATAAAGGCCCTGCTGCGGTCTCGAAGTATCACAAACGTGCTTATGCGCATTGAGTTGGACGGTAGCAGCAGAGGCATACTCGGGAAAGGGGAAGCAGGTCGTGAAGTCTGGCATGGTTCCAAATGGATGATATTCGATGGGCTTTTCGAGTGGGGGCCTTCCGATAAACGTGGAAGTGTCAAGCTGCCACTACCGACTGTCTTGTATCCACCATCAAGACTGAAAAAGAAGGGCCTGATCGACGCAGCTACGATTGCAGCGGCGGCACAAGATGGGTTTTTGCCACCGCAGCCACTACCTGTCTCTGAAGCTTTTGATGTCGCCGCGCTACTCTATGACATCATCGACGTGAAAGGCCTTGTCGAGGCGACGCCACCGGGAAAGATTGTCATCCTGCAGCCAGCGACGGATAGTGGTGGGTCCACTCTCAATCAGCACCTCTTCTTCATGAATATACTGGAGGAAAAGGCACAGGGGCGCTTCATCGTTTGGCCGATGCGTTGCCGTATACATCAAGGCGCCATAGTGGGAAAAGAGACTGCGCATTTCTTCTTGCAGGTCATGAAGATTATTCCAAAGAATTGGGATAAGAAAACCCACTTGCAGTGCAAGACGATGATGCACAAGAGGGCGGACGTGTCGGCTGCACTTTCTGCGGAGTTGAACTTCCGGGTTACACCGGTAGAGGAAAAGCCTGAGGAGCAGGAGACGCTTCAGTCTTTGCTGAAGCGCATGGCGGTTGGTGAAGCTGTTCTAAAGGTTTTGAAAGATGCAAGAAAGGACGCTGATTCACTCCCGTGCCAAAAGAAGAGCGTTCCGCAAGTGCGAAAAGCGATAGTTGGTCTCAGTGCTGGATTCGCCAAACCGTCCTGGACCCGATGGCTATCATTTTCACGCGGCATGGCTAAGCTTGTGGTCTTATGGGTATTTTGGCTTGTGGAGTTGTCTATTCGTATGTGGGGTGACGGGCGCATCAGAATCAAAGATGAAGAAGTGCCTAACCCCTATGTTGCGATTCGAAAAAGCGGACACGAGTTGGAGTATTTACTTTCGATGTTGATCATCACGAAAATCCTTGAGCCTGTTGAGAAGGATACGGCGATATATCTTCGTGGAGACAAGGTGAAGAGGTCGGAGCGGGTCGCGAAGTTTTGTTCGTGTTTTAAGCAGGCGGAAGAATGGCTCCGAACCAACGAGATCGATCGTGAGGCTTCTCTGATTTTAGGTCGTGCACTCTCAGAGACGGAGCAGGCGCTTTTGGTACTTAAAAGTAGCCCTTTAGATCTTTAGATGTGCACTGTTTCTTTATGTGTATGCTACTTAACCTGCGCAGCGATTCGCATTAGATGTTAAAGTGTGACTATCCGACATAGCCACTGCGTCGTCTATGCGTTGCTTCGTGTTGAATCAGGTCCGACCGATGCGTCACGCCGCTCAGCTCGCACTGGTGGCGATGCGTCTAAATTGGGAGTTCAGGATGGGGGATTTTCGTGATTCACATGAGGAATGGCTGTCGCGTTTTCGGGAGGGGAAAGAGTCGTATGCGTCCCTCCAGGCTTTGGATTTAGAGCGCACCAAAGTATTCAACTTCGGGAATCTTGCTCTACGCTCCCTCCGTAGCTTTCTCAACGCTTTGCCTGACGGCTTTAGTAAGGAGAAGAAGCTCCGACAAATCGCGGACCGCCTAGACGAGGAAGTGTGGCATAATAAGGCAGGAGAAACGAAGGTTGGAGATGTGAAGCGGGAGGCGCGACGGTATGGCCAGTGGCGAAATATGTCAACTATAAACTGCCACGCAGTTCGAAAGGAGTTCTTCTATGGCAGGAGGACAAACGACGTCACAAAAAAAGAGCAGTCAGCGGCCAAAGAGAAAGCAAAGCGATACCTGCACCAGCGTGGGTGTGATATTCTTCGCGGTCGCAAGATGCTGGCGTCCGAGAAAGAGACTCAGGGGGAGAAGGTCATTGCAAGCAACAAGTATGCTAACGAGGACGAGCGAAAGCAAGCGCGTGTTCTGGCGTTGGCAGCCCGACAGGCAGCAGCAACGCAAACTGCTGATTCGGGTGTAGATGCTGACGAAGAGGAGGAGGCAGCACCGGCTCCACGCGACGAATACACTATGCAACAAGAGACGGACTTCTATAATGCTGTGGAAGAATCTGTTCGGGCTGAGTATCCTAGTATCCCGATCAGCGACGCGAAGAAAGGCCTGGAGCAGAGGTCCAAACGATGGATGCAGCCGCTGTCTTTGAAGCCGCGGGATATCACAGTGGTTCGCCGGTACAGATCACGAGTGGAAAGAGCAGTCTGTCGCGCAGTCCGTCTGCGTAACAAGATTCTAAAGAAGAAGGCAGTCGAGACTGATGACATTTATCTTCCGAGCGACGATGGAAACCCTGACGCGGTGGGTGTGGCAAGCGATGAGAGCGACTCGTCCGAATCAGAGGCGGACATTGAAGAAGCGGACCGTGCGGAAATTGCTCCATGCACTACTCCTGCTTATATTATACGGCTAAAGGTGAGGCAAGCTGAAGAGGAGGATAGCAGAGCAGATCGCTTTGCAGATGATTTCGTTTTTAAATGGTATGTCGTTGTCCGTGTGGACCTGCAGGACGTGGATTTTAGTGCTGTCGAGTTGCTAGAGCATCCAGGAATGATTTGCCCGACCTACAGTCTAACTTCGAACTATTTCCATAGTCCACAGCCTGGGGCGATTGATATGGACGACGATTCAGCGCGATTGTATGTTGCAAGTATTGCCGGCCTACCTTGGAATGAGGTCCGTTTGCAGTGTGGGAAGGCTATTGATGTCTTATATGCAGAAGACAAAAGCGCAATGGAGAAAACAATCCTGGCAAACGCACCCATGTCAAAACTCGAGCGGCGAATGCTTGAGGCGGCGCGAGCTAAGTCTGCTGCTGGAGTCAGCGGCAGCTTGAAGAGTGGAAGCAGTAGCAGAGAGGGTGGCGCTATTCGCATTGTGGACGCGCCTGGGCCGAAACTTGTGCTCCCTAAAGCGTCTTCATCGACGAAGCGGCCGAATTCACCGTCGAAACGACTCCCAGATGCACCAGCTGCTCCTGTGAAGTTGCTCCATGAGACGATCACAGCCGATGTCGCGCACGAGCAGCAAGTGGCCCGGCGAGCTATAGACGAAGACATCAGCGACTTGCAGGTTGAGGGGTTCACTATAAGGGATGCTTCGTCGGTTGACACGTACAAAAGGACTGGAAGATTCGCGGACAGGTTGATGTGCATCCCGGACACGCGAATAGCAGACGTCTTGACAGACTTTCTAATGTCGGAAGTCATCGATTTAAAGTGTCAGGCTACCGTTTCCCTGCATAGGTATGCCAGCTTCGACGAAGGTGAGCACCGGAAAGCTGCGCTGTTGCTTGCTCTATGGGCGTTGCGTGTTAGGTTTGTGGCAGACAGGATCTCCAAGTATGCTCAGGACCGGAGCTATCGCAACCCGGATCCGGATTTACTGCAGCGCAAATACCTTAGTGTAGTGCAGGACATCACACGGAAATCAAAGATACTAGAGGGGACGCGATTGATGGCAGGAAAGAGAAGGGTGATGCTCAGGCTAGACGATGCTCTGTGTAGACGGTTAGACCCAAATGCCGCTGTGCCTGAGTATGTCGATTCATATCGTGACTCTTAGAAGTTTTTGCCAATGTTCCTTTATGTTATAGTTTTAGAAAATGAAAAATGTACAATTCAAGTGCTTAAGCGGGTTTTACTAGAAACTGCATGGGGCTACGTTGTATAACGTAGTGTCTTGATGTCTTCGTGTATAGTATAGATTTTTTAGATTCATGAGGCAGCATGTGTTTTGTATAGTGGATTCAGCATAGAGTTTCTGGGTCTGGGGTCTTGGTCATAATTATTATGGTATAGATATTCTGAAAGTTTTATGGGCGCAGCAGTATCTCGAGTGCAGTGTGCAGGGGGCCCAGTCGTCGGAGGGAGATTCTCAGTCCAGAAGTGTAGCTCCCAGCTTTTTATATGACAGCGGGACTTTTTCCATGCAAAAACTCCGTGGGGCTCGCAGCAAAAACTATCAGATTCGCCTGCAAAACCCGGCGGCGCTGGTCGCAAAACTGGGGGGGGGGCAGGGCGAAATTATTCCGGTGGGTCAAATCCCTGTGCGAAACCCCATACCCCGTGCTGAAATAACTTTTGTAAGGGCGGTTCTTGCTGAGGTTTTTTCAGACAATCTAGACCCGCCGGTCCAAATTTTTTCTGAGCCTGAACCCGGCAAAAATGGCGGGGGCCAGAAATGAGAAGTGCAGGTCCAAACTGTGCCATGGGAGAGTCCGGGTGGCTAGATAGCGGGGTGACAGGATGGGAGTAGCAGCCGAGGGACGTGGCGTGTCTGAAGTAATTCAGAGGCACTTGTGTAAAGTAGATTGCTAATTGGATCAGTCCTTCTATTGTACAGCATCAGATGGCTCCATCTCGTCGCATCATTTCGCTGCAGCTGCAGCAGAAGAAATAGCTCTATTCTTGGAGATGTGTCATATTATCGAGACAAGCATACACTCTGCATGCCGTGAGTTTATGAAATCAGTAAAGCCCGCAGTAGCAGATGAAGGGTTGCTTTGTCTGTGATTCTGAAGAGTTCCACCGGAAGAAGCGAGGACTAGTGTGGCTTTTTTTCAATCGGTCAATCTCGTTTTTTAAGAATATCAGATGAGATTCAGCTCATAAAGAAAACTTTCGGTTGGGTCGGTTGATCTTCTTTTTTTTGGCGGTAGTATGTGTGAGCAGTGTTGTGGACATTGGTTTGAGAGTGTGCTTTCGCGATACGAAGATGCTCGGTCTTCCCATCAATCGGTGTTTTTTCGTTTTCTGCCCCACGAGTCTTGCTTTGTTTATCCATGCATTGAGTTGCTACATGTAGAGCATCGCGTAGATTTTTTAGATTTGGACCCTTCTATAAGTTCACTCCGTCGCCTATAAGGTTTGTTTGATGGGGTGAGTATATAGATTTCCTCTTTCAGACAACCTATATCACCAGGGAAATGCTTGATCCTCTATCCCAACTTTAGCCGCGAAAAAGTTTTCGAACCACGTTCGATTTCAATCTTTCTCTCATTCAAGTTACTCAAGCAACAGATCATCCATCAAGATGTTCAACAACGGCGGAGATAACAACCGTTTGCGCAGCTCCAACGATGGCGGGGTGCGCCCCAAGAAACTCGTTCGTCATGATACCGAGACGGCCTCCGAGGAGGTTCGCAAGAGCCTCGCGCTGGAGGTATCGCCTTTACTCTAGTTGATTTCTGTGCTTTGCGGTAGTCTTCTTGGGCTTATCCTAGGATAATACTCGTTATCTCAATTCAGAGTCTATCTTTCTCTCTACCTTATAAGGTGACGCCATCAGAGTCTCCTTCTCAAGTCTTTGCTTCACATCTTCTTGTCTACAATATCTAAATCTCTGACAGGATTGCACGACCGTCAACAAGGCCTTGGCTCAAGTGGTGCGCGAGCTCCGCTATAATCCTTCCCGCATCTCCACTACGCTGCTGCAAGGCGTGCCTTGCCTGAAGGCCAAGGATGCGGAGCGCACGCTCCACCGCCAGCTTGCGAAATACAGCGTTGAGGCCAAGACCATGGCGCTGATGATTCAAGCCCCGGCTTTGGCGTCGCAGCTTGAAAAAAATGGCGTTGATAAGTATCACGCTGCGGACTACGCTCTTGTGAAGGTGCTACTTATCATATACCATGTTGATTCCTAAATTTCTGGTAGCTTTAATGGTTTAGAGTTAAGTACTGCCGTGCCATTTCGTTGCGTATCAACAGACTTAGGCGTCATCTATCTGTCATGACGTTCGCCCTTCAACGACTAAGATACCCATCTCGACTACCGTCATCAACTATTCTCACTCCGCATTATACCTTCCCCAATCTTCTCATAGGGCAACGTGATGGCTCGCTCCAAGGGGATTACGCAGGAGACAGTTGCGCTCAAGTTCCTGAAGAGTCTGAACGAGGTGGTTGGCGCCTCCACTGTCCATCAACGCAAACTGGACATGATGGAAGCTGCTCTGGATGCGTTTCTCCATGGTGTTGTCACCGGAAGAAACGACGGTGGAGGAGCAATGGATATCCAAACCATGATCGACTGGTACTGTTTTAGATTTTTTAGATTGAGGCAAAATTATGCAGGTGTGGATCCTTATGGATATTCGCGAAACGCTTTCGTTTTTAGAAATCATAAGTCTTTAGGTAGTACATTCTCGGACTTAGTGTAGTCTGCTATGTGTTGCCTTCTGACTCGTTGCCCTCAGAGATGTAGGAGGAAGTTAAGCGTTTTAGTCACATATGGAGACTTAGTCTTCCACTCTTCGTTCTCCCCCTCTACTCAAAACTTACCTCGATCGGCTAGCCATGTTGTTGAAGCAAATTACTAAAAATACTCTTTCAGGGTGGACGCAAACAACGCTGCGGTGTGCAATTTAGAACCTATCATCGAGGTGAGGGAGATCGCCCGCGGTTTTGTGGAAGCAGGAGACTGGGAAGGACTACAGGCGACTGTCGCTCAAATTGAAGCAAATGAACCAGCTGGAAGCATGCTCACGAAGTTTTTCACTTACTCCGATGTGGAAGCGGTATACTCTTACTCATTGCGTAGCTTTATACCAAATTCCATCTATGTTGATCATTTGAAATGGTAGCAACTTCTCTCATTAGCCCAACTTCTAGTGCAGTTGTTGTTCTATAGTCTAAACCATCTTCAAACTATGGCTTCATCAAAACCGATCTTCTATCAATCCACACCAGGCAATCACTACCGGGCAGACCAATTCGGTTGTGGATGTTTTCTTGACCAACCCGATGCTGGTTGATCGCGTTGTCACGACCGCTGAGCCTGCTGGAATGCGTCGCGCTTTGGAGGTGCAGCAGCATGATCTGATCTGGAAGATCATGAAGCGTGCCTGCACGGATATCTGTGGTGACGACTTGGCTGCAGATCCCTCCCAGTTGACTGACGACCGAATGTACGAGTTCTTCACGTCCTTCGCGAATTATTTGAACACCTCCACTCTCAACGGTCTCTTCCTTGGGCTCAAGCAGATCATGGAGGTGCAGCTGAGTCGTGACGATTATTTCCGCAACAAGACCTTCGCGAAGGCCATCGAGTCCATGGGCGCAGGTGCCTTGAGGACGTTGGTCCGCAAGGCTGCAGAGAAGGCATATGAGAAGAAGGTCGACGAAGCAGTTCGCATGCTTGCCCGCGCTGGTTCGCACTTGCAGGCTGGCAATGCGGCTCAGTTCCAGCAGATCGTGGCACGCGTCTTCTCGCCGATTGCTTCGTGCTCGGCACCTGCGTTCATGGTGAACGCCTCGAAATTCATCGTACGCATGGCTGACGTGTTGAACACTCCTGCAGGCCAACATGAAGACATCGCTGAAGAACTTGGTGAGATGATGGAGCGTGTGCCCCTGGCGTCTAAGCTGGAAGGAAAGGGAGAGACTCACTTCAAGAACCTCCTGACTGAGTTCGTGCGACACATTCAGGCGGGGGAGATCGCTCTGGTTGAAGGTTTTCTTCAACAAGGTACTACTCTGATATAGTCGAAGGATCATTACTTTCGTGTGTGAGTTCGTTGCATGCTACTATGAGGCTACCTTTTTGTGTGTCATGGCAGTGGGCCTGAGTTCACGACCCAAATTCTTCATCTACCTTTCTCGTCTGTCCAACTCTTATCATCATCCAACGAACAGGTGACGTCGAAAGTGCAGAAAATGCATATAATGCAATGTCCGACACGTTCCACTTTCTGGACGAGAAGATCCAGTTCGACTTGGGTGATCGTCTCTCTCAGATGAAAGCCGCAGCACAGGCGCCTGCTGCTGGACCTGTGGCTGTGGTTCGTGGAGCGTATCGCAGACAGGCAGCACAACCGATTCAGGACGGCAACTGAGTAACTTGAATGACGCGGCAATAGGTGTGGCAGCCTTCTCTGTCCATGTTTTGTGTACAGATATTTGGATGAGGAGACCAGGCTTACTACTGGAATCCACATGTTCATGGTAGAACCATCAAGGATGTATTGACTGACGAATCAGAATTATACGCACTAGCCTCCACCATGTGACTTCTTCGCTCTTTGTAGCTATCAAATCACTCGATGCAAACTTCGCACTTTTCGGCTTGTGGTATGTCTTTTCGATCGTAGGATGTTACGACACCGTCATGACCTTGATAGGGGAGTAGCCCACAGCTCGAAATCTAGGGAAATGATGTCAGCATTCTCATGCATGTTGCTGACAGAACATAAAATGTATGTACCTCTTGGGAGAAGAGCATGATGTTGAGAGTTCACCCAGTCGTATAGCAGGTGCCGACTGTCATCTAGATGATCTCCTTTGATGTGTCTGGTATGGTTGGAGTCAGGTTATATGTACGGGTGAGCAGTATAGTGAGACTGTGGGCCATATTTGAAGGGGGTGCTCGGTCTTTTCTCAGTGCGTTGTATGCGCACTAAGTGATGATCGAGTAGAAAGCAGGGCATTGTTTCACCCTGTACAGATTTGAACAGACAGTCAACATGTGTGTGAATGTCATGGGAAGCCCTGCTTTCGGCATAGAATGGAAATCCAATGAATGGCTATGAATGGTAATCACTCGGGAAAGTGTTCAAAGGTTCAGGAATGCCCGCCATGAGGTCAGAATGCGACTAGATGCGTACGCAGATCCAACAGTGTGTGACGAGTCAAAGCGACGTCAATCGGTTAACAGAGTCGGTTACTAATAGACATCTGAAAGTGTGCGCGTCTGTCTGTGCAGGTGTGAGCACGAGCCAAATGGCAAAGAGCTGTGATCTGTCTGGTAGATGGTTCTGTCTGTTGAAGTATGCCCACCTGTCTCTGCAAGAGAAAGAATGTGGCACATGCGTTCGCTTTTGAGGGAAGCAGCAGGAGCGAAAAGTGGTGCTGTGTGAGAGAACGAAAGCTGAAGTCCTGGGTTGGTTTCTCTGTACGCCGAAGGGCTGTGTCTTGTGAAGTAGAAGAGTAGAGGAGAGACGTACCGTCGAGCTCTGAACGCCTTGCTCTATCTTTATAATGTAGGGCTGTGCTTATGATAACAGTGTGGCAATACGGACAACGCAACTCCTTGGCTTAAGTCTGTCCTGCCTTCTAGAGAATTCACAAGATGGAGCACCCGTCTTTCGTAGTCGACACACCTCTGGCTGATGCATGCACCGACATCCGAACTCTAACGTTTCAAGTTGTGTGCTAAGAAGCACTTTCAGTTTTAGTCCTATCGCGGTTTCGTGATAGTAGACCACGTCTTCGTGGTATGGCATGAATCACATAAGTGATACCGCGAACACTAGCCCCTCGATTACAAGTGTTCAAGTTCTTATCCACCAGTAGACTCGAGGGATATTCTCAAACAGTTCCAACCGATTCGCAGCTCTGCCTCAGTTCAACGCACCAACGTCAAACGAATCTCGCACTGCTGTAAGAGCCGTGTCTTCTCTGTGTTAATTGATGAAGCATGAGCTTCTGCTCCAGACAGCACTGAGAGAAAGATCGAATGAAAACAAATCTGCCACATGGATCACTATTTCACGAGGGTCGCAATGAGTATTTCACTCTGTGAGTAAGTAGGATTTTTGTTTGAGAATTGAAAAATTCTAGTGGAGTTCTTCAGTTTTGGTCCTCATCAGGAGGTGCCTGCTCTAATTCTTGGCATGCAGCATTCGTGTTTGACATAATTATAGGTACAAGCAACTTTGATTGACGTGAGTGTGCTGTTTTTCTAGCTAGGATCTCTTCGTCATTGGCGTTCGCCTAGGTATTCGTGGCGGGGGTGTGTGGGATATGGGAACGCTGCTGCGCGCACTGATTCCAAGAGGTCACGATAGACCCATATCACGTCTTGCCCACCGTACTGGCCAACAAAATGAACGGAAGAAGAGGCGAAGAAAGAGGGTGCAAGCAAACTTGTGCACGCATGCACGTGCAAACCAGCACTCTTTCCGACTCCCAGTAAGCAAGAAGCCACATACTTCCTAGCTAAGTAAGGAAGGTGCAACCAAGCAAGCACATTATTATGATGATGTTGTATTTTCGATTTCTATGATTTAGTTCTTTGAATATTTTTCCTAGTATGCTTCTGAAATTGCGAAATGACTAAAGTTGCGACACTGAATTATGTTTCGAAAGAATGAGGAAGGAAAATTATACCAAGGTAGGTGACTCCCCGACTGACGCAGCAGAGCTCTCGACACTCTCTTATTTTCAGACGCACATAGGCCATAATTTGATTTTCGATCATCTCAACTAAAGAAAAAGAACTGATGAAAAGTGCTACTCGAGGAAGAAGTACGAGATGACCACGTGGTCGTGTAGAATACTGATTCTAGTTGTCTGTTCTTGTCCCGTCTTCCTCCATCTACCATGAATACAACAACTTCTTGGTATTTGCTATCAACAACTTCCTGAGCTTCTTATTTCGTCATCGATATTACTACTTCGTCAGAAAAATAACATCAACAATACTAGAAAATCACCTCTGTTCCAGCAAAGGGCTTTGAAAAAGAGGAACCAACAAAATAGTGCGGGCATATGCAGTAGATCCATCTGCAAGGAAAAGTAAAGGCTAGGGTGGCGCAAATGCCTGACCGTTGATGAGCAGTATAGCGATCATTTACAATACGAGATGAAAAATGACTAACGAGTATTCTTGGACAAGTAGAGATTTAATGAAGATGGCAACTTCGACCTCGTAATTCGTCCCGTCCCTTTGATACCCTGAATGACCCCCTTGCTCCCTGTATCCCAGATTTTCGCTCTATGTGACCCCTCTCCTCAGAGGCTTTGCAAGATCATTTTACGGTAAAAGTGTGGATAGCGGGTTATTGCCCTTTCTTCACATCGATGGCAATGGCATCGTGTGTTCACCAACATGCCGTGAACAGCTCGGACAGACTGCTCAACAGCGTCTAAATTGTTGTCTGCGCTGCCGGTGCAGACTCTTCTCACCTACATTGAAAAAGGGCTTCCTTCGATACTGTATTCTAGAAGATGAAGGAAGCTAGATTTCTTCTCTTGAATGTTTCGTCTTGCCGGCGGTTCCGTATGACCACTTGAGACGTAGTGATGATGAAAGCTTAAGATGACATGGGCTAATGACGTGGCCATTTCTCGCTGTTGTATTCTCATTTATTAAAGTGTGGATTTTTCATTTTCGTGGCTTGTATTTGATAAATGATTATATGATTTTTGAGAACCCTGTATCTACTGACTATGCTTGCCAGCAGATCTCGCATCCTCTAAATCATCCTTAGATAAGATAAAGATAGGAAAAATAAAATGTTGCGTTGTACAGTCGAGGTAACGGTCGGCGGGAAGAAGAACAAGGCCAAAGGATCGGATCAAGGTCTTCTTGTCGAATCGGGGGGCATCCGTGTCCGAGGATGCTGTGGCAATCGCCTCTTTGCGACTAAAAACATAGCGTTTCTACGGCTTTCCTCTGCCAATGAAGCTGCTACTGGGAACTCGAAGTCGGTCAAAGGTGCTAGTGGCGGTGCTGGAGGTTCCTCCACGACTGGAAGTGGAACAAACCTGATGATCCAGGTGATGCAACCCTCTGCGACTGTATTCGGATTGAATGGCGAGCCGTTTGCTGTACGTCAATTTGCAGAGCGGTGTAGCAAAGAACTACGTCTCAAATTACGAAATTCTGGTGGTTCCTGATAACAACATGTCGCGCCTATATTCTTGGATCTCTTGTTGAGAACTTAGTTTTTTTAGCTGCTCTCAAGATTATTATGGAGGATGGATAGCAGCTGCCGCACTGCAGGAGGATAAAATGATCACTTACGAGTGATCTTCATCTATGATGCTTGTTGACAAGGTTATGATTCTTTTTGACAGCGTCAGTGTACAACCGCTAAGCGAAGTGCAGGGACTAAGTGAAGCTGGAGCTCCGGGCGAGAAAGGGAGTGATAAAACCACGCGCCGACGCTCGAATACCGGAAGAGAGCCTGCGCTGTCGAGTCTCTTCCTCTCCGCAGCCGGTGCGAAGAGCGCCAGCTCAACGCAGACGCGGGCGACAGCACCACTAGAAGCTGCTGAGAAATCTTCTTCCAAGCGGAGGCTTTCTTCATCATTGGGGGAGAAAAATGGTAAGTCTGTTGATGGAGAAACCAACCATACTTCTAGATCGGGCTCGAAGCGTCTGAAGAGTGTCCCGACACCAGCACCAGTTCCAGCGACCGAGAAAGACGCTGAGGCACAGAATCTTCAGAAAGTGATAACAATAGAGGACGATGCCGATGAGGAACCTGTAGTTGTGAAAGAGAATTTGTTTTCCCTTTTGCCCGATGAGATCATCGATTGCATCATTTAAGGCTACAGGAAATCCATCTTCCGTAGCATCTTTATTTTTCCCGTTTTACGATGGGAAAATGGGGGGCCCAAGATGCTGCTGAAGATGGGTTTTCCCTTGGTTCTAAATCATTGACTTTCTCAATGGCTCTCGCGGCCTGCAGATTCGTCCAGTCTGCCGCTGGTTCGCGGACATCATGCGGGAGCGGGCACGACGGCTCACGTTGAACCTATGTGATGCGCGACACATTCCCGCGGAACGCGTCTTCGACATGTTCGCAGGGCACAAGAATTGCCAACACTTCTATCTCTGCCACCTGCAGCATCGCCTCGACGTCAAAGAGATGATTCTCCGAAGTGGGGATCGCTTTGGGAAGCTCCGCACACTGTGCTTATACGGTTGTGACACCTTAACTAGTGCGGCTACGGCGAAAATCTTCCAAGCACTGCCACAGCAAAACTCCTTGGAGCGGTACTTCTACTTTAAGTTCTTGGAAGTTGCCTACCTGCAACTGGCTATTAGAAAACTTACAGGTAAATGCGAAAGCCAACTTTACCTTCTGGGCTTCTAAATTCAGAATAACTGCTACTTGTCAGATGGATTTGGAAAAGCCATCGGTTGGTTTTTATCGTGCTTCACCTGTTTGATTATCGTTGGTTGAACCTTTTTGCCTTTCTGTCGTTTGGCATCGCGTTTTTCGTTGACTTTGTGGTTGTTCTTGGTTAGGTACCCAGACTAAACTATTACTATTAATTTCGACCTTCACCTGTTCTTTGTACCTAAAAACAGGCTCTGTCTTGTTGGTTGCAATGCAGTCAGCGAAAGTGCGTTTGAGAAGGAGGGGACCGCAAGCTTGCATTCGCTCAAATCTTTGGAACTAGGACGAGCTGATTCGCACAGAGAAACGGCAAATGCGTTCACGGATAGAGTCCTAGATTTGCTGCCGTTTTCGGTCTCACTGCAACGGGTACTTCTCCTTGGTCAATCGGTCGTCTCCGGGAATGGAATCTTCAGTCATCGTTCCTGTGCGAACTTGAGATTTCTGGATTTGCGGCACAGCGGTGTGACTTCGCTTGCGGGATTGGCATCCTTGACCGAATTGGAGCAACTGAGCCTGGCGTACAACACCCAACTGCGACCGTCCCAGGTCGCTTCTGCCTTTGTCGGAGATCAGGGAGAGGAGCTTCGGCGGAGCTTGCAAGCTCTAGACTTATCAGGATTACTGCTACCTGCAGCATTTCAGAGTGACCGACCGCCAGCGTTCCCGAATCTGCGACAGCTTAGCCTAGCGAATTGCCACGTCATGAGGGAAGCTAGGGTGGAACTTGGAGCAGTGGACCCCGCCAATGTTGTCATCAACAACAACATGAACGTTGCTGGCAATCCTGCCCCACCAGTGCAACCGCCTGCACCAGTACAGCCGGCACGACCAGTACAACAAACCGTAGGAGTTACGCTTGTTGTCGAAAATTTCAATTATGTGCTGGCTTCGCTGTCTACGTGTCCAGCGCTAGAGCACCTGGACGTTGGCGGCGTGAAGATGGAAGCAGCTATTGACCCAATGTTTCTTCCCAGAGCTCGCCCAGAGTCACTACGCTTGTTGTCGGGAATTAACGATGATGAGGTGGGCGACCTCCGTTTCTTCGATGCAGCGCTACAAGCGGTGCCGGTCTTGACCTCCGAGGAAGTGCGCTCTTTAGGCGGCAAGGTGCCGGAAGTAGAAGATCGTAGCAGGAAGCCGGCCCCTTTCAGCGTGCAGCGCTTGAGCCGCACTGTATTCCAGACATACCATCAGAGGCCATGGCTCTGGTGGAGTCACGCGACGTCCTCTTGAGAGTAGAGGAATCACATCTTCTTCGTATGGCTACGCATATAATGATGATGATGAACATGTGAATAGATACATCTTCGGAACTGACTGTCTTTGCTTACACATTTGAAATTCGCGCATGTTCTTGGTGTGACGAGACGTGGAGAGTCAAAGTGGTCTCAACGTCGAGGGAAAAAATGATACCGTGTGAAGTCTGAAGAGAATTTGCTAGAAGATCACGATGTACGAAAAAGACTGAAGCTTCAGTGTTCGACGCAGGATCCTTATTTATGATAAACCTAAATCTTTTTTCTCGATCATCAATGAGGATCAAGACAGCAAAATGCCAACGAGATCCTTTTTTGAAACTGTGAATTGACTCTGTTCGAGGAATTCTTGAAGGTCTGGCTGCGAGAACTGCGAGAGACCATGACATAGCGAAAATTTGGATCATCAGATTTTGCTTTCTAAGAGATCCAACGATGCAAAATTGTATGAACTATCGAGCTCTTCATGAGGGAATATAAGACTTTGCTCTTCGATCATGCGGGAAAATGAATTCAAATTTTCTATTATGTGCGATGTTGATGCACTAGCTCCTTTCATGAAAATGGAAGTTTATTCTTCGACATGAAAATAATCATCTGCATTATATTGACTTTTTCTTCACAGGATTCTAGCCCTCACACGACTCCTCAACCTACATCTTTAAGGTCCTCGTGTGTGAATTCACCTCATTCGTTGTGGACAGCCAATCATCTCTGCATTTTGCGATTGATTCCGGGGTTTGCTGGATTTGGATATATTTTAAGAGGTTTCGTTCCTGAGAATTGTTCATATCTTTGTCTTACCACGAATGTACACCGTTCGTCGTGTCTCTACTACAAGGTTCGTCGTTGCTCGTTCTTGCGTCGAAGACGTCGTTTAGTTCGAAACAGATGATACGGTTCGGGACTTTGTTTCTCTTTGAATTTTTTCTCGCAAATAAGGAAGTTTTGCGCGACTTGCTTTTCGTCTTAACTCTCGCACCACCCACATCTCACAAAAAAACTTCCTTGTAGGCTTTGCTGATTTTACAACCTTTTTTTTGACCGACGTGGTCTCATTTCCGAAACCCTGGTATCGGTGTTTTGTTCACACATTTTTATCGGTCCAACAAGTGTTGCATATAGACGCAGTCTAGACGGTTTTTTTTTAACTTTGCTTCCTTAACTTTCATTTACAACTTCTTCATACCTACCTCTTTCGAAAAGATGAACTACGGCCACAACGGTAGAGGAAACTCCCTACAGAGGAGTTCCTCTCAGAGAGGTGGCTACTACGGCGATCCGTACTGCGAGGCATACTACAGCTTCAGCCGTGGTTACACTCAGCCGATGAACTACATCCCTTACAACGACAGCTATGGCGGATCGCGATCCTCGTATAATAACAGCGGCCATGGCAGCTCTGGCCTGGTGGGCTGGGGCGCGTCAGCACCAGCTGTCGTAGATGAGGCCATGACCTTGAGCGTAGATGTATCCAACGCTAAGTCAGTCCTCATCGTTGGGGATGGGGACCTCTCCTTCGCGGCAAGCCTGGTCAACCACGTCCTGCACGTAGAAAGAATTACCGCCACCGTCTACGAAAAAGAGGAAGAATTTCTCAAAAGGTATTCTTTCCTGAAGGAAATAGAAATCCTTCGCTGAATACGTAGTAGTAAGTAAGAGAGGTGGTATGGGTAGTTTTGGATTTGGGACTCATGCTTAAGCTTAAATGGTTGATGTTACTCCAATTTAATAGCCGAAAACTACACTTCGCTTTCGTCGTTTGTCACTTTAGGTATGGCGACCAGGACCACACATCAGGGTTGGTAAATTTGAAGACCCTGCAGGGCACCAGCTGCAACATGCTGTTTGGCATCGACGCCACGGACATTCGTGGCAGCTTGCGCAAGTGCCAGCAGGAACGTGGTGGCGTCGCGCCCTCCGTTGACGTGGAGAAGATCCAGTATGATGTAGTAATCTTCAACTTCCCGTATCCGATCGAATGGAATAGCACCAATGTGCGCGGACGAGCGGAAAAGCTGATGCGTGATTTTCTTCCCTCGGCCCAAAAAGTGATCTCCGAAAAGGGTCAAATTCGTATTGCGTTAGTCAACAAGCAATTCGAAATGTGGTACATCGCCCAGACGCTCCAAAATGCGAAACTCGAGGTCGAAAGAGTCGAAAAATGTATGGCCTCGATCTGTTAATTTACTTCAGTACTCAGAAGGAGAATTTAAATCTTCAATTTCGATTACGATTTCATGATCTATCTTACCTTATCAATCTTAATGGAGTAAGCGCTCTGCTTTCACTGGAACGTTTGTTACCTACTTAGAAGTTTTAGATGGATTATGTCTATAATTTTCTATAAGATGCCTTTTTTTGATTTTCTTGTTTTTTTCTCCCTCTTCATCTGAGTCGACAAGGAGTTGTTTGAGCATTTTCGGAGTCGGTACGGGGATGATCGGGAACAAAAGAAGAGCGGAACGAAAGCGAACTACATCGATACGGGTAATCCGCGGTATTTTATTATCCGGAAGAAGGCTTTTATGGACGCGCAGCGGCGCGAGCGACTCGCCGACACGAAGCAGATCGTTGACGCGCAGCAGAAGGTGCGCGATCAGCAGAAGGCAGAGAGAGAGGCCGAGAAGAAACGCGAGGAGGAAGAAGCAGCACGAAAGAAGAAGGACGAACAGGAAAGGAAAAAAGCAGAAGAAGAGCGAATCAAGCAAGAAGAGCAAGAAAAGCTCAGAGCACGCAGACGGGATTTAGCAAAGAAAGCTGAAGAGGAAAATAACGAGAGAAAAAGACGTGAGCAGCAGCTTCGTCTAGCGCAACAACAACTACAACTACAACACCAACAACAACATGCTAACGAGGTCAGTTCTGGTAGTATATCTGGCGGTGATAATGCGCCAAACGGCAGTGCCGTGAACAACAAGCCCAAGTCAGCGATTAAGCAGACTCTATTGCAAAATGTTAAAGTTGAGGCCAAAGCAGACGTGGCGGGCTCAGCACTTCCTGCAGCGAATAAGAGGACGCAGGTTCCACCGGCACTGCAGGTGGACAAGCTCAACACGGAACACATCGCAGTGTTTCCTGCTCCTCGTCTTAGGGATGTTGTGCTGCATCCCGAAGGTAGGGCGTTTACGCTTGTCGAAGTGCGAGAAAAGTTCGAGAAGTTGAGGTCGGATTCGCTCTTCTTGTATGCCGACGGCTACTTCTATACGAGAGAACGCTGCCGAGTCGCGCTTGACTTCCGCGTCGCGCAGCGAGTGCTCAAGGACCAGCGGGAGAAGAGGAAAGCGAAAATACAGAAACAACTACAAGATCAACAAGCCAAGCAAAAAGTGCAACCGGCTGACAGAGCTGGTGCACACACGTCAGCCCAGGGCATTTTGAATACTATCGACAGCGTGGTGGATGTGCTTCCTCCGAGTTCGCTGGAAGTCCAAAATCCTTTTGCGAGCGAGGGTACACCGACTTCTGCGGAAACTGTTCCCGCCGGAACAGCGGCGACGAAGCGCGCTGCCTCGACGACGCAACAGCATGAAGTGGCAGTCGCAGGCGCGCCAGCGATAAAGCGCGTCCGCAGGGATTCGACCCCGTCCAGACTGCCGCACAGGGAGGTTCTTGGTGACGCGGAGATGCCGCAACGCGGTGACCGAGCTCGCCAGGAGGTGAGCCTGCGCAATCCGTTTCACGACAGTGATGCGATGGAGGTGGAGGAGGACTTTGGAGCTATCAACAAAATGACAATGCCACACAGAGAGATGCGTGTGGAGGAGAGACCATCGGTAGTGCCAACGGCTCCTCATTCCTCTTTTGAGGATGGGAAGCCGGCGGCGCCTAAACACGTCCCCTTACTACACACAACAACAACAACGTCAACAACTACAACAACAGTGATGATGAACAAATCCTCTGCTTCTTCCAATCATGTCGTGCGGAGCGCCAGGTCGGCGAGAAAGTCGCTCCATGAAGCCGAAAATACACAGGTCATGCAGACAAGAGAACTGATCGCGTCTTCTGTTGTGGCTGTGGCAGCACCTCAAAGGCCCGCTGATGCGAGAGTGTCAGGGCAAGGGAATAAGGATCCGAGTAGCGGAAAGGTGCGGAAAGTTCCCCTCTTGAATAACAACGAACAAACACCACCTACAGTGCCTAGCGAGAGATCAGATAGAAATAGCACTACATCAACCAGGATGAATACGCGCACTGTTCCCGTGCTACCGACGCCACTTTCCCGAGGTGGTCAGGCCCCGCCGCCACCCCCACCTGAACGACCAGCTGTTGCGCAAGCCTTGCATGCAGACGAAGATGACAACAACAAGGAGCGAGAGCTCCTGCTGCGCCGATTTTACGCCAAAGCCAATCAGGGCAAAGCAGCAACGGCTGCACCAAAAGCACACCCACCTCCGAGTGCGGTAGATAACAATACGAATGCGGTTAGAGGGCCGCAGAGATCAGGGGGTGGAAAAGCGTCATCCTCGAGGGGTGCTACGGCAGGCGGGAACAGAAGCAACAATGCTTTGCTTCGCAGTGTGGGACCATCTGGGGGTGTAGCCCCTCCGCCGCCTCCTCCGCCACCGCCGTCCGACCTCCTCACTTCTCTGCTTGCGGGACAGCGCACGATCGCGCATACCAACATGATGCTCAACAACCTCCTTTCCAACCCGTACGACTATGCAGCACCACCCCTGAGCGCATTTCCGCAGATGCAGACATCAACACTGCTATCGGAGCAACGCCAACCCGTCAGCACTGACACGCGCTATGCCGCGCTGCAGCGGGCTGCTCACATGAGCAACCCAAGACGTGCGTGGTGAGAGAAAAACCATCTGCCACACGACTGCGCAACACCGAGCTACGATTTATAGACTGTCACAATTTCCACCCACAATTTAACATTTACAAGTACTACCACGACAAACTCCTCCGCAGTCTGTGGACAGGTAAAAACAGCGGGAAGCTCGACGCTGAAACCCGGTTTGTGACCCTCGCCAGAAATCCGCAGTATAAGGAGGTTAATGCACTCCACCCGTCGCCGGCAGGTACACCGGACAACACTGGGATCACCCTTTCGGCGTTCTCGGACTACAAAAAAAAAAATCTAAAAAACAAAGAACCTCTTAATCAATCAATTAAAACGAGTACGAGTTGCTTAATCTCGCTAGGTTACCTACAACTAATCTGGCAGCTAAGACGAAACCGAAACGAAACAAACCTACAACTAACTTTACTGAGTCCTGCGGCGTTCACCTACTTTTATTCGAAAGAAACACAGAAACACGAAAGAGCCCCAAGCTCAGATCTAGCTTAGATACTGCAACGCTATCTCCTCGCTAGTTTTCAATTTGATTCTGGTTCCTTGTATGAGGTTTTGATATTCTCTCGAACTCTGGTTTTGTGCTGTTGTCCACTGGCAGCGTGGTGGCTAATGCCCTAATGCGTTTAGTCGCTCTGGCTGAACTCTACCAACCTTTGTGTCTGCTCCTTCTCTCTTCCCTTCGCAGACACCTTCTTATATATTACCATACTTGATAGATTTTAGATTTAGCAGGCTTTAGCATTAGCGTTATAAGTGGTTTCCAGCAACTTTGTGGCGTCAGCGGGTTGCAGCTTCGGTTTGCCGTGTTTACCGCGGTCGGACCTTGCGCATTTCTTCTTCTGCTTCGCTATTGTTGCTGCTCAGGAATGATCAGCAAGTTACTGGGTCTTGCACCCTTCTAGCAAACCTGTCGCTCAAACTTGTGCTACCTTTTGCCTCAAAGAAGTAGCCGCTAGTTAGCCACTAGGATTAGTTCTGCACGCCGTCCGCGTTTTTCGTTTAGAGAAGACAGCACGTAGGCCCCTCTTACTCGGTACGACGCTCTTCACTTATATAAAGCGCGAAGCTCTTGCTTGTGCCTGGAGTGCTAGACAGGGTCTTAATTAATTACGCCAGCCGCCGCAGTAGCCTCGTTTTTTTTGGAAATAGTAGGTCAAGCCAAAGACGAAGAAGAGCTAACATTATATATTCACTAGAATTCTAGCCGCGCGCTGGATTGTCCAGCTGCAGCCTCGTGCGTGAAAGCTTGCGAGTAGATGGGCCGCTTGGCTTATATTATTTTGCCAGCGTGTTGGACCTTTGCGTTTGCTCGCAGATGACGTGAGCACCCCTCTGAACGACAGCCCCCCCTTCAAGACAATACATCAGACCCAGTCCCTGAGATATGTTTTCAACAGTGCTAATTTTATACATTGAATGCAAAGAAACAAAAACGAGCCGCATAGGCCAGCGTGAGTCCGTCACAACTAGCGACAAGGCAGAGGAGCAGGAGTGAGGGGCGGCGCTTCTGAGATCGTTCGGATTATTCGGGCTGGTGGTGGTCGCCCCCCCGCTCTCGTGCGTTTCTGTGCCCGCAGGTGGGTGGGCCGTCGCGCTTCGGGTATTGTGTGGGCGTTGGCGGTGCGGTCTGTCGTGGTTTCGGTTGTCGCGCTTGTGGGTTTGTTGCAGCGTGTGGCCATTTTGTGCGGTGCGGATATGGTTGGAGCAGCAGCCGCGGCCGGAGTGGGTAGCGGGCGGAGCAAGGGCGGCCGCGTTTTCTATCCATCGTAGGGCGCTGGTTGGTGAGTCGATACGGAGAGCAGGCGGCCGGGCGGTGTGCTGCGCCATGCGGGTGAAGTTTGGCGCCGTTGCTAAGGCTTCGCCTTTTTTGTGACCATGCGCGCCGAGTGGGGTCTGTCAGTCTCTGTAGCTGATGTTTGGACGTAGCTTCAGCCCGCCTGTTATGTGTTTGCTTTGTTCTTCATTGTCATGGCCTGAAGAGTTTTCGTGTGGTGCTCGGATGCGTCTTGTCGGAGGCGGAAGCTGTGTCTTGTGGTCCGCGGGTTTGTTCGTGTGCTCTTCTCGTCTACGTCTGCCACTGTGGTCGAGGGGAGTCTGGGGGGCCCGTGTGTGTTTGTGCATGTGTTTGCCGCTTTTGCTGGCGTGTGGCCAAGTATGTGTCGCGGCGTGTATAATTTGGGTGCTGAGTGGCCGCGGAGGTGGTGGAGCTTCTCTGGCGTTGTCTGGGTTTAGCTTCGGCGTCGTGTTTGGTTTTGCAAAGTTCTACCATTTGCCCCATTAATTTTTTCAGCGGAGTCGGTCTCGGTGTTTCGGGTCGGTCAGGATGATGAAAAGAGAGGAAAAACAAAGGAGCATGAGGACGCCCGGAGAAAGAGAGCAGCCAACGGCGTGAGGATATTCGAAAGAGAGAAAGAGGAAGGCGGCCGGCGTTCAAAGGTGAAAAATTTTGAGTGAGCTGGGCCGCCCTGTATAACATCGGCGCACCCGTTTGGCCTTGTGTTGTTTTCGGTAAGTGAGTAGGAAACCTGCGCAGGGCACTCGAGTAGCCTACTGTAGGCTCTTTTTGCTTGTGGTGGTTCATTATCATCAAGAGAGAGAGGCCCCGGAAGTCCCAAGGATTCCGCGTAGTGAGTGCCGGTAGTCTGCTAGCTTGGTAGACTTTCTTAGTTGTAGCTAAAGCAGCGCCCTAACTTGTTTGATTTTGATCGAAGACTGATGGTCTCGCGCGTTGCTCGGTGAACTTTTGAAGCTTAAAGCATGCGAGATCTTTGCTGATGGTCGTACGCTTATGGTGTGCGTGATAATTGAACACCTTGCTGCCACCAGGTGGAAAAACTAGAATGGCTACAAGGTATGCGCATCGTGCTATTTTGTGTGGGATGGCGGATGGTGTTTGTGATGATGAAGGCGCTCGCTTTCTTACTTAGCCTAATGGAGTGCCGCTAGCTTTGCTGTTTTACTGATGTCTGCGCCGCTGACTTTGACCGCTCGCTTCGTTTCGTGGTGTGTGGTTATGCTGCTGGGGCCTCGGTTCTAGTGAGGCCGCCGGAGTGCGAAGCATGGCCGATCTTCAATTTTCTTTATAATCAAGTTACAAGTTTCGAAAATTTGCAACGTATAAAGTTGGGAGATTAACTGTCGCTGGGTCTACTTCGCTTGATGGCTGGTGAAGCTTCTAAACTTCATGCGCAACGATGAGGGCAGAGAAAGGCAAGCAAGGTGGGCTGGCTGGGTCGATAGCGTTTCTGGGTTTATCTGCGCAAATCTTACGTACTCGGCAAACTAGCTCGAGACTTCTTGGCGTAGACTGTCAGAACCAACAGTACAGACCGGCGAGCTGTTATTTCATCTTTCAGATATAATCCAACTTCTTGAGAGAGAACACACCGCGCCAAATCTTAGAAAACAGGAAAGGGGGAGGCTCTGGGCCTTGTTGTGTTTGCTACTCGGCAAGCCACCAGCCCCAAACCGCACCAAATCTGTACAGGGTTGGGAAGGCTCGGCCTGGTCAGTGTGCGTGTTGTGAATCTACCTCGTGCCGGCATTTGAAGTCAAGTACCTGAACTGCCTAAGCGTTAAGGGCTTCAACGAACTGCATGCCCCTCAGCCAGATGATTGGCAAGCCCGTGGGGTAAGTGGCAGCGTGTCTTTGGTTCTCAGTTTCTATCTCTCAGTCTCTTCCTTGTCATATCATGGACACGCACCGCAACAGTTGAGCAAAGCAGGAAAAGCGGGCAACGTTGCCTTTGGTATGCGTGGCTATGTAGTCGCTGGCAAGCACGTGAAGGCGGGTCGGCTCGATGTCGTCTGGCGTGTTTGTGTCTGTCTCACTCCTTGCGCCTCTTTGGTTGTGTTAACGGTGTCGCCGGTGGCTGGTGCATTCGCGGAGACTTGGAGCATGGGCATGCCCCTACTTCGCCGGCGTTGGCACGCACGGGGCCCAAGTCAAGTGCGTCCGCCGCGCTTTTGGTTGCTGCTCGCCGATGGCGCACGTCCGTGGCCTGCGTGGGTGTCTTGCTGTGACTGACTCAACTTGTCAAGCCAAACGCCAGAAACAGCCCACGGGGGCCCTCCGTAAGTATTGCATTCTGTGCCTGCCACTGATTTCCGCATGGCCGGTCTGCTTGGCAGGGTGTAGTCCCTTGGCTTGGAAGCCTTTTCGGCTTGGTGGAAGTGGATCCGCATTGCACAACGGTACGGCGCATACGTTGGGAGTATCAATCGAGGAGCCTTAGAACGTGCAGGGCGCAGTCAGCACGAAGGTACCAGCTCGATGGCTTCGTGACTCGACGGTGCCTCGTCTCCATGCGGATTCATCCTCGTATGAACACACCGAGACAGGAGCTGGTCGGCCGGCGCGTCCTTTCCGCGGCACGCAGAGGAGCTCGACTTAACATGTTGGGCCGAAGCGCTCGAGATGTTGCTGGTTGAAAGTAGTCGACGCTAACGGCGACCCTACAGTTCAAAAATCCGCGCGGAAGCAATGCGTGGATGGCGCAGCTCGTTGACAGCCGCAGTTTCCTTGTTTTTTTGGATCCGCGTTTCCGATCGACGCGCTCGGCGACGCATGTACGCCAGTTTCTCAGGGGCTTGTCCGTCACTTTCTTTGGGGCGGGTCGACGCATATCCGGCTTCTATGGGATGAACATTTTTCGGAGCTGCCTGTGAGGACTTTTGAATAGCAGACACGGCGTGGATGAGCACCATAACGCATTTGATTTTCGTGGGGCCTTCCGAGCGTGCTTACTCGTGCCGTTTCGATCCAAGAAAGATGCATTTTCACTGGATGGGATTCGCGGGGTCGTAATTGTTTTGAAAAGTTACCGTTTGATGGTGGAAAGCGATGATCGCGAAGACGGAACTTCTAGTTCTACTTTTTCTGCGATGGCGAAGCCGCGGGGGGCTTGGCAGGAAGCACGGAGTGGGATGGGCACACGCTTATGGGGCCACGAGGAAAGCGGTGACTGTACTAGTACAGCTAGACCTTATGTAAGCGATCTCATTTCTAATATCCTACTCATACTCCATTCTCGGTTTATCGCAGTTTTCTTCTTGTTCGTCAAGTGAGCGGGCAAATGGAATGGTATCCCGACTTTCTTTGTAGTCTTTTCTAACTGCTCGCTTCTGCACCCATAGATAACGTCGCAACATGTGCGCATGATCTATCTTCTTATGTTTTCAGCCCTGTACACTAGTAAACTTTTGCTTGTGCGTCCAAAATATGCTGGGCTGTCGGCAGGTCGATCGCATAGGTGCAAACCGAGCCCCTTGTTATGATTTGGCGTTGGCCGAAGCTGGAGGTTGTCGAGCAACGCGGAGGAGCATCGCCAGCGTGCGTTACGGACAACAAACTCTGAGATATGGTCTTCACTCCTACTTCTAATCTATGATGTATCGCAAGCTTTCACTGACCGAACGACCTTCTCTTATGCTGATGTAAATTTCCAATTTTGTTTTGTCTATCAACATCTTCGGTCTCTCTCGTTGTACTATTCGATTGACACGCAGCACCTGCAGTTGTAGAGCTGGACTTTGCAACGACTGGCGCGAGAAAATATCCATGTGGAGCGATAAATGCTATGTCCTGCAGTGTCTGGTAGTCTGGTAGTGTTTCGCTCTTGAATGAGCAATTTTTGGGTTGATCAACGCGCGATGTGAAGCTCACGAGCATTGGAGTGCGCATACTTGTTATGTCATGGATCCATCCTTGCGATGTAAATAATTATGATTGGGGCGATGCGGTATCCGGCTATTCTTCGATCCAAGGACGAGACCTGTTAACGCGAGAGTATGGAAAGTAGAGGATCCTCTTTTTTTGGAAGACTTGTTCGAGATATAATATATAAGAATTTTGTCAAAATATATAAAGAATGAGGCACGAGAGGAGGATTTTTGTCGTCGTGAAGAGTTTTTTCTACACTCAGGCGGCAACTTTTGCATATTTTTGGTGGATCGACCACAGTGTGTTCAAGCATTCACCCAGAACTCAATGAAGACTGCGAATCTAGGTCAGCGATGCTTCGGGTGTCTGTTGCAAACAGGTGTTGTGGAGAGAAAGCTGTCGGTTCTAAACTTGATACTCTTCTGTTGCTGTTGCATGCTCTTCTCGAGGCGGATTCAACTATTAGGAATTTGCAAGCATAATTATCTTTCGGTCGGTTTTTGATCGGAAGCATGGGAGTTGTCACTGGGCGAGCTCGGTCCACAACTAACATGAAAAAGTAGTTCTTCTGAGGACTGAGAAGCAACACAGCTCCCATAGATACGCAGTTGTACTACTACTGGCGTTGCTGGCGCCAAATTGAATAGTGCAGATTCACTGCACGCACTCGAACCAGAACACAAAGTAACGCAAATACCGCGGCGAGAAACTGGAAAATACCGGGACATGATTTCGTGCAGAAGAGTTGATGACGATGCCTGGATCGCAACAGGTTGACTTATGTGAAATTGAGCTTCTGGCTGCAAGTAGGGCTTTGCAGCGAAGCAATGGGTACCAGCAACACGATATATATGCCGATGATATAAGTCGCATCCAACATGCCGATACTCTTAAGGGCTGACGAAGTAGCTGGAATAATTCTAGAGGAGCAAAACATCCAGGGGTGAGGCGATTGCGGAGGGACACCGGAACCAAGGCTGAGGCGATAAATGTCGAGACATGATTTATGACTTGGGACGTCGACGTGTTAAAGAAAATGTTTGGAAACAAACGTCAGGAAAATATGCACTATTTCTTGTCCTCCTCCTTATTTCCTACTCCATCTAAAACCAAGTTGAGCAACTCAGCATTTTGCATTTATACCTGAAGAGAATGATGATTCAGATTCATGATGTATGAACAGGTTTTTCGCATTTTTCGCTCACGGTAAGTACTTATGAACTTTTGCCCAAGACATCAGTATGCGCACAGATAAATGATTAACGCCTACTTTTTTATCAGTGAGTGACATAGCTTGCGCTTGATTTATAAAACAGGGAAATCTTAGGCAGCTCGCCGAATAGATTCAAATCATCATAAAACAGATCATAACTACTTCAACGTCGCACAACATTTATCCGCTACTTGTTGTAGTACTTAGGTACGTCATCCAAGCGTGAACTTTCCAGTCTAGATCATTCCTAACATATTTTGAGCTAAAGACTCTATGTTCTCTGATCATACTGTAGGACCGTGCTGTTTTTGCTTTGATTTCCAGGAGATCAACATATGATAATTGAGCCGTTATAAGTTGGCAGCTGTCTGTAGTGTCATTTTACAACATCATTGAGAACAGAGTGTCTGCTTGCGAAGCTACCGAAAAAATGGCTGATCCCGAATATTCTTCAGACTACGTGAAGCCAGAACCGACGAAGTGGGACTTCGATCCTCAGGTCGGAGAGATCGTGGAAGCCTACTTCGACACGCACGAGCTGCCAAACGGCCTACACTATGATGTAGGCTCGACGGAATGGAAGCCGCGTCGTTTGGTTTTGCTTCCCCGACATCGTGATAAAAAGAGCGGGAGAAAGCAGGCTTGGACTCATCATGGAGTTTCCTCACAAGATGCTATAGAGGAAACGGCCTCAAGAAGTGCTGCTCAGGACAAAAGGGCTTCTGGGGAAATGGCCTCAAGAAGCGAAGCCTGGAAAGTGGAGGAGATCGTTGTTGAAAACAAAGGCTATAGTACTTCGAGCATGTGTATGAGCAAAAGACTTGGTGGAAAAAGTGAAGATAAGCCTAGCGACGACAATAGGTGGAAGAACTACGGTCATGACGAACGATGGGCCAAGAAGACCGACTACGAAGAAGATGGTCAAGGTTCGAAAACTAATGGCAGGTGGAAGAACTTCGAGAACTGCAAGGACGGCGAGAGGTGGAGAGTCGCAGACTTGAACTCTGATGTAACCGCGACTTCTGACGAACCCTCCAAGCCGACTGCAAATTTGAATGGCTCATCAGATTCCAGTCCTGCAGCTACAGCATCTCTGGCCCGAAAGTCATCGCCGAGAGATGAACCAAATGAATCAACAGCTACTGCTGCGACACGACCTCCGACTTTCGGCATGACAATGGGTTGGGTGTGGGCCCGCGTCACACAGAAAAAGTTCACGTCGTGTTTCGTAACTCTCTTCGGTGAATTCATGGACCCACACACTGGAGAAATCTTTCACGATCTGCCTGATTACAGAGTCCCTTGGGAGCAGGTTCGCGAAAAAAACAAACCACGACCAGGTCCCGTCCTTTCCGTATTCATGTCGCGCTGGTACGATTACATTACGGACTGTACCCGTGAATGGGTTAATCACTACTGTACCCGATTAGTGTGTTAATTACCACTGTACCCGGTGAATGGATTAATTACTACTGCACCCGGTGAATGGGTTATAAGTACTACTGCACCCGCTGAATGGGTTCATTACTACTGTACTCGGTGAATGGGTTAATTACTACTGTACCCGGTGAGTGGGTTAATTACTACTGTGCCCGGTGAATGGGTTACCTACTACTGTACCCGGTGAATGGGTTAAGTACTACTAATCCTGCTGATCGTAGGATCTGCGAGTACCGTATCAACCGTGAGTACCCGATCGTGAGCATGATCAAGGATAACGGATTGGAGGCTGTCTGCGGCGGTATGGAGAACCTTGAGGTCTATTCGTTGTTTGTATGTGATAGTCGTGACTTGGAGGAGTTCAACGCAGCTGATCTCGATGTCCTGCTGCTGTCTCCAAGGAGGGTCGGAATGCACTTTCTTTGGCCATGTGAGCGACCAGATGGCTACGCGGAGGCGATGGTATCTAGAGCGAGTTTTTTCGGCTTCATGCAGCGAGTCGAGGCCCGAGGTATCGTCACACGCTATCCGGCTCCCGCACTCCTTTAGTATGGCTTCAAAAGTTGATTCGAACTCATGCTAGCGTACTAGAATTTCCATTCAAGCTGCTCAAAAACTTCACCTAGTTTTTGTACCAATTGGTTGAGAAAGTAACCTTATTGTATCTTGAGAGTCTACCTAATATCTCAAATAAGAGGAAGCTTTCATTCCTGCGAGAAGCTGTGCGGCAAGAAGTATCTTGAGGGAGTCGTCCGATACGACACCTTAGACGTTCCGTGTACGACGCGTGTCACCTTCGGTAGTGTGGTAGAGGATGCTCGAAAGGCTGCTCATGATGCCATATGCGCTCTGACTCGAATGCGACGCGCGAAACTTGGACCTGCACTCGCTCAGAGGACATCCACTTCTTCTCATGATTCGCAGGGCGGCGTCGTAAAATTACCATTTTCGTGGTGCGGTGTGGACGTGTTAAAGTGGGACGACGCGGAAGATCTCGCGCATAAACTTCTGCGCATCTTTGAGGGTAGCTTTGCCAAACCGAAGGAACGTAAAGGCTTGCCTCCTCAGGTCGAAGAGCATGAATTATGCGCGTTGTCTACTCGAACTCAAGTCGAAGACGAAGAGCATAGTGTATTGTCCCCTGAAGCAAACGAGGTCGAGCAAATGCAAGCTGATGTGCTGACATCAAGTTGCTGCATTTCACCAACGCACAGTGCGTCAACGACCGACACCAGTACTGCAAGTGTTGCCGGTTTGTCGCCGACGTTGAGTGATGTCGGAAGCACGACAGCGAGCAGCACTGCAACTGCGAGTCCAGATTGCGCAGCTACGCACGAGTCGTCACACATAACGAGTGTCGCGGAGAACTCGCAAGCTGACAAAAGCAAGGAAAAACAACCCGAGCCAGAAAATGTAGATGATGCACATTCGCGTGCTCAACCGCAAGACGAGCAGCAGTCGGATAATGCAGAGGTGTCCTCGACAGATGCTCCACGACTGGTGGATTTACCACAAAATGCTGGCGTCGAAGCGCGTGTCGTTGAGCGCACAGTACCGAATCCCGACTACTACAACAAGCTTGCGCAGACTAGCTGTCTGGTGCAAGAACTAGTGGCGAACCGTCTTGGCGAGGTCCGCGTTATCGCTCAGGCATGTACTGACTACGAGTATGATCTCAGGACTCGCTATGCTCTGCTGGATAGGGGAAACCAGATGGAGGCGCCGGATGGGGGTAGCTGTAAACCGGACGAAAACTCCTTCACTTCTTCCAGCACTGTTCTCTTTGCCACAAGCTCCTTTACTATTGATGGGGATGAAGAGACACCAAGAGCAGCAGCGGCAGAGACACCAGCGGCGGCAGCGGCAGAGACACCAAAAAAGACTGTAACAAGCGGGGCAGAAGATTTCAATCTCACTGGCAGCAACTTCATCGACGCGAAGGACACAGCTGTAGAACTCTTTCGAGGAGATGAGGTAAAAGTGATATAAGTAAACAGCCTTGCTCTGACAAATTCGTAGTTGGAATTCGAATTCATCCATGCAATATTTTGGGCGTCCTTCGTTCTCTGATTTCCTTCTTCACAAAAAATCAGGACGTCGCTATTTGGGTCGATTCTGAAGCCAAGCGAGTGGCACAATGGTTTCTTGATTTCTGGTATCCAAGCCACTGGCCCGGTCCACGATGTCCGTCCAAGGCCCGTTTTGATTTTCTTGTGCGTGAAGTGGAGAGGACAGAAACTAACAGTGACGTCATCTCCGCAGGAACAGATTTTACACCGACTTGTTCACTCACCGAGAGCAATATGCCAGCTGCGGGTCCTCTGGGAGTTCAAATGGTGAACGGATGCGCTGTCTTTCACGGGAGTCGGATATCTGTGCAGCTGCATCTTTGTGAACTGAGCGAACTGGGTGTGAGTCTCTGTCGCCTGCCCATTCATTAAGGCTAACATTTATACATCAACGTTTTCACAACCTCAAGAAAATACAGCAATCACCTACTTATGTCAAAGCCTTTCCTACTTGGAGAGGCAAAGCAAGTAGGCTATGATTGCAGTTCACAAGCTGTTCGAACCTAATTGATTCAACAACATAAAATCACATGGTAGTAGCTCTAACTTTTGGCCCGCAATGTCGCGGTGGCGAACAGCTGTTTGGCTACAGGTCCACAGCACCTTGGGAGGGGCAACTACCTACCCTGGTTGTGGGATCGTGCGAATCCAGAACTGCCAAGAGATGAGGAGGGACAGATTTTGTGGAAGAGCCAGTCTTCTACTGGAGCATCGAGTACCTAGAGTGGATGTTTTATGCGAAGAAGAGAAGATATATGTGGCTTTGATGTTGCAAAATCTCATCTATTGTTGCGTACATGCTCGTCGTTTCAAACAGTTTCAACACAAACTTAATATCGTATCGACTGTTTAGTCTGGTCTCAATGAGCCGAGTAGCCTGAAAAACGACTATTTATCAACTGGTAGTTGAGGGGCCATGACATACCATCGTCGAAAATAACAACATTCTCCTATTCCATACGCTGCACTAGCCACCGCCGCCTGTTCTTGTCAATACGAAAATGTCTATAGCCTCAGGTGGTCTTATATCTTTACTTAATATAAAATATAGTATTTACAACGCGCAGCATCGTCGCATGAAATATCGTTGAAGGTACAACGCCCCTTTCCGAACTCTCTAGAACATGACATACTTCTGCTAGAACACTGTTTTTCTACATCGTTGGCGCTAGGATATGCAACTAACTCATAGACTTAAGAAGTCTTCCGCCGTTCTTATCTTCACTTATATCGCAGGCAAACCGGGAATCGGATCATACAAATTTGAATACTTCATTTGTACCTCGTAATGCTTATATCCTTTTGATTGCAACTGTCATGAGAATGTCCGTGGGAGTACCCAGATTTTACTTTGTTGATCTTGATCAAGTCGGACGGTAGTGGACATGTAAGATGTTGATATTGTCTCTGTCAGTATTCAGATTTTCCATCAGCACGAGCGAGCATGGCACTTCCCACATGCGCTCTTCTCCAATGCTAGATCGTGTTCCACAAGCCGACCAAGAGAAGACGCTGTCACGTGCACCACGCGAACTGGCATGATGGAAACGTGAAAATGCTGAAATGCAAATGACGAGTAATAGGACAAGAGCTCCTCCCGTGCTCTCGGTGAAGCCAGAAAAGTCCTATGACGTGCTGATGATAATATCGATCCTTAAAGGACTTTACTAGTCGATTTTTACAGAGTAGTTCGAATCTAGTTGTTGGCGAAGTTGATTTGTAGTCACGCCCTGGAGCATATATGAGCCATTCAATAGAAGGTCGTTATGTTACTCGTACTTGGTATAATTTCATCGTAAAACGACTATCGTCTCGCGAACATATCGAGACGATAGGGTCGCGCGCGATCATAATACTTAATAATAACAATGAATAATAACAACGACTAGAAAAGAAACAACAAACATGTACCCGGAGGAGATCCGTCATGCTTGGTCTGTGTATTTGCGCGATCTCGGACTGTGGAGTGCCGGACAGCGCGTTGAGGATGTACGTGCGGGCGTTCGCACCGTAGCCTTTTTTCTGCGAGCTATCGGCATCGTCTCAGTCGGGCCGCACGTTTCGTCCACTAGTGTTAGTACTTCACGGGATGTTCATCTCGAGAATCGTGCGCATGGCAGGAACAAAGGGAGCAGGAGCAACTCATCTCCAGTTCGGTTTACAAGCGGGTCCACGTTTGAGGAGGTAACTTCATCCCCCGTGAAGTTTTTCCAACACGATCGCAACTTGTTAATGTACCTTTATCTGGAGAGCAAGCAGCGAACGGGCTCCGGAAACGAGGAAGGCCATTTTGCATTAAGGATTGGAACATGCATCTGTAGTTTTTATCAAGCCTGCTGAGATGAAGGTGGTGGAAAAGGAGCTGTATCCCTACTATCTATAGTAGAAAGATGTATAGGGGCAACTCTCAATCTCTTTCTCTACTAGTACAGCTATAGTAGATATAGATCTCAACATAGGAGCAACTCTCATCAATCTCAACAACACGACGCTCTAATTCTCGCCGACGACGTGGTGGAGATCGTAGAAGCCTTGACGAATTCGGAAGTGGAGCGCGTGCGCGTTGGTGCGGCGCTCTCGCGCATGCCGTCCAAGGGAGCGTTCCTAGATACGGCGCGTTCGATAGGATTGTTGCCAGGCCTCAAATTGGCTAATGCAGAAATGGAATTTTTATCGTTTTTACTCGAGCAAAAGGAAGAGCCTGGAAAAACCGACGCAGCAGGGAAAGAAGAAAAGTCCTGCTCTGCCAGCAAGGAAATATTCTCAAGCTCAGGACAACAGAAAAACACAATGCAATCGAGGACGAAGAAAGATGATGAATCGTTTGCAGCTATGCTGAAGTACCTCGGTTATCACTGACCATAATGTCGACGGGTCTTGTCAACGGCTACTTTTCAGTACTCGCTGATTGGTGCAGATTTCTCGGAAAGTGCACCATCGGATTGCGAGTTTGCCGCTCGCTGCTCGGTTCATCGTGTGTTCGTTGATCTGGACACCACCCAACTTAAAGTTGGGGTCTCCCTCGAGAACAATCCTTGAAAAGATCGTTCGATTATGTGAAGTCGCGGTCCGTGAGCCTGAAAGCGCGAATCATCCGAAGAACGCTCTGTCGTTGACTGAATTTCGCATTTGATTTCAACATTCTCTTGGACAAGTCGTACAAACATGATTTCGTCTGTCTGCTTCGTTTCGATCCGAATCGATGACAAGTATATAGCGCAAATCACTTTAATTTTTGCGTGTCCAGCACCTGGTAACAAGAGCAGCATATAATTGAACACCAGAACAACAGAAAATGGATCACGGCGCTGTATTATCCGCCATGCTGGCGGAAGACGAAAGTTCTATCGAAGAAGAATCTGCACAACAGTCTCCGACCAACGGCGACAGGACGCTTCCAGACAACCAAATAAGCGCCGCAGTTCTCGACACCACGTCTGCATCCGATCTATTAAGTACACAGCCACCTCTTGGCACGACTTTGGCTCCCGGTCAGGCGACGGTAATCTCCACGTCTTCCGAAACGGCGCCCCAACCGACGCAAGACTTGCCAATTTCTGAAGGAGATAGGCGAGAAGAGAAAGCCGGCGAGAATGCCGCGAGCTCCACTCGCAAGCCGAGCGCAGAAGGAGAAGCCTTTTCTGCCACAGAACCTGAAAAGATTTGCGAACCTGTGCCAACTTGGTGCTGTCCACTGAACGAAGTTGTGTGGACTCACACATGCCTCCCGCCAGGGGAGACAGCGCAGTTTGCCAGCCAAATCGTGTGTGCGTCTCCATTGTGTCAAAGCGTCGGATCGAGAACAGGTCGCGACATCCGGCATGGCATTGTCTCCGTTTCGGTAGCAGTTCCAGGTCGTGCTTCGAGCAGCGCATCTGCGGGAGGAGGGCAGACAGGAGAAGGAGAAAGCGGTCGTAAGAAAGATGAAATGGAGATAGCTGAAGGTCGCGATGAAGATGCTTCTGAGGATAGCTCGTCCCCCTCTGACTTGCGATTCGAGCAAGAGCATCAGTCCGCAGATGCTGGGATTCTTGGTGCTTTGGGACTACCGACAGATGAAGACGACGATCTCATGGACGATGTCGAGGCACAAGTCGGGCGCTACGATGCCGTGAGCAATGTAGATGTGCTGAAAACGCGAAACAAAGACCACGCAGAGCTTGATGAGACCGCGGGCATGCCTACGACAAGTGGAGCAGGAAAAGACGGCGCTAGCGGTGGCGCTGAAGGAAATGCTCTTGGCATTGCAGAGTTACAAGGCAATATGCAGCGTGATTTCGGCTATCTCTTGCGGAAGAAGGTGAAAGACACAGAGACGGAGAAGAAAGTACGGGAAAAGGCGGAGTCGACACCTGCACCAAGAACTACAGAAGAAGTTGGGAACTCGGCTCCACCAGAGGACAACGCAGCAAAGATCAGCAGTGCGACATCTGCAGACGAAAAGGATGATGTGGATATGAACAAGAACGGAGAAGATGGGGAGAAGGAGACGGTAGATCCTCGTCCGGCCGGCATGAACAACGGAGAAGATGGGGAGGAGGAGACGGTAGATCCTCGTCCCGACGGCCATCCTGCACTATCTTTCTGGCGGATCGGTGACGAGTGTTTGTATCACTGGCCCAAAGAAGCCGAATGTTCCAGTTCTGGGTATGGTTGCAATGGCGTTTTCACAGATGCGCCACATGTCCTCGAACTCCTGGAAAATTGCGGTGACGCAGATACGGTCCAACTTTTGGGCAATCTGCATCGAGTGCGCCCTTTCGACGTCCATGACGTCATGCTGCTGCTCAGTTGTCGAAGTGTACGCAACGTACCTCTAGTTCCGTTGCTGCTGGAAAAAGTGAAAGCCAATGTGAACTACCAGGACCGCAACGGGCGCACTTGTCTGTACCAAGCCGTAGTGCGGTGTGGAACGGAGCCGGACGCAGAGGAGCTCTGCTTTTCTCTCGCGAAGAAGTCATTGAGGGACCAGCAACACGAGCGCGCTGCAGCTCGAGATTTGGCCGAAAAGAAAGCAGCTAAAAGAGCCATGTCGCCGCATGGGGCAGACAAGTTTCGATTTCGAGGCAATACGAGTGGTGACCGGCGACGGCGGTGGAAGAAACGCAGACATGATCATGAAACTGAAAGTACTCTGAATAATCCCCGTTCCAGCACAATTACTTCGAAAATAGCAGACCAAACGTCGCAAGAGAAACAAAATGTAAATGCATCAGGACCACGGCTAGCACTACAACATCAAGAGGTAGAACAAGTTAAAGCTATTGACCCAGACGAGAGCAGTAGCACCTCGCAGGAGGAGAGCGAGAAGGCATTAGCAAAGAGGCAAAATGATGCATTGCACCATTCGAAGACACGGAATTTCGGAGGTAGTCCTGCGCTGCATGCGACCGGATCTACATCCCCAGGTGGCGGGACAAACTCCGCAGGAGCAACGTTGTCGACAATAGGAGGTGGTCTTGCTTCCTCACAGAAGCTCGATGAGACCACGACACGCTTAAAGGGTGAACCTGTAGAGGCTGATAACAATTTTTCTATCTCGATGAAGACAGATAATGGCGAAAACGAAGAAGGTATTGCAAGTGCAACTCCCGGGCAACAACGAGAAACTGAAGATCAAAAGTCTAGTAGTGCTGCAACAAAGGAGGTGGTAAAGACCACCACACCTGCTGTACAGGACGATGATGATGAGTTTGACTCGTTTCTGGATGTGGTGGCGTTGCTTTTGAGGTTCGGTGCGCGAGCAAATCATCCAGTAAGGCCGTCGTTGTTGGATTGTCGCAGCATCCGTTGTGCGCGAATGCTCCTGGATTATGGCGCGAATGTCTGTATTCAGAGACCTCCCGACGAGATAAATCGCGGCGATTCGGTTCTCCATGCTGCAGTCCTGCGCGCCGACCGCGCGATGATCTATTTACTCCTCAAGGAAGCACAGCAGACGCAGCAATTGCAGGCGTTAACTGGGCTCAAAGACCAATTTGGCCATTCAGCAGTTTCCGCTTGCAAAGACGAGATCTGTGCGTATATGCTTTTGTCGGCGGGCTGTGCGGTGATTGAGGACTGGGTCGTGCCGCTCAACAAAGACGGAGACCATGGACATCCTTGTGAGCGCGTACGAATTCAAGCGAAGATAGCTTTCCGTTACATCACTCCACGGGAAGCAGAGTACCAGGTCAAAATGTGGCGACAGGATAACCCAGAATGGCGAAAATGGAAAATCAAAACATAGTGAAACCGTAAGTAATTCTCAGAAATACTACAACAAGTATTGATCCTAGGTCTAATATCCCTCCAATCAATGTAATTCTCAGAGCTACAACTACTTCTACTCGTCCACTATGTCATACCATCTTTTACTTCCATTACCATGCTCCTCATTGAATGTAAACCATGTCATCTTACAAGGCGTGTACCAATGAATGGACACGCTAATTATACATTCAGTCCATGCTTTCCATTTCCTACGACTGAGAGTGAGACATGATCTTCACACATTTTGAAACTCTCTCTTTTGCACAGCACTCGATGCACAGATTGCGGCCCGCGCAAAGAGGGCAATCGAATTTTGATTTGTAAGCTTCTACCGACAACTACGAGGCACCCGTCGTGTCTGTACACGCTACAGTCCCTCGTTTTCTCTTCCAAGCAGAGGAGCTTTTTAGACAGCGTCCTCATGGGATTGTTCAACCTCAGGATGTCCTTCTGTGGATAATAGCTTGTATGTCATCAAGGAAGCTCCTGGTACTTGGGATGCATGCAGGAGAAGTTGAGCCGCGACGGATCCTCAATCAGATCGGTTCAACTTCCAGAAAAATGATCCCGTAGCGGTTGTGCTTACCAAGGTAGAGAAGTAGGCACTTGGTGGATGCTAAAAGAGATCAACTGTTTGCACCAATATCGGTGAAGATTAAAAACGCTAAAACGGAGGAGCTTTTTTCTAGAATGGTTAAATTTGGAATTTTCATAATTTTTTATGTAAATTCCTGCTGGCTGAAAGATTAATTATACATAGGGTACGCAAATCTATTGCTGCTTTGTTAGAATCCCAGTGACTCTGTGCAAGTAAGAACTGAAATGATTAAGTTGGATGAAATAATGACGATGGCGTTATCCCCTTGAAAGTGATTCTAAAAATTTTATCTTCTAAAGACTCATTTTTCCGAGATTGACCAAGCATAAACATACAAGCAAAATGGCGAAAGAATCCGCCGATGTGATGAAGGTCGCCGACTGGGACGTGGTCGTGGAGCGGCCCTTCATTGAAAAGTATCGTCCTTCGTCCTTAGAGGATGTGATTTCTCATCAAGACGTCATTCGCAGTGTTTCGCGGATGCTGGAAACGAAGAATTTCCCGCATATGATATTCTACGGCCCACCGGGTACTGGAAAGACGTCGACAGCACTGGTATTGGCCAGGAAGCTGTACGGGAAATACTTTGGGACTGCGGTAATGATGCTCAACGCCTCTGATGATCGCGGCATCGACACGGTGCGAGGAAAAATTCAAGGTGGACTTTTTACAGCTTAATATGGATTGATAGAATACATAGCCAATTTCAAATTCTACATTATTAGACCTCTTGAAACGAAGGCGGGTTCCCTTACGCGGATGCAGACTCGTGTTTGTTTTCTGATGTAAGGTAGTAATAGTAGTAGAGCTGATCATTGGATTTGGAACCAACTTCTTATGTTGTTAAATATATATAATTGTTTTTCGACAGGTTTCTGCGGTCAGGGCTCGTTCATACCAGACCCTGATCTCCAGTCCGTACCGAAACTGGTGATTTTAGACGAAGCAGATATGCTAACTAAGCCTGCACAGCTTGCTCTGCGACGAGTGATGGAGGACTTCTCGCGAGACGCCCGCTTTCTGATCTTGTGCAACTATTTAAACAAACTGATTCCGGCTATTCAAAGTCGATGTGCCGTGTTCCGCTTGAGCATGCTAAACGAGGAAGAGGTGTGCTGTTGCATCCGACGTGTGTGCAAGGCAGAAGGGCTCGAGATAACTGACGACGGCGCCTCGGCAATCGCAGAGCTGGGGCGCGGAGACCTTCGACGCGTCTTGAATTTGCTTCAGTGCGCATCCCGACTCACGGAGAGCGATGACAAAATGCAATTAGAAGGCTCAGACCCTCTCGAAGAGGAAAAGAAGAAAATCACAGAGGATGACGTGTAATTCAACTACTTTTTTTCAAGTTTGTTTCTACGATTATTTCAAGTGGATGTTGACAATTATGACAATATTAAGAAATAACTAAGTAGATTATTCTTATTGTAGCTATGTAGCTGTAGCTGATTCTGCATGCAGCGGGTTACAGAATAGTGTCCATCGACAGTATTTTCTTTTTGATCATGTTATGATAGTCTTTCTGAATTTATTTACACAGGTATGCATTCGCTGCTGAGCCAGTGAGGGCACATGTGGCAGAGATAATGCAGGCGCTGCTCACCATGCCATTTAGAGAAGCCTTAGCGAAGGTGAAGGCGATTAAAGGCCGTCACCACTATTCAACAAAGAGCCTCGTGGAAGTCATGTAGTCCTACACTTTTTGGTTTGTGAATGGTATAAACTAGTTGTTGTTGTTCCCTTGTTGTTGTTCTTTCTTGATTCATGAAACCATACGAGCGAGTGACTGCACAACCCTGTACGCATAGCCTCCTCTTTACGCACGCCAGCTACAAGGAAGTGCTTTTGATGGAGTTGCCGTTTTTAGTTCGCGTACGAATAGTGCCCGTGCTTGCAGACATCGAGATTCGACTAGCACAAGGCGGCTCTGACGCCATCCAGTTAGGTGCTTTGGTTGCAGCCTTTGGTTTTGCCCGTGCACAAGGGGAGAAGATTCAGAAGTACAAGGAGCGTCGTGAGGAAGAAGCAAGGCGTTTCGCTGACATGACGCGAGCCGAACGAGAAGCCTTTCTTCAGCAGCAAGAGGAACTGTTTCCAGGAGAGCAGATGTTATGATCTTTAATCCGTTTGTTCATCTCTGTCAGCACCAAGGAAGAGTTTACTCTGTACGTGGAAGACTAAAGTACGACCTTCTAATCATATCGGAGCTCGGTCCGCGGACGCCGCACGAGAACAGCCAACTGCACCACTTGGCTTATTTGAATGCGCATACTCCCTCGTTGGCAGAGGATTCCCAGATGCAATATGGACCCGACAGCAAGGGGAAAAAAGGAACTGGAAAGAAGGGAGCCAAAGGCGCTTCTCTCGGTGTGCCTGCGGGAGACCTCTCTGCCCTCGGAAGCCAAACGCCCGGTGATTTCATGGCCCGACTAGATGCAGTGTCTGGCGCGTCGCCGCCTCCCATGTCGCATTTATGGTCATTTTGCAGCTGAGCAGTCAATTCATTGAGGAGTTGACATGATTGTAGTAAATGTGAAGGCACCTATAGCTAAAGGAATCGTTAGACTATCAATCATAGTTCTTTAATATTTCACAACATTCTTTCATATCCCGGGGGCGGCGCCGGCCCTGATCTTGCGTATTCGCAGGGGCCAATCTTCAGTGCAGCTAGTGCAGTAGGCGAGGGCAGTCACGCGGCTGCTGGAGTCGTTCCAGCCGCTGGGCGCGGTAGCATTAGGGAGAGCTACATCCGAAACTCCATTCGGCACAGCTTGGCTAGTGAGCACGGCCTTCTCTCGGTAGTGCAGGAGGCAGCGCGTAAGCGCACAGGATCGAGGGCTCCAGCGTCCTCACAGGAAGGGCTAGAGCCACGCCGTTCTTTAGCTGAGCTGCTTGGGAAAGGGAAAGTTAAGAAGAGCAGTCACGACGTCGATAACCATCAGCAGAGACCGTCTTCAGCGATGGACGCGCCAGCGGTCCCAGCGTTATCCTCTGCAGATGCGAGAGCCCTTGATAGAAGACCCGGCACAGCTAATAGTCAGCCCGCATTACAACCAGGGACTAGCAGCAGTAGTAGCAACAATCCCGGAAGACTAAAGCAGGAACTGCCTGCTCCTGCGGGTACCAGTGATGCTCCGTCGCAGTTTACGGAACGTGGCACGAACCAGGCGCTCAGTGTTGACGGGGACGTGCACGCCATTATGACAGGCAGTCTGCCTGACCACGGTGCGAACATGGATGCTGAAGGGGGCGCACCAGACGAGCTCTTATGGGAGCCTGATTTCCTTGACCGTGACGAAATGGCTGATGATCCCATGGCCGATCTATACGGAGGTTTCTAGGACAACTCAAACTTTTAACATGTGGAAGACAGTGTCTTTATTTCGTACATACCAATGTGACTTTTGCATATCTCCTTCATCTTCATTCACCATCGATCCCCCAAAAAATCGTTCCAATGACATTCGAACTTTTTTATATTCTCAGAGAACCGAGGGCAGCTCATGAAGCTGAGCGTTCTTGCGACCCTTTGATGGAAGCCAACGGGCTGCTATTGTGTGTTGCGCACGAGCATAGATTCGGATGGCATTTTTGCAGCACAAACATTTTGATCTTGAAGTCGTGTTGCTGGAGTTAAGTACTTCCAATGAATCGGTATTAGCCCTTCATGCATGAGGAAACGCCATACCGAGGTAAAGTAGGTATAAAAGCTCGGTCCATACGTCTCTAGTACTTTGTGGAAGTTTCTTGCCACATTATAGTTGAGTCGGTTTGTGTCTTTACCCATCGATCGCTGTCCTCTAACCTGGCAGTGTGTTTGAAGCATCGATGCGTGCGCGAAGGATTTCTTCATTTCCGAGACTTGGGACTGAAGCAAAGGCCATGCTTTTGGCAACGAGATGAGTGAGAGCGCGAGAGACTCGCGACAGACCCACTTGACCCTCTCCTTCACACCTACCCACCTCATGAATATCCCCAAAACCCCAACGCCCCGCCACACCCCCGATATAGTTACAGTAAGATTTGTTGATTTTTTTCAGAGACAGTAATGTACATTGACCAGGGAACAAAGGGAACGTTTTTCTATAATTTCTTAGGTACTAATTATTTCTTCTGACACGCTAATTACTAGCTTGGAGCGTCCGATAACATCCCTCCCACTAGGGTCCCCCTCCTCCCCAAAGTAAGAAACTAAGCAAGGCAAAGATGTAAGCGATATGCGTTTTCAAATTTCGAAAATTTTCCACGTTTTGCCATCGTTTGGGGATTGGGTCCCGTGCGTTTGAAGTCAAGGGCTAAGATCCCGAAACTTTTTGACTTTCAGCCCTTTCGCTGAAATTTAATGCCTTGGCTTCGCGTTTTTCAAATTTCGAAAATTCTCCACGTTTTTTGTCGTTTTGGGATTGAATTTTGTGCGTTTGAAGCGCTAAAGCCCCTAAGCTTTTGACTTTCAGCGTCAGCCCTTTCCCTGAGGTTCATTTTCTTGGATTCGCGTTTTTCAAATTTCGAAAATTTTCCACGTTTTGCCGTCGTTTTGGGATTGAGTTCTGTGCGTTTGAAGTGCTAAGACCCCAAAACTTTTGACTTTAAGCCCTTTCCCTGGGATTCAATCTCTTAGCTTCGCGCTTTTCCAATTTCGATAATTTTCCACGTTTTTCGTCGTTTCGGGAGCGAATCCCGTGAGTTTGAAGCGCTAAGATCCCAAAATTTTTGATTTTAAGCCCTTTCCCCCGAAGTTCAATGCCTTGGCTTCGCGTTTTTCCAATTTCGAAAATTTTCCACATTTTGTCGCCGTTTTGAGATTGAGTCTCGTGAGTTTGAAGCGTTAAGATCCCAAAACTTTTGACTTTAAGCCCTTCCCCTGGGATTCAATCTCTTGGCGTCGCGTTTTTCAAATTTCGAAAGTTTTCCACCTTTTTCGTCATTTTGCGAGTGAGTCCTTTGATTTTGAAGGGCTAAGATCCTAAAGTTTTTGATTTTAAGCCCTTTCTCTGGAATTTAATTCCTTGGGTTCCCGTTTTTCAAATTTCAAAAATTTTCCCCGTTTCGTCGTCGTTTTGAGATTGAGGCTCGTGAGTTTGAAGCGTTAAGATCCTAAAATTTTTGATTTTAAGCCCTTTCCCCCGAAATTCAATTCCATTGCTTCGTGGTTTCATGGTTTCGTGGTTTCGTGGTTTCGTGGTTTCATGGTTTCCTGGTTTCCTGGTTTCCTGGTTTCCTGGTTTCC